AGGCCGCCGTGGCCGCTGACCTGCTGCAGCCCCCGCTTCAGGACCTGCAGCAACTCCATCTTGTCCGGCAAGCCCCGCCTCCTGCGTGCCCCGAGCAAACCTCGCCGGGCGGAAGCGGCCACGCCGCCGCTGAGAAGGTTCCTGCGCACGCCCGGCGTAGAAGTGGCTCTGCGCGTGCGCAGAGCTGGAACTCCCGGGGGGGGGGCCGAAGTAGGCGCTGCGGGTTTCCCTCCGAAGCAAAGGCACTGTAAAGTTTAAATTTTTAGAGGTTGAGTACAGAGGCGAGAATGTAGTGGAAAGCTCACCTAGACGAGGTTTCCCCAGATAGGGAAAGATGACTGGCTGAAACGATTGCAGAAGTCTTTCCCAGTGCGCCAGGCGTCTTTGGAAACAAGATGTAAGGAGGTAGATCGTGACCACATACGGACGTTATGTGTTCGATACGATATTGCTTACAAACGACGATACTTCAGAAAATTCGTGGAGAATGGAATTATGCGTGGAGTTCAGACACTTTTTGCTCCATAATAAACTTACCTTTCGATTCTGTTTTCCACGAACTTCCTGCGGTACCCTTGGATAAGCGATGTGTTGATATGGGAGTGAGGAGGAATAGCAAATGCAAGGTGAACATGAATCAGATCTGCTCAAGATTCAATACGTTTCACAACTCTTCAACTCCTGGCAAATCGCATGGGGGAAAGAAGCCTTTGTTAATGTTTAGTCCCCTTTCCACCCCATTCCCACCCTGGCAAAGCACTGTTTTGAGACAGAATTCTGTTTCATTATGTGTTTTCGCATAGAGTTGCGTATCTGCAACTCAGCTCGAATTTATGGAGCTTTAAAATGTATTTGAAGTGCTATTAAAATTGGAATTTAAATTATGAACGTGTTTTAAATTTGTGTAATAACTTTTGCACTGTAAAACAGTTCCTTCCTCCCATTCCCTAAATACAGAGAACAAAATGCTCCTAAGAAGCCCACAGGGTGGGCATTTGGTGCTGCTGGGGATGCCCACATCTCATATCTGAGTGTCTGGGTTTGAGTCAACTTGGCTTCTGATTGCAACTTCCTGCTAATGTGCACCCCTGGAGGCAAGAGGCGATGGCTCCAGTACTTGGGTCTAAACACCCATGTGAGAGACCATGATTGAATTCTGGGTCTTGAGCTAGGCACTCTGCTACGGACATAATTATTTAAACTTCTTATAAAGTTTCTTGTGTAACTTTTGCTTTCCAAGGCCATCATTAGGGAGCTGGATTGGAAGTGGAGCAGCTGGGACTAGAACTGGCACGCATATGGCATGCTGGCACCACAGGTGGATGCTTAACTCACTACACCACAGCACTGGCCCCTTCCCTTGCTTTTAAAACAGCAGTTTAACTGCATACGTAAGTACCCTATTGATAATGTATTATTTTCTCCCTGCTTTCAATAAACTAGTTCAGTTCTATTCTTTCGCATGTTTTAGGCTTGCATTCTGCATGCCTTGTATTTTTGGAATTCACTCATGTTAACATATTCTTTTTTGATGTATAGTATTCCACTGGATGACTGTACCACAATTTCTCAAAAAAAGATTTAAAGGCAGAATGACAAAAAGAGGAACCCACTGGTTTACTCCCCAAATGCCCACAACAGCTGGGGCTGGGCCAGGCTGAAGCCAGGAGCCAGAATTCCATCTGGGTCTCCTATGTGGGTGGCAGGGCCTCAAGTACTTGAGCCATCATCTGCTGCCTCGGAGGCCCATTAGCGGGAAGCTGCATTGGAAGTGGAGTTGCTGGGACTTGGACCAGGTGCTCTATATGGGATGTGGGCATCCCGAGCAGGACTTAACCTACTGCACCACTTTTGCCCAAATGTAACACAATGGGATACTGATTGTTATTTTTTTTAACAATGCTGACATGAACAATTTTGTGTTTTCTGGCACACATATGCAAGAAGTCAAGGACAACTTTACTCTGTGATGCAACTTCCAGAGATCATCACCAACAGCTGTCTCCCTGGTTCACACAACTCTACACTCAGCATTGCTCAACTTATTAACTGGGCTTTCAGCAAATCCTTTATTTTATACTCTTTCCAGAGGGCACGCAACTGTACCAAAGCATTTGGAAGGATCAGGGGTGAAATTCAGATTCTTCTCCGCTTTGCTGGGGCTGGGGTATTCACCATTCACCTTTGGTTTCAGATTTCAAAGTTTTGTGTTTATCATTTCTTTTTTGTTTTAAACATTTTTTTTAAAAAATCTACTGAAAGGCAGAGCTAGAGAGAGAGGAGGAGAGACAGATTCTTCTATCCACTGGTTCACTCCCCAAATGGCCGTCAACAGCCCAGCCTGGGCTGGACCAGGCTGAAGCGACAAGCCAGGAGCTTCCTGTCTCTCCCACGTGGGTGCAGGGGCCCAAGCACTGGCACATTAGCAGGGAGCTGGACTGTAATTGGAACAGCCCGGTTTCGAACTGGTGCCTATATGTGATGCTGACTTCATAGGCAGTGCTTAACATACTACACCACAATGCCAGCTCCTATCATTTATTTCCATCCCTTTTTTCCTAAGATGCATTAAAAACAAACAAAACTCCTTAGCTGTGTTTTCATGCAGTTTCAGTAAGGAGTTGATGGCGTAGCGGGCTGAGCCTCCACCTGCAGCGCTGGCATCCCATCTGGGAGTTGGTTTCTGTCCTGGCTGCTCCTCTTCTGATACAGCTCTCTGCTAATGGCCTGGGAAAGCAGTGGAGGAAGGCCTAAGTGCTTGGGCTCCTGCATCCATGTGGGAGACCTGGAAGAAGCTCCTGGCTCCTGGTTTTGGATTGGTCTAGCTCTGGCCATTGCAGCCATTTGGGGAGTGAACCAGCGGGTGGAAGACACCTCTGTCTCTCCCTCTCTGGCTGTTAATTCTGCCTCTCAAATACATCTTTACCAAAAAAAAAGGGGGGGGGGTTGCATTAAACATGTGTTCAAGGTATCTTTTACCATGCATTTAAAAAATGTCATTAAAGTTTTATTTATTTCTAAATGTGTTTTGGCTTTTTCTGTTTCTTGCTCACTTTTCGATTCCTTATTTTCTTCCTTAAAACATACCATAGTTATTTCTGCAGGTGGCGATTGCAGTATTTAGTATTGTCTTTAACATGTTCTTACCCAAGTGGCTTGTTTTCTTGTTTGATAACTTTATGAATTTAGTCTGTAATTGAAGTTCATCTAGGAAAATATGAGATTCTACCCTAGGGGTTGGCAAATCAGGCATACAGCTTTTCTAAATGTTTTATCAGACCACAGCCATGCCCATGCACCTATATAGGCTACAGCTGGTTTTGCTTTTTGAGTGGTTGCAACAGACACTGCACAGCCCACAAAGCCAAACATATTTACCTTCTGCACCTTTATAGAAAAGTGTGTCAACTTCTGATTTGATTACTGGGTATCTTCTCCAGAGACCTGTATTTGCTTTTGCCAGGAATGAGGGGTACTAAAGATCTAAAACAACCTTCACCTTCTTCGAGAAGTCAAAAGTCCTCAGAATTATCTATTTCCCTAAAGTGCTGGAAGCGGCAATCTAGCATCTTCTCTTGCCCACATTGTTCTGAGAGGTTTTACAATTTTTTGTATATTCAGCTGAGAGATGAGACAGAGCTCCCATCTGCTGGTTCACTCCCTAAATGCTAGTTATGGTCATGGCCAGGGACCAGAAAGCTAGCAGCCAGAAACTCGATTCAGGTTTTCCAGGTTTGGCAGGAATCCAGCTACTTCAGCCATCACCTGCATGGTCTGCACTAACAGGAAACTAAAATCAGGAGCCAGAGCTTGAACCTGAGCATCCCCGCTGGGCCAAATGCCCGCTCCAGCGGGAACTGTTCTGAATGTATATAGTGATGGATCCTTTCAACCCCTGTCCTTGTGTAGGAAATTTTTGGATAATCATGTACTTCCCTTACGTCTTTTCTATTTCCTATTTTTCAGTCTATACTTCCATCTAATGAATTGCTCTGGCTGTCATTTTAACAGGTGTAGTTCTTTGCTTAAATTTCACCCCCCCCCCCACCATCCTGTACTTTTTATGGATGTGACATCAACTTTTTCCTCAAAATTGTACTTACATTTGAGGGTGGTTATTTTTCTGATCCCTGTGCTGTATCTGCTCCCCATGTTTTACCTCTTCTATTTTAGAGAGTTTCTTCAAATATCTGATAACCCTAGGCTCCAAGTTCATATTTAGCATTAGAACACTCAAGAACTGAATGGAAACCAAATATACACATGTGTGAGTTGGCAACCGCTGGGCTTTTGAGAATTGAAAGTTTTTACCAAGGGACAACCAAAACTGAGAGTCAGGAGGTTCCTCGGCAGCTAATTAGCTACCAGAGAGAAATGAATCCAGGCAGATATTCCTATACTTGATTGCCAGCAATCTGGGAACAAAGTCAAGGAGCCCACATACAAACTGCAGATTCTGAAGCCTGTATGTTTTCCAAGCCTTCTATCCCTGGTATACTTTAAATCCTATGATCTTCTAGTTCAGGTTCCCAAGAGAATTCATCTCTGCCCTCCTCCTGCCTGAAACGGTGAGAGAACGGGAAGTGGCCACCTGACTGCAGTTGGGGCAGAGACAGGGAGTCTTGTGATTCTTCATAAATCTGTATGTCAGTACTTTCCAGGTGTTCCCCCTCTTCGAAGTCTTCAATTAAAATCATTACACCTAAGGATCAGGTCAACCTACAACATCAGTAATAATTTTATAAAATTTTTGTTGTTGATTTGAGAGCTAGATAAACATAAAGAGGAGCAAGGGAGAGCGCCTATCTGCTGGTTCACTCCCCAGATGCCAGCAACAGCCTGGCTGGGGTTGCAGCTTAGAGCCAGGAACTCAATCTGGGCCTCCCGTGTGGGAGACAGAGACCCCTTCACTTGAGCCATCACCTCTGCCTCTCAGGGTCTGTGCTAGCAGGAGGCTGGAATCAGGAGCTCGAGGCAGATATTGAACCCAGGCACTCTGGTATGGGATGAAGGCATTTTAATTATTAGGCCAAATGCCTGCTCCAGTTTTGATCCTTAGTAGAGCTTTTAAAATACACTTTATGATGAAAACATAATGCAACAAAGGGTAACAAAATATTAAACAAATAGGACACTGACATCAAATACACTGGCAGAATATGAACTTATAATGCAAGTTACATTTTAATATAGTTTTAAAAACACTTTCAAATATAACTATAAGTTTAATCAGGAAAAATACCTGAAACATCTCAATTAACCATTTGTACATTAATTTTTCTCAATTCTTGGTTTACTAACATAGTTTATAAAGGTATAAACCTACTGATTTTCTCATTTGAGCATTTTACACTTAATGAAGTTCTTCCTAGCTGATAATTATAAATAAAGCTGTTGGCCAAAATTATGTTTTAAATAGGAAATAAGGTTTCCCTCAATAAGTTGGTAAAGAGTATAGCTGGAGACTTTAAGACTTTTGATTACTGTAAAGTAGAAATTAGTAAAATCCATACCCTAACAAAAAAAAATCTGAGTTCTACTGCAAAAATCTTTGTAAAAAATGTACTCTGTGATAAAAACTCCATCTTCATGTTTTAAAAGTCAACAGACATACCAAAATAATTCATCATGAAATCAGAGCCAAGAAATATTTAACAGTATCAGATTTGCTAAGGAAAACATTACAGTGGAAGATACCCAAGGAGTCTGAAATGATTTTGTTGTGGCAATAGCAAAGCTTAATGCTGTCCTGCACACAAGTGTTAAAGCAGCCCCCAACCTGTTTTACATAAGAAAAAAAAAATCAATGCATAGTCCCCAATTTTTAAAAATTACCAATTGCTTTAAAATAATTGTTTAATTCACATTAAAAACATGGATTGCTATGAAAAATCCACTATTTTGCAAACTGGGTGAGCTTTTAATAACCTAAAACAAACTGGCTAAAACCCAGAGCAGGCTCAGAAAAGCTGTAACACAAGTCAGAAAAGGAGGAGAAACCGCATGCTTTCGGTGGGGTGGAAGAGCAATACCTAGTTTTTTTTTAATACCTAGTTTGCAATACTAAGGCAGTTGGGGCTCAGTCTCTACCACTTTTAAATAAGATACAGTAGTAAACCAAAAACATTAAAACATGAACTCTCATTTTCAGAAACAATTTTCTGCTATGTAAATAAAAAGTGCTCATAACTAATAATGTACACGAATAACATCAACTCTTAAGGTCACAAATTACCCATGTCTCACTGCCAGCAATGAGAGTGGCATATGCTAAAGGACACCATGATATTTACAAAAGACAAAAAATATATATTCATTTATTATTTCATATACTTATATTATACCATTGAGCGTAAAATAATCTTCTTTGGACATGGCAATGAAAACATATGTTGTATTATGGAAGAGTAAAATACAAGGAACTCCTCCCTAAGAATTTTTGACTATTAAGTATACTAGTTCATAATGAATTTAAATATGAATAGAACACAATTCGGGGGGAAAAAAACAACTAATTTATTTGTTTTATAAAATAAAACAAGAGATCTTAGTTTAGATAGACAAGATGTGACAGCTTCACATGTCTTCTTCACCAAGAATAAATCCGGAGCATTTCTTATTTAAATAAGACAGGAAGGGACATTCCAATTCCTGTTGCTTGCTCAGGAAATGCTTCAAAAATTCTTTAAGGAAGCTAAAATAAAAATACCTTGGATTTTGGTTATCTTTAAAGTCAAAATTTCCAGATATTCTGGAAGCAATGAGTTCGATTTGGTATCTGTGTTCAGGAAAGAACAATCAGTTTACAACACTTTGATCTTTGCTTTCAAATGCTGTGACCAATTATTTGAGAGTTATAATCCGCAGGCTCCATTTTTAAAATATGTGGGATGACACTGTCAATTCGTACATTGCCAATGAGTCCTTTGAAAAACAATTCTTCAGTAATAGTAGCATTCATCAGTCTCAAAGCTGGCAATCTGAGTAGTAGCCTGGATAACCTAGCAGGAAAAAAAAAAAAAAAAAAAACAGGAACAAAGTGGTGATTCCAAAATTTAGAAAAAAATACTAGTAATTTCTGCATGTATATTATCTGTGACCTAATTTAACAAAGATACAATTTTCTTTAAAATCTTATTTACTGGGGCTGGTGCTGTGGTACAGCGGGTTAAACCACTGCTTGTGACCCGGGCATCCCATATTGGAGCACTGGTTCAAGCCCCTGCTGCTCTGCTTCCCATCAAGCTTCTTGCAATGCACCTAAGAAGAAAGTGGAAGGCGACCCAAGGATTTGCAACGGCCAATGCTAGGTCAGGCCAAAGCTAGAACAGGCTACCGTGACAGGATCCAATATCTGAACCATTATCTGCTACCTCCCAGGATGTATATTAGCAGGAAATGGAAGTGGAGCCAGCACTTGTATGCAAGGACTCGGATACGATACTGGCATCTAAAGCAGCACTTTAAATTAATCTACGGATTTCAGAGCAGACAGGTAGACATACACACACACACACACACAATCAATCAATCAATCGATTTTTCACACTGCTTTATGCTTCAAATGCCAGTAACAGCTGGGGTGGGGCCAGGCCACGGCCAGGAATCTAGAACTCAGCCCAGAACCCATGTGGATGACAAGGACCCAATTATTTGAGCCATCACCTGCTGCCTCTTTGGGTGTGTATTAGCAGGAAGCCAGAATTGGAAGCAGAGCTGGGACACTCAAACCCAGGAACTGCAGTAAGGGATGTGGGTATCCTAAGCAGCTTCTTAACACTTGCCCAAGATATAATTTTTTTTTTTTTTTTTGACAGGCAGAGTGGACAGTGAGAGAGAGAGACAGAGAGAAAGGTCTTCCTTTTGCCGTTGGTTCACCCTCCAATGGCCGCCACGGCTGGCACGCTGCAGCAGGCGCACCACGCTGATCCGATGGCAGGAGCCAGGTACTTCTCCTGGTCTCCCATGGGGTGCAGGGCCCAAGCACTTGGGCCATCCTCCACTGCACTCCCTGGCCACAGCAGAGAGCTGGCCTGGAAGAGGGGCAACCGGGACAGAATCCGGTGCCCCGACCGGGACTAGAACCCGGTATGCCGGCGCTGCAAGGTGGAGGATTAGCCTAGTGAGCCGCGGCGCCAGCCCCAATTTTTAAAAGTTAAAATGGAAACTATGTATTTTCAACCTTAGAGCATAACAAAATCACCTGGATACTAATGCAGTCTGAAAGACTCCACAAAACAGACTTGCTTTTATCTGCTTTGCTGTGCTGCCTACACTATGGAACCAAGTTATTAAACCATGGATCAATTAGACATTTAAGAAGGGCTTAGCAACTCCTTTCAGATAGTCAGAACAGAAATGTTTTGGGTTACCAGGACACAAGAGGTTCAGTAACTGTGTTTGCTTTTGCTCTGCAAAAAACTAGTGGAAATGGTACAACAGGAAACAGTTATTACTGGGAAGAGCACAGAACACAGAACCAAGACCACTGGGTTTCAATGTTTATCCAGCTGCCAGTGATTAAGTCAATGTGTGCAAATCAATTACCCCCTGTCTCGCTCACAGTGAAGATTAACAGAACGATCCCTGACTGTTGCTCTGCTAGCTAGTGAGGTTCTGAAGGTCAGAGACAGGACTTGTGTGAAAGTGCACTCTAAGTTGAAAACTGCCATCCAGGCACAGTTTGTTTTTCAATAACCATCTTTCTGAACAGTTCATGGTAGGCATACCCCTTCTTCTTTCCTAAGGCCCTGTCAGGTACTCTGTTCTTCAAATCCCACTTTGTTCCTGTTTGTTCCTATCAGCTGAGCTACATCTATACAGTTGGTAGGAAAACTGTTGAGATAAACCAAGGATGATTTTGTTGATGGAACTGGCTTATAAATCCACAATATTTAACATATATAGAAATTATTATATGTAAAATGTTTTTACTAGTTTTATGTACACGAACAGCACTGTTATATATACCTTACTACATAATAGACATGGTTCTAACACTTTACGGATCCTGATGTATTTATTTATTTTCAAAATTTATTTGAGAGGTAGAGTTACAGAGAAAGAGAGAGACGGATTTACTGGTTTACTCCCCAAATGGCCACAACAGCCAGAGATGAGCTGGTCTGAAGCCAGGAGCTTTCTCTGGGTCTCTCCTGTGGGTACAGGGGCCCAAGCACTTGGACCATCTTCCACTGCTTTCCCAGGCTATCAGCAAAGAGCTGGATCAGAAAGGGACAGCCAAGATTGGGCCCATATGGGATGCCAGCACTGCAGGTGGAGGCTTAGCCTACTATGCCACAGCACCAGCCTCCTGATGTATTTCTAATAATAACATTTTTAAAAAAGATTTATTTATTTATTTGCAAGTCAGAATTATAGAGAGAAAACTTTCATCCATTGGTTTACTCCCCAGATGGCCACAATGGCCAGTGCTGGGGCCATGCTGATGCCAGGGCCAGGAGCTTCTTCCAAGTCTCCCAATGAGGGTAAGCAGGGGCTCAAGCACTTGGAGCATCTTCCACTTCCTTCCCCAGGAGATTAGCAGGGAGCTGGATCGGAAGTGGAGCAGCCAGGGGCACGAACCAGTGTCCATATGGTATGCCAGCACTGCAAGCGGTGGCCTTACCCACTACCCCACAACATGGGCTGCTTGGGCTGATGCAGTGGGTTAACGTTCTGGCCTGAAGTGCCAGCATCCCATATGGGCGCTGGTTCGAGACCCGGTTGCTCCATTTCTAATCTAGCTCTCTGCTATGGCCTGGGAAAGCAGTGAAGATGGCCCAAGTCCTTGGGCCCCTGCACCCACAAGGGAGACCAGGAAGAAGCTCCTGGCTTTAGATCAGCATAGCTCCGGCCGTTGCAGCCATCTGGGGAGTGAACCATCGAATGGAAGACCTCCCACTCTCTCTCTCTCTCTGCCTCTCTTCTCTCTGTGTAACTCTTTCAAACAAATAAATAAATCTTTAAAAAAAGGGGGGGGGGAGGCTACTCTAAATGTAAAACGTAGATTCTATTATTTTCTCCATTTGTGAGTAATAAAAAAGAATTTAAGTATCTCACTGAAGACCATGCAGCTACTAAGTGATAAAGTCAGGATTAAAATCCAGGTACTCTGGTTCTGGTAGCTATTGTTAAGCCACTCTGCATATTATCTCTTCAAAAACTGAGTGGCTTAGGGCCAGTGCAGTGCCAGCATCTCATATGGGTGTCAGTTTGAGTCCCCCTTCTGATCCACCTCCCTGCTAAGGTACCTGGGATAGCAACAGAAGACAGCTCAAATTCTTGGGCCCTGACTCCTGGCTTCAGCTTGGCCCAGCACTGGCTGTGGCGGCCATTTGGGGAATGAACTAGGGGATGGAAGATATTTTTATGTTCCCCCTCACCCCATCTCTTCTGAAACTCTGCCTTTCAATTAAATAAATCTTAAAAAAAAGTTTGGGCGCTAGAGTTGGGCTGAGTTCATGAGACTCTATCATATATTGCGTGACCCTGAGCAAGTTACTGAACCTCTTGTGCTAAGTGAGCCCTTACACAAATGTGAGAACTGGATGAAATACTGCATATAAAGTGCTATGGCAACACGGCACTGCTTCTAATAGCCTTAGCTACTTCAAGGGTTGAGGTTGCCTAAACCTTTAATTACTTAAGAGTAATTAAATAATGAAATAAGAGACTAACTGAAGATTTAAATGAATTGTAACAGTATTTAACTTCTAGGTACCTGTAGGTGTCATCTGGATAGGTTTTGGTTATATAATCTTGGAATTCCACATAAGCCTTTTCCTGAAATTTCTCAATTTGCTCCATGTTTTCTAGGCCTGGATGATCTGAAACATTAAAGAACACATTATGACCCTAGTTCTGAATGCCCATTTAAGAAGGCACAGAGAGGGGAGACAGAAAGCATGGAAAGAACAGCTCTTATAAAAGAAGCCCATCATAATAATGTGTAGCTCTTTTGCTCCACAAATATTTACTGGCCCATGTACTATATAACAAACACTGAGATTATCTTACCACACACACATATTCTAACACTCAGTAAAAAAGTAAAACCACTGAGTGTTACCAAAAGTTTTCTGTTCTAAAAGTGATGGACAGGATTCTCATCATTTTGCTTTTAACAGGAGCAAATAACTTAAATGAATCATCTTATAAAAGGCATTTAAAATTTATTTATTTATTAATTTGAGAGCGGGAGACAGATATACAGAGAGGAGGTAAGAGAATCTTATCTGCTGGTTCACTCTTCAAATCCTTATAACCAGGCTGGTAGGGCCAAAGCTGGGAGCCAGGAATAAAAACCAGGTCTCCCAGGTGAGTGACAGGAACCCAACTACTTGTGTCACTACGGTCTCTCAGAGTCTGCCTTAACAGGAAGTTAGAATCAGAAACCAGAAGTTGGTATTGAACGCAGGTACTGTGACGTGTGGGATGCTAGGCTGGAATGCAAAGTGCCCACCCCAAGGCATTTTTAATATGAAAAATATTTACAGATGATATACTATCCCGTATTTTTATAAGGGAAAAAGTGCGATTATTGTTAGGTTAAAAGGTATTGATGAAATTATGAAACCATGACTATCATCTCTATCAGAAAAATAACAGAAATATAAAATAAAAAGCATTTCAATGCTCAAATATTTCCAAAAATAGAAATATTAAAATAATTTCATAAAATTCTGTCTAATTTAAGACATGTTGAAAGAGATGAAGTTCTGCTGGACAAAAATAAAAAAGTAACAAATTACTGAAAATAAACTACTATGTTCTTTCTGTTTTCAACTAAGGAAAATGAAGGTGAGAAATAGATTTTTATGAAAATGAAAGTGGCTAAGATCCCATTCGGGATGCTGGCACCCCCTAGTGGTGAGCATCACACAAGGGACAGCTCCTCTGCTGCTGATCCAGTTCCTGTGAATGCACCTCCTGGGAAGCAGCAGGTGGTGGCTCAGGTAGCTGGGTCCCTGCCACCGCTGCTGGAGGCCCAGATTGAGTTCCAGGCTCCTGGCTTCAGTCTGGTGTAGCCTTGGATGTTGTGGGCATTTGGGGAGTAAACCAGTATGGATGGAAGATCTCCCCATCTCTCTGCCTTTCAAGTAAAATTAAAATTTAAAAAAGAAATAATGTTATTAACTTATAAGAAACAGCAGAAGAGGTGCCGGTGCTATGGCATAGTAGGCTAAGCCTCTGCCTCTGCCCCACTACGCCACTTCTGATTCAGCTCTCTGCTGATGGCCCAAGCTCGTGGACCCCTTCATCCATGTGGGAGACCAGGAAGAAGCTCCTGGCTCCTGGCTTTGGATTGACCTAGCTCTGGCAGTTGCGGCCATCTGGTAAGTAACCAGTGGACGGAGGACCTCTCTCTGTCTCTCTTTTTCTCTGTCTGTAATTCTACTTCTCGAATAAAGAAATATTAAAAAAAAAAAAAAAAGAGAGAAGAAATAGCTTTAATTATCTTCTTAGTATCACTGAGGGGAAAGTAGGTTTCCTCAAAATGTATATTGTGATGACAGGAAAGGAAATATATATCAAAATGAAAAACACAAGACCTAAGTATCAATTCCTCCAATTGAGAAATTAATCAGAGAGCTTACTGTCATTTCATCATCTGTGAAAACTAGAAACTGGTAGGAAAATAAGTTGGCCAGTTTTCTATGTTAGTGGCTCTAACATGGTATCTGGGAATTGAACTCATTAACAGAGAAATATTCATCTCTTATTGTGCCCTTAAATAATGCTTAAGAAAATAGGGCCAAGATTGTAAATGTTGATGTGACAACATAAGGCCTATGATGTCATCTCAATGATTCTGGACTTTCCTTAAGATTCACCAATTTAAGTTATACAATTTAATGTTTTTTAGACTATTCTTGTCACTCCAACAGAAAGCTTCTATCCATTAACAATCACTCCTCATTTTCCTGTCCTTATCCCTGAGTTACCACTGATCTACTTTATTCAAGTGTCTACAGGTTTGCCTATTCCGCATATTGCATATAAATGGGATCAAACAATGCATGTTCCTTTGTGATTGGCTTCTTTCACTAAATATATTTCAATATTCAACCATGTTACAGCATGCATCAGAATTTCAATCCTTTTTCTATTTATATTGCATTTTGTTTATCCATTCATCTGCTGATAGATACCTAAGTTATTTCCATTTTTAGCTATTATGAATAATGTCACAAACAGCCATGTGCACATTTTTGTACAGATATGCATTTTCATTTCTTTTGCAGTCACAGCAGTTTGAAGTGCTGGGTCATACACTAAGTCCACATTTAATATTATAAAGAAACACCAAGCTATCTTCCAAGGCTACTGCACCATTTCACATCCCATAAGCACTGTAGGAGGGTTCTAACTTCTCCATATCCCCCAACACTGCATTTTACACAAGTAAATGTGTCTGTACCTGGACTGAAGAGCACTATTGCCTTTAGGTAGGCATACTCATATCCATCAATGCAGAGTTTAACCATGCTGTTACAAAACTCCTGTAGTTTGAAGATATGTTCCATCAATAATTTTCTCCTTTCTGTTGACATTTTATCTTTAATGAAAAAATAAAGAAATGATTCTAATTTTCATCGAAGATGTATCACTATTTTCATCCAATATAATTCTTCTTCGTTAATTTCCAACTTCAAATGTAACCAACATATAAATGTTTAAAATTCAGAATCTCTACAATTATAGATAAGCTTACTATTCAACTTCAAATACTGTTCATTCAAGAAAAACAAATTGCTGGTATAGAAACTCCTAAATTTAACATTTCCTTACAAAATACACCTCTGAGAAGATAAAAAGATACCATCTGAAGAACTGGCCAAAGCACAGTAGACACAAATTTTGGTAACAGAACTTTACTGATGCTTATATTGGTTGGGAAAAAAAACTGGGCAAAAAAATTTAAATTTCAAAAATTTACTAGCACTACTATAATAAAAAAAATTTAGCCCAAAAAAACAAAAACTCTGCCAAGAACCAAAGAAAACTTGAGCAAAATAAATGTGGGGCTGGCACTGTGGCACAGTGGGTAAAGCCGCCACCTGCAGTGCCAGCATTCCACACGGGCACTGGTTGGAGTCCCAGGTGCTCCATTTCTGATCCAGCTCTCTGCTATGGCCTGGGAAAGTAGAAGATGGCCCAAGTCCTTGGGCCCCTGCAACCATGTGGGAAACTTCTGGCTCTTGGCTTTGGATTGGTGCAGCTCCGGCCGTTGCAGCCATCTGGGGTGTGATCCAGCAGATGAAAGACCTCTCTCTATCTTTCTCTCTCTGCAACTCTGCCTTTCAAATAAAACAAATCTTAAGAACAAAAACAAAAACAAACGTACAATGCGTATTCTAATTTCCTGTGTCAGCATCTGTATAAAAGACATCTGCTAGTGATTAGTCAACCATAGCTTTTCCTGCAGATAGGCTACATATATAATACAACGCAAGTATATGAGAAATGAATCAGGACTAGGAGCCTAGAAATAAGATAGGAATGTGGTGCTGCCTTTTAACTGTTCTTAATGAAATTTTAAGGTGATTCCTCTGTTCTTAAACATGAGGATGCAGATGATTTAAAAATAATGTAAAACATTGAGAAACAGAAAATGCTAAGGAACTAAATAGTAATCCCCAATTTGTATGTTATCTCTGAACTGAAAAGGCAGCACCCTCTTAGGCACAAGCCACCCTAAGGTTAAGCATTTATAAATCAGTGATTGCCTCTGTCCTCAAATGACTGACAGTTGTAATCACCTTGGCATCTATAAAAGGAAAAAGAGAATAAGGATTGTTCCATGACTCTTTGGTACTACTTAGGTAAGAGAATACTTCCTGATCAATTAACAGAAAACCAGCCTATCCTGGGATTCAAGCAGTTTAAAAACTTTCAGAAGTACACATTAAATATTTAGCAGCTCTACATCAGCTAACCCTGGATTCTTTGGTACCTGTAACTAGGTGCAAAACTCCAAGGCCCGGTGAGAAACAGCCTGTGCTATTTTGGTTTGGATGTGGTCTGTCCCCATCAAAACCCATGCTTAAATCTGGTTATGAACGTAGCAGCACTGCATGCTGGGGTTTTTAAGAGGGATTAATGTCTTTTTTGCCAGACTGGATTAGTTCTGGGTTGTTATAAAAGCGAGTTTGGCTTCACTGGCTCTCTCTTGCCATGTGTGCATTCTTCTGCACATGGCAGCTTGCTTTTCCACTTTTCTGTCATGCCAGCCCTCACCAAAAGCTGAGCACACGTCAGTGACATGCTCCTGGGTCTCCAGAAGTGTAAGCCAAAATAAACCTTTCTTTATAAATTACCCAGTGTCAGGTACTCTGTAACAGCAACAGAAAACAAAGACAGTCTGGCAGACTTAAAAAGGGTTCTTGTATTTTATGTGATCAAGATATCTAACTTCAGATACAACATTTCATAAAACTGATACCTCTTCCTATTTCCCGGAAAAGATAATATTTAAGGTGCCTTTTACCTTGCTGAAGGCTATTGTGAAGACAATTGACAAACGTGGCTAATATAGTTGCCACATTCATTACTTGCCAGCACTGGGCAAGACCAAGCGTAAAGAGTTCATTCCAATAAGCTTTCACCAGTGATATGCTGTTTTCTTGCCTATTAAAGACAAAAAGTAAAATTCAGATACTATTAAAATAAATTCCATCAACTTTATAATTGATCCATGTATGTAAAAAATATTACTGAACTAAAACTCAGAAAGATTAGTTGGGCAAGGACTTGATCAGTTTAGTGTTGTATACCGCTGATGAGAACTCACAATGAATGCTTATGAATTTAAATATTAAGTAGCTCTTTATCAATCACCCAGTTTATAAGAGCAATGGCAAGTCATCTTGTTTTTTTTTTTAAGATTGATTTATTTATTTGAAAGTTAGAGTTACAGAGAGGCAGAGGCAGAGAGAGAGAGAGAGAGAGAGAGAGAGAGAGAGAGAGAGGTCTTCCATCTGCTGGTTCATTCCCCAAATGGCCACAACAGCTGAGCTAGGCCAATCCAAATCCAGGAGCCAGGAGCCCCCTACAGGTCTCCCACACGTGCAGGGGCACAAGGACGTGGGCCATCCTCCACTGTCATCCCAGGCCATAGCAGAGAGCTGGATCATAAGCAGAGCAGCCGGGACTCCAACTGGCGCCCATATGGGATGCTGGCATTGCAGGTGGTGGCTCCACCTGTTACACCACAGTGCTGGCCCCAGCAATTCATATTTCAAACTTAAAAAAGTTGGGACCTTAATCTCATATTTCATGGAAAGCTTTTCTTTAAAAAAAGTAAGAAAGCAGAAGGATGTATTTAAAAGCCTTTTTCCAAACTTTCTTTTGCTTTGAATAAGTATGTTTTTCTCTTTGAAAAAAGGGCAATTTGAATTTCATGGGAGAGACCAGCATTGTAGCATAGCAGGTTAAGCCTCCACCTGCACAGCATCCTGTATGGGGACCAGTTTTGAGACCTGGTTGCTCCACTTCCAATACAGCTCCCTGCTAACACACCTGGGAAAGCAGCGAATATTGGCCCAAGTGTTTGGGCCCCTACAGCCACGTGGGCCACCCAAAAGAAGTTCCAGACTCCTGGCTTCAGCCTGGCCCAGGAGCCATTTGGGGAGTAAACCAGCAAATAAATGAAAAATAAATTTTTAAAAAAACATATATACTTAAATGATTCATTTTCTAAGTATGTTTCAAATGAGACATTACTATTTCCAATGAGATATCCAGGATTTTACAATGAGTAATAAGAGATAAGAAAAGTAGAAAGTACCTTCCTGAACTTTTAAAACTTTTATCTATTTGCAGGGCAGAGAAACAGTTCTCTGTTCCAGTGGTTCACTCCCCAAATGCCCTCAAATGAGGCTGGGCCAGGCCAAAGCCAGAAGCTGGTAACTCAATGCAGGTTTCCCAAGTGGGTGGCAGGAGCTCAATTACTTGAGCCAACATTGCTGCTTCCCAGGGCCCACATTAGTAGGAAGCTGGAGTCAGGCATCAAACCTAAGACTACAACGTTGTTGAGACATGGACCTTCTACAAGTAAGCTAAAGGCCTGCTCCACCTATCCTGAATTTTCTAAGAAATCTCAACGTAGGAGTAGAAAAAGTATTAGAATATGAATCACAGTATCAGGGTTTTAAATACACTTATCTATTTTTTTAAAAGCTTTTTTTTAATTTATTTGAAAGAGTTACAGAGAGAGGCTGAGACAGAGAGGTCTTCCATCCGCTGGTTCACTCCCCAGATGGCTGCCAACGGCCAGAGCTGTGCTGATCCAAAGCCAGGAGCTTCTTCTGGGTCTCCCACATGGCGTGCAGGGGCCCAAGGACTTGCACTGTCCTCCACTGCTATCCCAGGCCATAGCAGAGAGCTGGATGGGAAGAGGAGCAGCCAGGACTAGAACTGGCGCCCATATGGGATGCTGGCACCTCAGGTGGAGGATTAACTTTAACCTGCTGCGCCACAGTGCCAGCCCCCACTTATCTATTTGGAACTAGGAAAGAAGCTTCCTGGGTTTTAGGCTGCTTAACAATATAAAATGCAGAGAAACTATGTGTTTGGTATCTTCCTTAGACTTATTAAAGTGGTAACACAAAGTATATGCCAGGCACTACAGAAGCAGCTATTTGCAAGATGGAAAAATTGATGGAAAGTTGTGGGCGTCCATACCCTCTGTGTAGATCCACTGTGTCCCCCGATTTGTGTGGAGTTTCCTCTGCAGTTTTCTCCCTAACTTTTCCCTGAGACTGCACTTTCTCCACTTTTTTTAAACTATATTCTCCAAGACTAGAGCAGTCAGCTCCCTCCCTACTCCACCATCTTGGAAGCTCACTCTTAAATGTTTTTAAAGGTTAATTCAATTAGTGAAGATAAATAGCAAGTCCCCTTTAAAAATAAGTTTCCTAGAAAAATGGCCATATACTATCTACTTTGTAGTATACACTGGGCTAGATAGACTTATATTTATTATCCGACCTAAGTGGAATAGCTCATAAGCAAATGTTCTGCTCCTAGCCTACACAAGTAAAAGCTAAGCTCCATTTAAGTAATTTAATCCCAAAACACAGCTGTTGTTCAAATAAGATGTGACTGCTGAACTCATGCTGGATTCTGAACCCCAAAGTCAGTGCTGTTGGTACTAAGAGTGTGGATACTTAACCCAATTATGGTATCTAGAAGATAAGTCTAATGGAAGGGACTTATATCACTTGGGATATATGTCCTTGGAAGCTAGTGTTTTTTTTTTTTTTTTCCCCAACAGGCATAGTGGTCAGTGAGAGAGAGAGAGACAGAGAGAAAGGTCTTCCTTTTGCCGTTGGTCCACCCTCCAATGGCCGCCGTGGATGGTGCGCTGCAGCCGGCGCACCGCGCTGATCTGATGGCAGGAGCCAGGTGCTTCTCCTGGTCTCCCATGGGGTGCAGGGCCCAAGCACTTGGGCCATCCTCCACTGCACTCCATGGCCACAGCAGAGAGCTGGCCTGGAAGAGGGGCAACCGGGACAGAATCCGGTGTGCCGGCGCCGCAAGGCGGAGGATTAGCCTAGTGAGCTGCAGCGCCAGCCGGAAGCTGGTTCTTATTAACAGGGTTGGTTATAAAAGCCCGAGTCGGACCTAGCCACTCTCTCTGCTTTCTGGTTCACCTGTCTTCTACTGACAGTCCCCTGCGGCCACCCTCCGGCATCACCAGATGACCAAACCAAGAGGGCTCACCTGGGAATGTCCAAACCTGCGAGCAGGAGTAAAACTCCTTCCTTTTTAAGTAGCTTGTATTAGATATTTCATTTAGTAATGAAAAGCTGACACAAAAGCCAGCAGGTGAAAATTTCAACCCAGATGTTCAAAAATCTATGCTCTTTTATATAGCACTACATAAATTAGCAAGTAATGGGGCTGGCACTGTGGTGCAGTGGCTTAATGCCCTGGCCTGCAGTGCCGGCATACCATATGGGCACTGGTTCAAGTCCTGGCTGCTCCACTTCCCATCCAACTCTCTGCTATGGCCTGGGAAAGCAGTGGAAGATGGCCCAAGTGCTTGGGCCCCTGCAACTGCCTGGGAGACCCAGAAGAAGCTCCTGGCTCCTGGCTATGGATCGGCACAGCTCTGGCCGTTGCAGCCAACTGGGAAGTGAATCATTGGATGGAAGAACACTCTCTCTCTCTCTCTCTCTCTCTCTCTCTCTCTCTCTGCCTCTCCTTTCTCTGACTTTCAAATAAAAAAACTAAAAAAAAAATTAGCAAATAAAATGCTAAAATCCATTTCTCAGTAGTGACTCCTTACTTAAGGCCAATATTTTGGGATGATAAAGGGCATGGTTGCTATCTATATTTTCCTGTCGAGAAAACAAAACAAATGACTATTATAGTTATATAGTACTACTTTTATTTATTTATTTTTTTTTTTTGACAGGCAGAGTAGACAGTGAGAGAGCGAGATAGAGAGAAAGGTCTCCCTTTGCCGTTGGTTCACCCTCCAATGGCCGCCACGGCTGGCGCGCTGCGGCCAGCGCATTGCACTGATCCGATGGCAGGAGCCAGGTGCTTCTCCTGGTCCCCCATGGGGTGCAGGGCCCAAGTACTTGGGCCATCCTCCACTGCACTCCTTGGCCACAGCAGAGAGCTGGCCTGGAAGAGGGGCAACCGGGACAGAATCTGGCGCCCCGACTGGGACTAGAACCTGGTGTGCCGGTGCCGCAAGGTGGAGGATTAGGCTAGTAAGCGGAGGCGCAGGCCTAGTACTACCTTTTTTCAAAACATCTTCCCTTTGAGAAGCAAAAGGAGCCATGTAGAGAAATGCAATTAAGGTTATCTGTCAGGCACCCAGAAATCAAAGAAAGGGTTCATTACAATAACAAAAAGCATTAAGTTGCAAAAAAAAAAAAAAGCATTAGGTTGCATAACAGTAAATAATCAACTTCATTTAAACTTTTCACTATCTGCTGTGCTCCATTTTATGTATATATAATATAAAAATTACACAATTCAGGGTTTTTACTAGTTTCTTGGTAAAAGAATATGACTTCACACACCTTGGGGATAAACTAGCCATTTGGCATCTATATACATAAACCCAAGGCATCATTCTTTCCCCAATAGCAGTTTGAACTGAAGGCATGATCCTTAGGGAAAAACGGAAAAACAATCAGTGATCGAGCCAAAAATCCATAAAATTATAGCAAACATTACATTGTTTCAGTGGTGCTTTAAAAAATATGTACCTTTAATAGAAAGCTGCTTAAACTATTCAATAAAATCTCCTCTGGTAAATGGTGGTGCTTGGAACTTCAGATCATATTTTAATAATCTAGATACAGAGGGATTGCTGCCATAGTTACTCTAGGCAAATCATGCCAAGTACTTCTAGTACCCCTCCAATTAAATCTATTACTGTGTAGAAACCTACGTTACTCAGGAAGATCTTAAAACAGCTGAATTCTGTTAAGTCTTGATAGTACAAGTCTTAAACACAAAGTGAACACTCATAAAATATAGCAGCCCTGGGCACAGCGGCTTAAGCTGCCACTTGCAACACCAATTCCATATAAGAGCACCAATTCAAGTCCTGGCTGCTCCTCTTCCAATCCAACTCCCTGATAATGTGCCTGGAAAGGCAGTGGAAGATGGAGCATCAGCCTGACCCAGTCCCAACTGTTGCATCCATTTGGGGAGTGAACCAGTGGAAGGGAGATCTTGCTCTGTCTCTCCCTCGCTCTGCAACTCTGCCTTTCTAATAAAATAAGCTCTTAAAAAGAAAATACAGATGCCCTAATAAAATATAAATTAGCTCTCATGCATTTTATTAAGTCAACACACAAATAAGACCTATATATTACATAGATTTGGTAAGAAATGAGTTTACATAGCAGTTAATGGCCCTGACTGCTATACCAATAGCTTTTCTAACTACAGAAAATTTCAATAATGATGCTATGAATAATTTAAGGAGTTCAAATCATTCCCCAAAACGTTCTTATAAAATTGATAGTCTACTAAGAAAAATATTATTAGGATACTTTTCTGGTATAAGTATACCAGTTACAAGCTTCACAAACTACACTAAATGCTTTAAAATTAATAAATTTCTAATATATAAATTTATATTGCATTTTTAATTTTCCTAAAAATAAGATAAAAACTTTTGAAAGCTGAATGCTACTTTGAGAGAAAGGGTTAATAAACATTTTAAAGGTTAGCCATATAAACTAGGCTTTTAGTCTAATTGTATTATCAAAGTATGATCAAGTGCATGATATAACTAACACTTATTATTAACCAGATTACAGTACTGAATACACCTTTATTCAGTTCTCTGTATGTCTTTTACAGTTCTGATTCAGATGCTTATTTCTTAGCTATATTCAGAGAGTATTCGCTAAGAGGTGGGCAGTTACTCCCATTTAGCAAATGAGAAAAGAGATGTGTAAGACAGTGCGTCATTTACAAGTCATTATTAGTGAATAGAGTTCTGTGAGTAGAACATCAATTTCCTGGGGCAGGCATTTGGCACAGCAGTTAACATGCCGCTTAGAACAACTACACCCCATTATCTATGTCTGGGTTTGAATCCAGGCTCCCCTCCTGATTTCAGCTTCCTGTTAATGTGCACCTTTTGAAACAGCAGGTAATGGCTCAAGTGCTTTGGTCCCTTCCACCTAAGTGGGAGACCTGAACTTAATGCCTAGCTCCTGATTTCAGTCAATGGATCCTGGCTGTTGTGGGCATCTGGGGAATGAACCAGTGTGAGATTCTCTCTCTCTCTCTGCCTTTCACATAAATAAATAAAAACATTCTGATTATAAGCTTAACTCTTTCCACTGTTTCATACCTTTTGGTACCAATTACTTGAAAACTATGTACAAATTTAAGTTTGGGTTTTCTATGGTAAACCATTTTCCATTTTATCTGATTACTTCAATACAGAATACAGATGTGCGCTTTAGCACAGTGAGACTAAATTTCTGGATCACTGCAGTGGTACTCTGGCAACAACCTACAACCTCTTTACCAATCAGAAGATTGCAAGTGCTACTGCAAATGCTAGCCATGAACTAGCAACTCCACTTCCGATGTTCTATCCAAATGAAACTTAGTCAAACTATGAAATATGGATACTCTTCTATATAGAATATAGAGAAAATACTAGATGGCTGCCGTGATTGTCATATAAATGATACAATTTAAAGTTAGAATATTATATCATTTTCCTTTAATGCAAATCTTCCCCAAATAAAAGTCATGCATAATGTATAATGTACATTTGTGCTGCAAAAATCACATTTTTATTCAAGGACTTCAAAACACTCACCCTAGAGCCTGGAAAGAAGGAATTGAAAGTGCCCAGTGCATTGACAAGAACAGCAGTCTGGAGGCAGATTCCCCAATGTAGTGTACATTCAGGTACTCAGGCATAGGAGAAGGCATGGTGAGCTGGTATGAACAGGGATTTGGGTAAATTATCTTAACAGTGAAGTTCTAAATTATAATTCATTTGAAAAAGGTGAATGTAAACATAACCCATCAAATATGAATCTAACATATACACACAAAAAAAGACTAGTCGTGAAATAATCCAAGTCAACAGGGGTTAAAATAAGTGAAGTCATAGTTTCTAACAAATCAATATTCAGAAAAGCAGATCAACCATGACGTTTTAAAGTTACTTCCTGTTTTAGCCTAGTAATATTTCTATTTCCTTCCTCCGTTAACAGCAGTGTACAAATTCAGTTTATGGAGCAATCACATATGATAACTGTTCCTTTCATTTAGGCTAAGAAATTAACAAATTCAAATGTTAACAGGGCTAGGAAAGTAATGAGTGACGTGCTAGTGCCAACCAGGGAGAGAATGTTCTCAGACAAAGGGCACAGCACAAAGAAAACGTATGAGAATTTGGGCTCAGCATTACAGGTCTTTCCATTTTCCAAAGAGCAGGGTCTGTGTGTAATCTCTGTATTAAAAAAATAAAAATTGGTACGGTATTTTTAAAAATATTCTACAGGTAAAACAAAATGTGTCTGTGGACTTTCTGCTTTCAGGCTGTCAGTCTGTATCACTGATATTAGATAGTTATTTTAAATGTTTACCACTGCTAAAAATAAATATAAATATCCATCATCAAAACTTTGGAAAGCAAATCTGAAAATCTTGTTAAAGAGAACTTTTTCACTGCTACATACATGAAATGTAATATCATTATGAAATTTTTCTACTTTGAAATTATTAAAATAATCTAGAATATCAATCTAAGAACAGGGCCGGCGCCGCGGCTCACTAGGCTAATACTCCGCCTTGCGGCGCTGGCACACCGGGTTCTGGGTACCCCTCTGCCAGGCCAGCTCTCTGCTGTGGCTAGGGAGTACAGTGGAGGATGGCCCAAGTGGTTGGGCCCTGCACCCCATGGGAGACCAGGAGAAGCACCTGGCTCCTGCCATCGGATCAGCGAGGTGCGCCGGCCGTAGCGCGCCAGCCGTGGCGGCCATTGGAGGGTGAACCAACAACAAAAGGAAGACCTTTCTCTCTGTATCTCTCTCTCACTGTCCACTCTGCCTGTCAAAAAAAAAAAAAAAAAAAAATCTAGAGAACAAAAGAAAATAAGCAATCACACCCTACTGAGGCTAAGTCAACAGCTGGGCAATTTGGCTGCCATTATCAAAAGTTTTAAATTAAGTATCCTATGACCTAATAAAGCCACTTATAAATCTATTCTAGAAAATTACTTGCACACATTCACAGAAAAGCACGTATAAGGAGGTCTACTGTAATTCTAACAACGAAATTAAAAGTTGGTAGTAATCCAATCCCAATCTTTCATCACCAGGGAAAACAATAATCCACCCTACAGTAATACCTTGTAGGCAATAAAATTAATAAGATAAATTGAGATGTAATAGCACAGAAAAAATATTTCAGACATGTACGTGGAAAATTCTGCAATAGCATGAATAATCCAATATATGCTTAAGAGAATGTGTGTATATGCATACACACACATACAAATGACAGAAGGAAATAAACCACACAGTTAACAGTGGCTGCCTCTAGGAGTGGGGGACATGTGAATGTACCTGCAGGTATTTTTCTGGGAAAATGAAATCTAGCTTTCATCAGACTCTTAAAGATGTCTACAGTTTCACAGAGATCAAAAGGTTTTCATCAAATTATATAAAAGTTCTCCAGAAATGTTAGATGAAAATGTAAAAAAGTAAATCTGCCTTTGTTCAATATTAGCCACAAATGATTTATTGGCCAAATACTACAACAGTACAGCAATTAACAGTTGACATTCAATAGATGAGAAAAACTTCTTATGTTGAAGAGTGTTTTAAAAACATTTACTGGAGCAATAAATTCAACTCAATTCCTTAGCAGAATCGTAGGCTATCAACTATTAAACATCTTAAATATAAGCTATCATGATGAAACTTTCTATGAATGAGTATATTAAAAAAACTGGGAACTATCATACCTTTTCAGAAGTGCCCAAGGTGAGTAGGGAAAAAAAGCCTGAAAAATTAGGGGAATTACCAAAAATTACTAGTTTTAGGGGGTGAAGGCTAAGTAAGATGAAAAAACAACAAATATCCCTTGTCAAATGTTTTAAATTGCCTCTAAATCAAATAGTTGTAATACGGTCTTCATTCGATATCTTCCACAGATTGGTTCTAGGATCCTGTGTGGATACCAAAATCTGCATGCTCAAGTCTCTTATACAAAATGGTATACTATTTGCATACAACCTGCACACACTCTCCCATATACTTTGATCTCTAGGTTATTTATAACACCTAGTACAATACAAATGCTGTATTAACAGTACTACACTGTTTTGGGAAATAATGACAAGAAAAAAAAAAGCCTGTACATGTACAGTACAGATAGGATTTTTTTCCCCTATTTTTGATCCATGTTTGGTTGAAATTGCAGATGCAAACTCTTGGATGTAGAATACTCAGGTACAGAGGGCCAACTTTTAAGTAAAAAGTGGATATAATAGCTTTGATCTACTCAACAGTAGTGGCAACTGGAACCTTTCTACTGCTTTCGTTATAAACTAAAGTAACTCAGATAAAATATTACTGTTTTATTATATTACAAGGACATCTCATAATTTATTTACACACCTAAAATGCCTCCAGTGTTATCAGTCACAAAGCTAATGATGGCTGAAGAAACAATAATAATCTATTCAACCAGTCTTTTAGACTCAAAAGAAAGATTTTCTTCTACATAGAGAAGGTCAGTTTCTATTACAAAGATGTAAAGAATTCCTCAAAATGCCTGTGGATATTTAAATTTATAAATTGAAGTAGATATATTTTTCAAATTAAAAAATATGAGGGTACTTAAAAAAGGATTCAAAAATAGAATTAAAAAGATGCTTATTTTGGTGCAAAATTTTGAAATCCATGCATAATTTTTCATTGTATATATTTTCTGTGAACTTCTTGACGATTCCTTAAATGCATGGATTTCAAGAGTATTTTGCACAAAATAAACTTTTTCAGTCAATTTTCCACAAACTTAAAAAATTGGAAAATCAAGGGGAGAGACAGGTGTTTCTTCCATTCACTAGTTCATTCCCCACATGCCTGTAATAGCCAGCTGTAGGATGGGAGGAACCCAGGAGCCCAGAACTTCATTCAGGTCTCTTGTTTGGTGGCAGGGACTCAACTACTTGAGGCATCACTGCTGCCTCACAGAGTCTACATTAGCAGGAGACTGGAATCTAGTGTGGCATTGGAACTTAACCCATAAACTTCAAAATGGGTGTCCCAAGGGCCTTCTTAATAGTTAGGCCTAACACTTGTCTCAATATTCCACAAACTTAGGGGCCGGCGTTGTGGCATAGTTGGTTAAGCTGCTGCCTCCAATATGCAGGTATCCCATATAGATGCTGGTTTAATTCCTGGCTGCTCCACTTCTGATGCAGCTCCCTGTTAATGGCATGGGAAAAGCAGAGGAAGATGGCCTAAGTATTTGGGCCTTTGCCGTCCTGGCCATTGCAGTCATTTGGGGAATGAATCAGTGAATGGAAGAAGATATCTCTCTCCTTCTCTCTCCCTCTCTCTGTAACTCTACCTTTCAAAAAATAAATAAATAAATAAATAAAAACCCTACACTTAACCAACCGGTTTTCATAGTTCTTACTTGCCATTCCAAGTACCTTTCTAGCAGAGTTTCTATATTAAATCTGGCAACAGTCTGCATGATAGAACTTTTTAAAAATAATTTGACTTGTGTTAGATCTAGATTACACTTTCAACTTTTCATTATTCTCTTCTTATGACCAAAATTCTTATGATGATCATTCTTATGGATCATTCATTAACCATTTATGTACTCAGACGTCTCTGTGAAACACCACGTGCTGCTGTCTCAGTAGAGGAATAAGGTGAAAATAGAATGAGTTTTTAAAAAGGAAATGGGATGTGTGGGAAATGACAGGCAGTTTTTATCAGAAGGTGGAGGGCTCTAAAAGGTCACATTATAAAGACTGAACTTAATCCCACATGGGTCATGGAATGGATTGAAGGATTTTAAATAGTAGAATGACATAATTAGATCATTTTTATTTATTTATTTATTTATTTTATTATATTTTTTTGACAGGCAGAGTGGACAGTGAGAGAGAGAGAGAGAGAGACAGAGAGAAAGGTCTTCCTTTTACCGTTGGTTCACACTCCAATGGCCACTGCAGCTGGCGCACCGCACTGATCCAAAGCCGGGAGCCAGGTGCTTCTCCCGGTCTCCCAAGCGGGTGCAGGGCCCAAGCACTTGGGCCATCCTCCACTGCACTCAAGGGCCACAGCAGAGAGCTGGACTGGAAGAGGGGCAACCGGGACAGAATCCGGTGCCCCAACCAGGACTAGAACCCAGTGTGCTGGCACCACAAGGTGGAGGATCAGCCTAGTGAGCCGGCGCCGGCCAGATTATTTTTTAACAAATATGTTGGTATTAGTGCAAAGGATAAGATGGAGAAGAGACAGAAAAGATATACTGTAAAAATTTAAGAAAGTTTAAAGGGCCTGAAATACGCATGGAAATGAAGAGGAAGGGAGAAATGTAAGCAAGATTGCTAGGATTCACTTACTAAATGGAGCGGAGAAATGAGTAAGGACAATGACAAGGACTCCCCAGTTGCAAGGCTGACTTAAAGAAATGTGATTCTGATCTTGCTATAATAAATGTAAGAGAGGAACAGCTTGGGAAATCACTTTATATCTGTCTTTACTTATTTCTAAAATGAGAATACCATAAACCACAACTATTCCTATAAGAACATTCTAAGAATTAAGTGAGATAAGGTATATGAAATCATGCAAAAATCTATAAAGTTTAATGAAAATGTTAAATATTACAATGTCCTAGAGTCTTCAGAATCAAACTTCAAGTTTCTCTATTAGATTATTTCTCCTTGCCACCCTAATTGCTTTGACTAAGTCGATGAAAATCTTTTTCTTCACCTACATGAAAATAAAATTTCTAGCTTCCTCAAAAGAATATGGTGAGATTAAAATTTAAAAATGCATTACAAAATATGCTACTAACTACACTGTACATAAAATGTAACAGGGGAACAAGATGGTATTTAGCTCAGCAATTAAGATATCTGAGAGTAATCTATTTACAGATACCAAGTCTTGAAACTCATAACCAGGAGAGCTCAGTTAAGAGAACTAACCATGAAATTACCAGATTCTAGGAATGAAGCAGGGAAATCACTAAAACGTAGAACTCTTGACTTCACCAGGCTATAAACATAATCAAAGGAAAAAAGGAGCCATCCTTTTAAAGTAATACACTTCACAATGCTGACTGTGAGGACACCCAGAGTCCAGGAGATAAATGGAATGGAAAAATTAACCAATCCCCAAAAGAAAACAGCTTTAATATTTCTAATTCATCTGTCCAAAATCTATCTTTATCTCAAGGAATCATCAATTTTGAGGACCAACATAAACAATAAAAAAGGTAAACCACCTCTACATTCTAAAGAAATGCTCTTTTTCCTTGAAGTGAGTCCTCTCCCCACATTCTGTCTCATTTCATCCTTCCTCCCACTTAATACAAAGGCATGAAATAAAACTAAGAAAAGAATGGCTTTTACTGACAGTAAGAAAGCACAACAGGAAAAAGTTTTGCCTCTCTCTACCCTTGTCTATAGATTCCACTATAATTTTTAAGGATGACAAGGATTATTCTCATTACCTTTTCTCATAACACATCTGCACAATGCAGATAAGACATTTAAGATTTCTCTATCTTTAGTAAAACTGTACGTGAAAATTGGTTTCACTGATAGATTTTACTGACTATATGAATTCATCGTATTTATGATTGTTATTTAAGTCACTGAGTTTTCTTTGTGACTATTTCTACTAAGTCAAACTTAACAAATACAAATATTACCATACAGAGTTTTGACCAATTTTACATTCACTTTGTTTTCCATTTTTTCTACAGGTAATACACATATTTATTTAATAATGGTGTATATTCTAAGAAATCCATGGGGATTTATAATCTACAGTAAAAAATATGAGCAGTGACTCTTAGGTATCCCCTAACTACTATGTATCATACAGTTAAATCTTTTATGCATATTCAGTCACTTTGTTTATTTTTTGCTAATAGTATCCACAGATACAGAGCAAAGTCACAGAATGGTTAAAATGGAGGGAACAAACAATGGGGTCTGAATGTAAGGTCCAATAATGACCACATCTGTAAAACTAAGAAAATATGATTTGAATGACAAATAAGATATCAGGAGGTGCTTTTTAGTCCTCAATACCTATTGTTTCTAGTATTATACACATATTGTTCCACCCTAAATGAACATATTTAGGGGAACAAAGTAAATGTCAAATGTACTTCCCCAAAATGTTTAAAAATGAAAAACGTATTAAGTAATTTATACCTTCTTATAATAATGTTGAAAGCTAGCTAATTAGGTTGATATACAACAAATGGACTTACTGATTTACATTGAAGAAGTATTGACTAGGCATTGATCAAAAGCAATGCATTCAACATATCATGAATGCTGATTCTTAAACCAAAAAACAATCCTTAGATATTTATAGATTTAAATCCAATCACTGCTATTAACACTGGCTTATCAACAGGGGTGCTTTATTGAGACATTATTTCATAACCAGATGTGTATGCTTGAACTGCTGTTCTGAAGTTTTATCAGGAGTATTTCTGACTTGAAAAGCACAACAATCATACTCTAAGTTTTGAAAGGAAGATCAAATCAGACAATAACACAATATAAAAATTTAAAAAATAGAAATACCCTGAAAGCTACATGTGAATCGCTGAGAAGTGGCCCTTCTTTTTCGATGTAATTTATGCTTGAGTCTCCAGCTAGTACATGCATGCTTCCTTCCATGCCCTCTACTGAGTTCTGACAAGCTGTGTTCTCTCCAGGATTCAATGCTTTTGCAAGAGTATCAAATGCCCTACAATGAGACATAAGAAGCTGTGAGCTTGGCCAATCTCTGTAAGATGAAAACTCCACAGAAAATTCTGGAATTAAGATTCAAGCCAAAAAACTTGTTTACAAACAGAATGCTGGTGAACCACTGAGCACTCTATTTCAGTGGCACCTATGACTCCCTAAAGACTACAAATTAAACTTTAGATGTATATTACAAGATACTATATTATTATATTAATTTATGACCAGAGAATTAAGATCTCTATTAAAAATCACAGATAATTAAGGAGATAAAAAAATCCTAATAGTCTGATATGAAAGTGTGCTATTAAAGCAGTGCATTTAATATATGAACCCATTTATCTGACATACGTAAGTTCTTTAGAAGGAATAGAGGTAAAAACTTTTGGTGACTCTACCATATTGCACACAATACAAAGATGTGTCTTAATTTTATTTAAAAATTCAGGGAATATTTTCAAGCTTGTAGTTACTAGTTAAATCCAAAGTGTAAGAATTTGAGATTAATTATTAGCAAATAATGATTCAAAATAGCTCCCTATACTATAAGAGAAGTAGTTGAGACTGTGTGTGTGTGTGTGTGTGATAGAGTGAATGAGAGAGAGACAGAGAGAGAAAGAATGTATACTTCCATCCACTGGTTCATTTCCCAAACATCTGCAATGGCCCTGGGCCAGGGGTCTGCAACTCAAATCCAAATCTCCCACATGGGAGCAACTCAATTAACTAAGCCATCACCAGGGCCTCGCAGGGTCAGCATTAGCAGAAAGCTGGGGATAGGTGGTACAGCCAGGTATGGAATCCAGGCATTCCAACATGGGACACAGTAGCTTAACCAGCAGGATAAATGCATACCCTCATAATTTTCAATGATCTTCCTTTAGAGTTCCTGGAGATATCAAGTTCAATAAAGGACTTGGCATGCAGTTTATTTCATGTTTTAAATTGAGAAAGAGAGTGTGGGAAAATCTAAAGAAAGTTAATTTCTATAGCCAAAGTATTAACACTGATAAAATGAAAAGCAGAATTCTATATTTTTCTCAAGTGTAACTAAAACCTATAGTTAATTCAACTTTGTCTTTTACATTTATTTTTATGACTACAAACTGGGAATTGTGATCAACCTAACAATTAAGCAACACAAATATTTCACTTTACACACACAGAAGGTAAAACATGATAACCAAATATTTGAATTGTCAGGCTGAAGTTATTAAATTTACAGGAAAAAAATTCCTAAATTTTAGACTTCATTTCTAATCATATAATATTCAATTATTGCTCTTGCTATTTAGAATGTTACCTGCTGGACATTTTCAGTTAAAACTTATAATTTACATGTTCTATGTCTAATAGAAATACTTGTTTTTTGAAATTTCTGTAAATAGTATCTAACATAAAATATTAATAAATAAATACTAAAAGACACAAGATAAAAACAGGCCTTACCTTGAAACATCACCATTGGTTTGCATTTCTTGATGAAATTCACACATAGAGGAATCACCATTACTTAAGCTTTCCATCACAGACATATCACTACTATTTTGAGAAAGATCTTTAGTTTTTCCAAGATTTGCTAATGATGTGACTACACTAGCCAATGTACTTAGGTCTCCCTGGCAGGATTCAGCCTTTAGGAAAAAAAAAAGTATTAGAAGTCTGAAAATCAATGTATTTTAAAATCTGAAATTACCAACTAAAATTTTATTATGAAATGCCACAAAAAAGGTGTATCATGATAAACAAAGTCAAGAAAGTAAAATCAAAGAGCTCTGAGCTTTTAGAAAAAAACTTTTTTAAAAAAAGTTTAAAAACAGTACATACTTTTCTTCAGAAATATTTATTAAACAGCTTAAGACAAAAGCTGCAATCAATGGCTAATTTATTCATGTCATTGTCATTTCCTCTATAAAAAGGATTTAAAATTTGTTTTAATATGAAAGGCAAAGATTCCCCCAATCTTCTGGTTCACCTTCTGCATGGCCCCATGTAGCTGGGGTTAGGCCAGTTGGAAGCCTGGGGTAGGAATTCAATCTAGGTCTCCTACATAGGTGGCAGGTACCCAATAGATGCACTACACCGGCTGATTCCCAGAGCATTATTAGGAGGAAACTGGAATCAAGAGTAGAAGCAGCCGGCACACCGGGTTCTAGTCCCGGTCGGGGCGCCAGATTCTGTCTCAGTTGCCCCTCTTCCAGGCCAGCTCTCTGCTGTGGCCAGGGAGTGCAGTGGAGGATGGCCCAAGTGCTTGGGCCCTGCACCCCATGGGAGACCAGGAAAAGTACCTGGCTCCTGCCATCGGATCAGCGCAGTGCGCCGGCCGCAGTGCACCGGCCACGGTGGCTATTGGAGGGTGAACCAACGGCAAAAGGAAGACCTTTCTCTCTGTCTCTCTCTCTCACTGTCCACTCTGCCTGTCAAAAAATAAATAAATAAAATAAAATAAAATAAAATAAAATAAAATAAAAAGAGTAGAAGCAGGACTCGAATCCAGGCACTTATATATGGGATGCAGGTGCTACAAGTAGCATCTTAAGTGCCATGCCAAAAGCCCACCCTTATAAAATGATATTAAATGGCAGCATGATGGCCGCAGTGACCATTTGGGAGGTGAACCAACAGAAGGAAGACCTTTCTCTCTAACTTGCCTGTCAAAAAAAAAAAAAAAAAAAAGATATTAAGTGAGATAATCCCTCAGGTTCATTCTGGTATTAAAATTTGATGATTCAGTTATAATAATTTCTAATACTCATTATACAAACTATAAACTTTTACAGAATACAAAGAATACTAGTGAAAAGAAGAAAAAAAGGCAAATTAATGAACAGACTTCCTAAGATGCCAGCTTTTATCTGGCATTGTGTTAAACACAAAAAATAAAAAGAAATTAATGTTTCCCATTTTTCTCTTTATGTTTTTTCTTACTGCTGTTGAAAAAATCTCTTTATATCATTAAGCTGTTGGTCTTTTGTTACACATTGTATATTTTCCTGATTGTCTTCATTTTTCACATCTGTTAATAACATACACAAGCCTCCACCTGCAATGCTGGCATCCCATATAGGCAAGAACCAGAAGCTCCACTTCCAATCCAGCTCCCTGCTAATCCATCTGGGAAAGCAGTGGGAGATGGGCCGCTATAGGAGATCTGGCGTTGGCCTGGTCCAGCCCTGTCTGTTCTAGCCGTTTGGAGAATAAATCAGCAATACTTTGCTTTCTGGTTGTTTTTAAGTGTAAAATAATATTTTGTTGCAGACCATTCTTCCTCTGCTCTCACACCACAAGCATTACAAAAGACCTTTGTAATCTTCAAATGTTTAAGGATTTCTCCCCATCAGCAAGCAGTCTATTCTGCAGCAGGTATCAGCTGAGTATCCTCCGACTCAATTCAATTCTGACACTATCTACCTGGAGATTACATCAGATCCAACAGGTTGAGGGCTCATTCCAAGAATGTCCCCACTGCTTTGGTTACTAATCAAGGCCCAGGTAGCTTTACATGTGCTTCTGACCATTTGCTTGTAAGACTGGGTAACTACAACCCCCTCCTTGGGTTTAATTTGCTTGAGTGGCTCACAGAGCTCAGGGAGACTTGTTTACTGACTTATGAAAGGATACTACAAAGGATACAGATGAAGAGGTGCATCCATAGGATGCTGATGTGAGGAAGGAGTGCAGTGCTCCCATGCCCAATCTGGACATATCACCCTATGGGACCTGCACGTTTGGCTACCTGGAAGCTCTCTGAACCCTGTTATTTTGGGGTTTTTACTGAGACTTCAGTACACACTGCATGTTCATGTGCTTTGGCATTCTTTATTCACATAGTTGAGACAAGACTCCTCTTCAATGAGGACAGACAGGACTTAGGGAGTTTCTTGGGCCTGCTTGGTGAGGAACTTACAAACCAAGAACCACAGTCAATGGGATCAGCATTATGGTATGCCATGTTAAGCTGCCGTCTGCGATGCCAGGATTCCATACATGCGACAGTTTGAGTCCCAGCTGCTCCACTTCTGATCCAGCTCCCGGTTAACAGCCTGGGAAAAGCAATAAAGATGGCCCAAGTGTCTGGTCCCTGCCACCCAATGGGAAACCTGGATAAAGCTCCTGGCTTCAACCTGGCCCAGCCCTGGCTGTTGCAGCCATCTGGGGAGTGAATCAGTGGATGTAAAATCTCTATTTCTTTAAAAAAATTTTTTAATTATTTATTTATTTGAATATCAGAGTTACACAGAGAAGAGAGGCAGAGAGAGAGGTCTTCCATCCGATGGTTCACTCCCCAGTTGGCCGCAACAGCCAGAGCTGTGCTGATCCGAAGCCAGGAGCCAGGAGCTTCTTCTCAGTCTCCCACAGGGGTACAGGGGCCCAAGGACCTGGACCATCTTCTACTGCTTTCCCAGGCCATAGCAGAGAGCTGGATTGGACGTGGAAAAGCTGGGACTTGAACCGGCGCCCATATGGGATGCCGGTGCTTCAGGCCAAGGCATTAACCCACTGCGCCACAGCGCTGGCCCCTCTAATTCTATGAAAAAAATAAAAAAGAAAGAAACCTAGAGGAATCCTAAAGTTTATTGCTTTCTTGTTGAAGCTACAATTGTTCTAGTAGAATGAACTTTATCACGTAGTTAATTTGTTTTTTAAAAAAGCAACTTATAGCAGGAACATTCAAGGCCAAATCAACTGAACAAAGTGATGGATGAGATTAAAAAAAAAAAAAAAAAAAAAAAAAAAAAGAAACAAAGCATTAAGAATAGCTTTAAATCATACTAAACACTAAACATACCTTGTCTGGTGTCATTAGTACAGCTGACTCAGTTTTTATTCCAGGCTGATGGATATTCACAAACATTCCTGAATCCAACAGTCCTGTTGACCTATAAAAAATAAGTACAAATTTTAGTCTGACTTTCACTGGAAAGAAAAACAGCCCACCAGCTACTTAATGTTTGCTTTACTACACCTTGCAGCTTCACTGTCTGTTACAAAAGTTGGAGTTGCCGCCAATGGGCTTCGAAGGTCTTTTCGAATGTAGATTTTTTCTGTAGAAGCAGCACAGTTGGAAGATTTTTCTCGTGACACTTCGATGGGTTTTCTTTCACATTGAACGGCTACAAAAATGTTAAATAATTATATCATAACACAGAATTTATAGGCAATTAGAAACGTAAGCCTTAAGTCAGCAATGCTGCTAATGGAGGATATAGTTACCACAGTGAACTCTGAAGAGAACTACCAACATTTAGAAATCATATGCAAGTTCAACAAAGTTATTTCACATTAACAAAACTGGCCAATTGCATCTCTAAGTCTCTTTCCTCTCCCTGCTTCTCCAGCTTCTGTGGTAAAAATTACAGGAGATTCTTCAAAAATTTTTCTACGATTTGTTTTGAAGGGAGAGGGAGAAGACAAGGAAGAGGGACACAGAACATGCATGCGTCCTTCCAAATGCTGGTTCATTCCCCAGATGCCTGCAAAGGCTGGCTGGGGCTGGGCCAAGCAGAAGCAGGCGCCAGGAACTCAATCTAGGCCGCCAACGTGGGTGGCAGGAAACTAAGCACTTGAACCATCATTTGCTGCCTCCCAGGATACACATTACCAAGAAGCTGAAGATGGAAGTAGAGTTGAAACTTGAACGCATGGACTGCAACATAGGATGCGAGCATCCCACAGACATCTAAACTGCTGCACCAAACATCCATCCAAGAGGAACTCACTGCTGAGAAGAACTGAAGAGTCCCCTTACTTATCTATGTGAGCATTTTACAAAGTGAAATGAAACTTAATCAGCTGAAAATAACACAAAATGGCTTAAGATAGAATTTTTAAGCTTAGGTTTTTAGAAGACATTTGGCCTTTATTTATAAAATATTAGTATATTTAATGTTTGTAGGAGTTTTATTTAGGAGATTGGGTAGTATAGTTGTTAAATGTACATTTTCTAAACGAACAAGAAACTGCCAGGATCCAAAGTTAAGTTCTGCCACTTACCTAGCTGTATGACCTTGGGCAATTTTCTCAAACATAAAATAGAAAAATACTACAGAGAAGTACTGTGAGAATAAATTAATACATATGCTAAGTACATGTTTGGCTATTGTTTTTGTCTTATTAATCACTTTTTAATGGTTTAATATAAAGACAATTGGTATATTTTCACCTATTTGAAACTATAACTACATCCTTGTAGAATAAGCATTCAACAAATATTTGTTAAATAAGAAATTATATATATGTATTTTTATATTTTTAGTTGGAAACTAAATTACAAAGCAAATGCATGTGGTCTTCAAAAGGTTCATGGAAATGTATATATATCAAGAACCTTGTAAATCTCAAATCTTTGCACCAAAATAAATTTAATCATTTAACTTCATTTCCACAAACTTTTGAATACCCTTACATTTGACATATTTTAATGTATTTAATTTGAATAAACTTGTAGTTTTCCAGGATCCATAAAAGTATTTTCTCTATTAATGCTAATACATACAATCTTGTTTCATTCCAAACGCAATACATCTCTGTAACCTGCAGTATTGACAGCGGTTTCGATGATGTTTATTAATAATACAGTCCTTTGATCCTCGACATGAGTACACTAAATTTTTTCGGATGCTTCTTTTAAAAAAGCCTTTGCAGCCTTCACAAGTTACAGCTCCATAATGACGTCCTAGAGACAAAACATTTAAGAAAATACAAGTCACTTAATTTAGAACAGAAATGGAATGAACTCATTAATACCCTTTAAAAAACAATACATGAGATGAAACAGAGTTCTGAGTTTCTGACACAAAAAATTTTCAGACGTTATATCCTCTGAAAAAGGTAAACAAGTTTTTAATTTTAGAAGGTAACCTTAATGACAGTATAGGAAATTTGGGAATGAGAATAAATTCACTAATAATCCCATTGTTTAACTTTTCATTTCTGACATGAATTAAAAATTAAGAGTTTTGTTATATACCATATTACAAACTTTTAATCTGAAAATTACATTTCAGAAAAAGATAAAATGTCAACCGTATTTATAACAATTCTTCTTCAGTGTAAGTTCTACTTTTGAAATTTCTGAAGAAATCATTTACATTTTGATTAACCCATTATTTCAAAAACTTTTCTTTTACACACCTATTAACAGACTGAACACACTTCGAGGAAACCTCTAATGTAGTAAAGTTTTAGGAAAGATGCATAAAAACAAAACTGGGTCCTTAAGCTATATCCCACTGGCAGTTGTGGCTACACATGAGCAAGTGTGCATTAAGTATTTCTGGCATGAAGTAACAACAGGTAGAACGAAAGTGTCCAAAGCCTAGAGCTAGTAATAGGTTTTGAGAACTGCTGGCTCAGTTAGCATTAACCACAGGGTTTTTTTCACATCACTTCAGTAATTAAAATTACTCTTATTCCTGGACCAAGCTTAAGAGGTAGGTTAACAATGTAATAGATTGTCAAGGAGCACAACTCATTTTAAAATGATTCTCTGACAAAACATCTGATATTCACATTAAGAAATTTTGTTTACTTTCAAAATATGAAACTTATGATAGCCCACTGAAATACGCATTGTATGTCATTAACAAACTCCACCAAAATAAGAGAAACAAAAAGGTTCAGAAAAAATTAAACTTTATAGGCTACAAATATAAACAATAAAAATGTATACTCCTTTTCTTTTTAGAAGAAACACAATAATGGTAGTTATTTTAGCATTATAACACATATAGGAGGTTATTTTTAATGTTACCTGATGCTTTATCTCCACATACTACGCAAAGATCAAAAACCTTATTTGGTCCTTGGTCTTGTGAAGAATTATCTGTTAAGAGCTTTAAAGAAAAAAATTGATATTCAATAACACTCTCATTCTGTCAATAAAACCAAATAACGTTCAGTTAGTACTGCTTGTTTACTTCTTTTTCATAACTTTGAGCTCTCTATTACTACGTACATATCAATTAAACTAGTCTTCTGTACATATAGGTGAAAATTTCAATGTTATGAAATGGGAAGAGAATAGAAAATAATTTTAATTTGTTCCATAATAATTCAATTAAAGTACTCTACCCAACCTGTTCAACATTTAAAAACAAGAGCACTTTTAAATTCATCTTACCCACTCGACACTAAACATTATTATTTGGAACATGTCAAATTATTTTTTTAAAAGATTTTATTTATTTTATTTGAGAGTTGGAGTAGGCCGGCGCCATGGCTCACTAGGCTAATCCTCTGCCTGCGGTGCCAGCACCCTGGGGTTCTAGTCCCGGTCAGGGCGCCGGATTCTGTCCCGGTTGCTCCTCTTCCAGTCCAACTCTCTGCTGTGGCCTGGGAGTGCAGTGGTGGATGGCCCAGGTCCTTGGGCCCTGCATCTGCATGGGAGACCAGGAGGAAGCACCTGGCTCCTGGCTTTGGATTGGTGCAGTGCTGTAGTGACCACTTGGCGGGGTGAACCAACGGTAAAAGGAAGACCTTTCTCTCTGTCTCACTCTCTTTCACGGTCTAACTCTACTGTCAAAAAAAAAAAAGAGAGAGTTAGAGTTACAGACAGTGAGAGGGAGAGACAGAAAGGTATTCCTTCTGTTGGTTCACTCCCCAAATGGCTGCTATGGCCGGAGCTGCGCCAATCCGAAGCCAGGAACCAGGAGCTTCTTTCCGATCTCCCACGTGGGTATAGGGACCCAAGGACTTGGGCCATCTTTCACTGCTTTCCCAGGCCATAGCAAAGAGCTGGACTGGAAGAGAAGCAACCTGGACTAGAACCCGGCACCCATATGGGATGCCAGTGCCGCAGGCGGAGGATCAACATACTGCGCCATAGCACCAGCCCCTGGAACGTGTCAAATTATTGAAGCAGTTGTCAGGTCTATCTGACACTTTCCTTTCAAGTGTCTTTTTATTTTCCTAAGATTTTTCCATCTGTTGGTTCATTCCCCAAATGGCCACAACAGCTAGTGCCAGGCCAGGCCAGGCCAGGCCAAAGCCAGGAGTCAGGAGCTTCATCAAGGTCTCCCACTTAGCTGCAGTGGCCCAAGGACTTGGGCTATACTTTGCTGCTTTCCCATGTGCACTGGTAGGGAGCTGGATTGGAAGATAAGCAGCCAGAACTAGAACTGGTGCCCACATGGAATGCTGGTGCTGCAGGCGGCAGTTCAACCCTTACTGCCATAATGCTGGGCACCTCTAGTCTTTTTTTTTTTTTTTTTTTTTTTGACAGGCAGAGTGGACAGTGAGAGAGAGAGAGAGAGAGACAGAGAGAAAGGTCTTCCTTTTGCCGTTGGTTCACCCTCCAATAGCCACCGTGGCCGGTGCACTGCGGCTGGCGCACCGCGCCGATCCGATGGCAGGAGCCAGGTACTTATCCTGGTCTCCCATGGGGTGCAGGGCCCAAGCACTTGGGCCATCCTCCACTGCACTTCCTGGCCACAGCAGAGAGCTGGCCTGGTAGAGGGGCAACAGGGACAGAATCCGGCGCCCCAACCGGGACTAGAACCTGGTGTGCCGGCGCCGCAAGGCGGAGGATTAGCCTAGTGAGCTGCGGCACCGGCTCCTCTAGTCTTTTATCATGACAAAAATCAATCTTCAGTAAGCAAAAAAGCTAAAACTTCTGGTATCAGATATCCCTTGAAAGCATCTATGTCTAGTATCACTCTTTTCCTTAACAACACACCTACTGCAAAATAAAGCTAATCTTTCATAACCTATTTTCTTAAGGTTAGAAGAGATCCTGAGAGGTTGAGAGATTTGCCCACATCCCATCTTAGATCACTGGACAAGAAATTAAAATCTGCTTGGTCTAGGGGAATTCCAATCTATACCTATTTCTCATTCATTGTCCTGGACATCTATAAAGTAGGCAGAGTACCAATATTATCTTCAGCAGTTGGGGCTAGGCCAGGCTAAAGCCAGGAGCTAGGAACTTCATCTGTGTTTTGTCGCTCCCCCGCTTCGTGGAGGAACGACACAGGACCCTGCGCTGTTCTTTCGTCTGCTCGGCCCTCCCCGGGTTTGCTGCTGGTTCTTCCCGGGTTGGCTACCGACCCTTCCACCTCCGTGGAAGGGCGGTTCCCCCTAGCCACTTTCGCCACTTTCCCCACTTCCGCGGGGGAGCGGCACACCGCCGGCTGGCTCTCTCGGGGGCTGCACAGGTGTTCCTTCAGATAGATGTTCCTGGTGCATGTTGTCTCTCTCCTCCTTTATAGTCCTCTTCCACCAATCCCAACTCGGCTGCCCACACGCCGAGTACGCTGCTCTCCTCCAATCAGGAGCAGGTCCTGCAGCTTGTCAAGTTGGTGAGAGGCAGCTGGGTAGAAGCTGTTTGCTCCTCTCCCAGCGCCATATTGTGGGAGAGCAGATGTATAGAATAAGTCTTAATTCCAGTAACAGTCTAGTCTGAGTTGCTCCCCACATGTTTCCCATTTGAGTGGCAGCAACTGCAGTCCTTGAACCATCACCCACTGCATCCTAGGTACACTAGTAGGAAGCTGGATTGGAAGGGTGTCACCAGAATTACCAGGACTCTAACTGCACTCTGACGTGGGATACAGGTGTCCCAACTGGCAAATTAACCTACTGTACCACTATACCCACCCAAAATTGAGATTTTTTTTTTAAAGAGTAACTTTGCAATGGGGAAATCTGATAAATACTTCTTCAGACAGGTGATCAAAGTTAACTTCACCAATCATAAATGATGTTGATTTTAACTTTAATAAAATCCTTCTCCACAAAACTCCCGATCCTTGTCTAACCATAGGTAAAACACTGAAGCCCAACAGTGGGGTATTCTATACCATATCTGATCAGTAACCTTACTAATGTCAAATTCATCAATGAAAAGAAAAGTCAGGGGGCTGGCGTTGTGGTACAGAGGTTAAAACCACTGCCTGTGATGCCAGCACCAGCTGCAGTCTCAGCTTCTGCACTTCTATTTGAGCTCCTTGCTAATGGCCTGGGAAAAGCAGTGAAGATGGTCTTCAGCACTACCCATGAGGGGAGATCCAGAAGAAGCTCGTGACTCCTGGGTTCAGCCTGGCCCAGAGCCTTGGCCAATGCAGCTGTCTGGGGAGTGAACCAGCGAATGGAAGATCTATTTTTCTCTCTATTTATAACTCTTTCAAATCAATAAATACATACATCTAAAAAAAAGTTAGAAAACTGTCATAGCTAAGAGGATTCTAAGTAGACTTGACTATTAAATGTAATATGGTATCCTGATGCAAAAAAAAAAAAGGACAATTAAAAAAAAGTCCAAAATTCTACTTATATCAGTTAATAAAGTACCAGTATTGGTCTATGATTTTAATAAATTTATCACAAATGTAAAATGTCAACAGGGGAACTAGATCGAGAAGGTATTAGGGGAACTCTGTACTATTTTTTTTTAAGATTTATTTCAAAGGGTTAGAGAGAGGGGGAGAGACAGAGACAGAGAGAGAGAGAGTTTTTTATCTGCTGGTTTACTCCCCAGATGGCTACAATGGCCACGCCTGGACCAGGCTGAAGCCAGGAGTTTTGGGTCTCCCACAGAGGTGACAGGGACCCAAGCACTTGGGTCATCTTCTGTTGCTTTTCTTAGACCATGAGCAGGGAGCTAATCAGAAGCAGAGAAGCCAGGACACGAACCAGTGCCCATATGAGATTGCAGTGTTGCAGGCAGCGGCTTTACCTGCTATGTTCCAATGCTAGTCTATCTGCTCAATTGTTATGAATATCTAAAACAGTTCTAAAAAAATCAAGTATATTGGGTCCGGCGCTGTGGCTCAGTGGGTTAACGTCCTGGCCTGAAGGGCCGGTGTCCCATATGGGTGCCGGTTCTGGTCCCGGCTGTTCCTCTTCTGATCCAGCTCTCTGCTATGGCCTGCGAAAGCAGCAGAAGATGACCCAAGTCCTTGGGTCCCTGCACCCATGTGGGAGAGCTTGAGGAGGCTCCTGGCTCCGGATCGGCTCAGCTCTGACCGTTGCGGCCATTTGGGGAGTGAACCAGCAAATGGAAGACCTCTGTCTCTCTCTCTCTCTCGCTACCTCTCTCTGTAACTCTGCCTGTCAAACAAATAAAATAAATCTTAGCCGGTGCTGCGGCTCACTAGGCTAATCCGCTGCCTTGCAGCGCCGGCACACCAGGTTCTAGTCCCGGTTGGGGCGCCGGATTCTGTCCCGGTTGCCCCTCTTCCAGGCCAGCTCTTTGCTGTGGCCAGGGAGTGCAGTGGAGGATGGCCCAAGTGCTTGGGCCCTGCACCCCATGGGAGACCAGGAAAAGCACCTGGATCCTGCCATCGGATCAGCACGGTGCGCCGGCCGCGGCGGCCATTGGAGGGTGAACCAACAGCAAAGGAAGACCTTTCTCTCTGTCTCTCTTTCTCACTGTCCACTATGCCTGTCAAAAAAGTTAAAAAAAAAAAAATCTTAAAAAAAATAATCAAGTATATTAATTAAAAAATATGGAATTAAGGTGTCAGTGGTATACAGCTTTTTTGTTGACTTATGTCTTTTGATAAAACAACTTATAAATAAATCTGTTAACTATAGTTCTATCCATTTTCTATCTAAATTTTGAAAATTACATAAATAATGTCACTGGAAGAACAGAATCCATCAATCAGGATATACCTATAGGAAAAATTTTATCTTTTATGAATTTGTTTTTCTATCATAAAAGGAATTTTCTTTGAGTGATTTTTTTGTTTAATCACAAAACCTAAAATTCAATTTGGAGTAGATACGTCTCCAAAAAGTCTCTGATGGCAAACTTCAGGGTGTATTTTTATCTGCAGTAGAAATATCCAAAGGCATGCAGCATGTAAAAGTTGTAACTGGCTCTTTGAAGAATAAAGTATAAATCTGTATTCCAGCACATACTAAAATTATAGACTACTAATCTATATTGCTGACTGAGTTATGGGGTAAAACTCACAATGGGTAGACAATTGCTATGTCAATGAACATATGAATAACAGAGCAGGCATGATGCCAAAACTAGCAGCTTGGTTCTAGAAACTGACCATTTCCCAAGCAGGAGGCCTCTTAGGAACCAGTGTCAGTCACAGCATATTCCAGTAGTTACTCTTGGAAAACTCCTAGAGCTTTTTCTCTATCCTTCACAATCATTATTTGAGCTCTTTATACCCTTTATTAAATCTGTCAGTCTGAACTAGCCAGAGTTGGGTCTTACTGTATGCAACCAAGGACCTTCCCAAAATACATCAGTGTGAAGATTGTCAAGAAAAACAGTGGTTCCAGGAGAGGGCAGTCAACAAAGATACTCCCCACTGCATGTAATTTTACACAAGATTTTTTTTTCCTACTGAAAATGCAAATATGTAATGTCTTAATGACAGAAATAACACTTATGACATCTTTTCAAGTATCTTTCAAGTGTAAGATGAAAACATGCTTCCATAGTTATTTACCTGGAGGTGTGGTGCAGACAAATCAGGAGTGGTAAAAAATAACTGGTTGACACCTGCTGCGTCTGGAGTTGTAAGGAAGACTTTTCCTTGAGCAGAATCTTGCCTGGCCAGAATGACTTTGCTTGCGGCAGAGCCATCGTGATTTGTCAGAATGAACTGCTTGCCTTGTGCATTGTGATCAAGTGCAGTCACAATCTGGATTTTCTGCCCCGTTTGCTGCTCTGTAACAATCTAACACAGTTATATCAGGTTAAAAATCAATTATGAAATTAATCCAACTCAATTTTTTTTATTTGACAGATAGAATTAGACAGTGAGAGAGAGAGACAGAGAAAGATCTTCCTTCCGTTGGTTTACCCTTCAAACAGCCGCTACGGCCGGAACTACGCCCAAAATACGCAGATCCGAAGCTAGGAGCCAGGTGCTTTCTCCTGGTCTCCCATGCAGGTGCAGGAGCCCAAGCACCTGGGCCATCCTCCACTGTACTCCCGGGCCACAGCAGAGAGCTGGACTGGAAGAGAAGCAACCGGGACGGAACCGGGCACCCATATGGGATTGCTGGTGCCACAGGCAGAAGATTAACTAAGTGAGCCATGGTGCCGGCCCCCAACTCAATTTTTTTCTCTGATACATTTCCTCATATTTTCAAAACTAGAATAGCACATCATCATACACGTGTATAATACACAGACATTTTAAAATAGCAATTCTACTTCCATGAAATTTCACTCTGTAGAAATAAACAAATGTGCAAATAAACAGAAGGGTATCAGTAAGAACACCTGACCTCACTATTTTGATGCCTCCCATTTAGACAAACATATATTAGATACATTTTACTTGCTGCTCTGGTCCTGGAATTTAACAGTGATCAAAATTTTTGTTCTCATGAAGCTCTCACTTTAGTAGGGATGAGACAGTTAATAAGCAAATAAGAAGACTGCCAGGTGTTACCAAGTGCTACCAAGAAAAACAAAACAAGGTAAGGCGAGGGACCCTGGTGGGATAAGGGTGGGAAAGAACTGGACTGCAAATAGATGATATTTTTGCACAGACTTGAATGAAAAAAAAAAAAAGACCAAGACTTAGGACTTCCTAGGGCAAGAATATTCCAGGTAGAGAAAACAGAACATACAAAGTAGCCCTGGAGCAGGAGGAAATGTGTTAGACACATCTGAGGCACAGCAAGAACAATGTGAATGAAACAGAGTGAGAAGGCAAGGATTATGGCAGGAGATGGCTCCTGAGTAACAGTAGCTGCTAAGGCTAGATTATTTTTTTTTATTTTAAAGATTTATTTTTATTTTGAAAGAGTTAGAGAAAGAGGGAGAGACAGAAAGATCTTCCATGCACTGATTTACTCCCCAGATGGCCACAACAGCCACTGCTGGGCCAGGCCGAAGCCAGCTGGAAGCCAGGAGCTTCATCCGGGTGTCCCATGTGGGTGGCAGAGGCCCAAAAACTTGAGCCATCTTCTGCAGCTTTTCCCAGGCCATTAACAGGAGCTAGGTCAGAAGTGGAGCAGCCAAGACACGTACTGGTGCCCATATGATATGCTGGTGTCACTACCACACACCTGCCCCCTGGGGCTAGATCTTAAAGGGCTACACACATAGGTCACATGAGAGTCTAGGTTTCCTTTTGTATGAAATGGAAGCCACTTGAGAGTTACAGCAGGAGTGGCAGAACTTTACTTTTCAAAAAAGGATCATTTTAGACTTTAGTGTGCTGAACAGACTGCAAATGTTCCAGAGCAGAATTAAGAGAGATCTGAAAGGATTCTACAGCAATTACTGCCATTACGTGCTACACAGGCAGACAGTGGCTGGGACTAGGGTGGAAGTTATGCTGGGATTAAAAAATGATTAGAAGAAAGACATGACAGGATGTGCTTATGGAATGGAGTAGAATATGAAGGCAAAGAATCAAAGATGATTACAAAATTTTCACCTGGGGACAGCTTTGTGGCACAGTGGGTTAAGCCACTAGCTGAGATAATAACCTCCCATACTGGAGTGCTAGTTCAAATCCTAGCTGAACTGCCTCCAATCCAGCTCCCTGCTAATGCGCCTGGGAAAGCAGAAGATGGACCAAGTACTTTCGCCCCTGCCACCCACGTAGGGGACCCAGTTGATGGGGTTCCAGGCCCCCGGCTTCAGCCTGGACCAGCCTCAGCTGGTGTTGCCATGAGGCGTGAACCATCAGATGGAAGATCTCTCTTTCTCTGTCATTTTGCCTTTCAAATAAAGAAATAAATACATAAATAAATGTTTAAAAGCAATTTTGGCTTGAGCAATTGGGAAGCACTACTATCTGCTGAGAAAGGGCAGACTGGTGAAGGGCAAATTCACAGAGAATGACTCCAGCACTGGGAGATTTTGTTACTGAGCACATACTTTCCGTAATAAGCTTTATTAAGCCAATTTAATTCCTTCATTCAATTTAGTTATTTTTTTTTTAATTTATTTTATTAATTTGAAAGACAGAGTCACAGAGAGAGGTAGAGACAGGGAAAGAGGTCTTCCATCTGCTGGCCCACTCCCCAGATGGCTGCAACGGCCAGAGCTGCACCGATCTGAAGCCAGGAGCCAGGAGCTTCTTCCGGGTCTTCCCACGAGGGTGCAGGGACCCAAGGACTCAGGCCATCCTCCACTGCCCTTCCAGGCCACAGTAGAAAGCTGGATCAGAAGAGGAGCAGCTGGGACCAGAACTGGCAGCCATATGGGATGCCAGCGCTTCAGGCCAAGTCATTAACCCGCTGCGGCCACAGCACCAGCCCCTAGGTTTTTGTTTTTTTTTTGTTTGTTTGTTTGTTTTTTTTAAGCCTTTATTAACTTGGAATAGGGAGGGTTCCTTTTAAAAAAAAAACAAAACAAAACAATGTTCTTATTTATTCATTTAAAAGGCAGAGTGACAAAGACTCTCCTATCTGCTGATTTACTTCCCAATGCCTGTAACAGGCAGAGGTCAGCCAGTCCAAAGCTGGAAGTCTGAAACTTAACGGAAGTCTCCTACATGTGTGGCAGGGAACCAAGTACTTGAGCCATCACCTGTTGCCTCCCAAGGTGAGAATTAGCAGGAAACTAGAAATGGAGTGGAGCTGGGACTCAAACCCAGGCTCTGATATGGATGTAGGTGACTCAAGCAGTGTTTTAATCACTACACCAAACTTTGTGTGTTTCTGAATTTTTACCATTTTTATCTTCATCAAAACTCTTCTATGTAAAATTTAAAGTTCTTGCTCACCAAACAGCTTTTGTCTAAATCATACTGATTACTATTGTCTGCCAACTTGAGATATTTTTTGTTGACTAGTATTTCTACCAAGTTCTATTTTTCTAGGTATGGTTTTTAAATTGTTGTCCATTTTATTTTACATAGGTAATTTATACCAATCCAATCTTCACCTTGCTACCAATAATTTTGCAATTTTCAGTAACACCTTAAAGATCAGACTTTTTTTTTTTTTTTTTTTTTTTTTTGACAGGTAGAGATATACACAATGAGAGAGAGAGGCAGGGAGAAAGGGCTTCATTCCGCTAGTTCACTCCCTAAATGGCCGCCATAGCCGGTGCCGATCTGAAACCAGAAGCCAGGTGCCTCTTTCCTGGTCTCCCATGCGGGCACAGGAGCCCAAGCACTTGTGCCATCCTCAACCACTCTCCTGGGCCACAGCAGAGAGCTGGACTGGAAAAGGAATAACCGGGACCAGAACCTAGCACCCACATGAGATGCCGGCACCACAAGCGGAGGATCAACCAAGTGAGCCACGGCGCTGGCCCAAAGATTAGACTTTTTAAATCAGTTCACCTATAAAAAATTTTTATAGTGTAAATTTTTAGCTGTTGTTAGTCTAATTTTGGATTATTCCTTTCAGTAATATTCATTGTGAACTGAACAAAAGACGAATAACTCGAATTTATTTCTGAGAGAAGAGCTTTAGGTGTGTACATGATAAAACTGTGACTGGGTTGAAACATTCTGATTAGATGAGTAAAATATTTACTGCAGCATAATAATTGAAAATCAAAACCATCCAAACCTTCAACAGAGAACATTAGAGGACCTGCCCTTGTGGCACAGTGGGTTAAACCATTGCTTGCCATGCTGGCATCCCATATCCAGTTCCTTGCTAATGTGCCTGGGACCACTGCACCCTGCACCCATATAGATTTCCAGGCTCCTGGCTTCAGACTGACCCAGCACTGGCTACTGTTGATACTTGGGGAGTGAACCAGCACATGAAAGATATCTCTCTATCTGCGTCTCTCCCTTTCTCTAACTCTGTTTTTCAAATAAATAAATAAATAAATCTAAAAAAAAACAAAAACAAAAACAAAAAACACGGGGCGGGGGGGGGGCAGTGCTATGGCATAGCACTTAAAGCCGCCATCCCATATGGGCACCAGTTCAAGACCTGGCTGCTCCACTTCTGATGCAGCTTTCTGCTATGGCCTGGGAAAGCAGTGGAAGATGGCCCAAGTCCTTGGGCCCCTGCACCCGCATGCGAGTGCCGAATGAAGTTCCTGGCTCCTGGCTTCAGATCAGCACAGCTCTAGCTGTTGCTGCCATTAGGGGAGTAAACCAGAGGACGAAAACTTGTCTCTCTCTGCCTCTGCCTGTCTTTAAAATAAATAAATAAATCTTAAAACAAAAACAAAAACAAAAACAAAAACAAAAAAAACTTGTACTTGAGAAAAAAAAATAGAGGGACCGCCTTGTGGCATAGCGGGTAAAGCTGCCAGCTGGGACACCAGCATCCCATATGGGTGCTGGTTTGGTCTTGGCTGCTCCACTTCCAATCCAGCTCCCTGCTAATCTGCTTGGGAAAGCAGTGGAAGATGGCCTAAGTGCTTGGTCTCCTGCACCCATGTGAGAGACCTGGAAGAAGCTCTAGGCTTCCGACTCTGGCCTGGCCCAGCCCTGGTTATTATAGCCATTTGGGGAGTGAGCCAGCATATGCAAGATCTCTCTTTAACTCTGCCTTTCAAATAAATACATTAAAAAAAAAAAAATAGACAACAGTAGATTATAGAAATGGTTCTCAGAATCTTGGGAAACTTTTATATTCTAAAAAATTATTAAGGGTCAAGGGCTTTTGTTTATAGCACTTGTATCTACTGATGGTTTTTTTTTTTAACATGTTTTTTTAAAGATTAATTTTATTTATTTGAAAGACAGAGTTACAGAGAGAGGTAGAGACAGAGAGAGAAGTTTTCCATCTGCTGGTTCACTCCCCAGCTGGTTGCAACGGCTGGAGCTGCACTGATCCAAAGCCAGGAGCCAGGAGCTTCTTCCGGGTCTCCCATGTGGGTGCAGGGGCCCAAGCACTTGGGCCATCTTCTACTGCTTTCCCAGGCCATAGCAGAGAGCTGGATGGGAAGAGGAGCAGCGGGACTAGAACCGGCACCCATATGGGATGCCGGCGCTTCAGGCCAGGGCTTTAACCCGCTGCTCCACAGCGCCAGCCTCTCTACTGATCGTTAACATGTTAGAAATCCAAAAACAAATTTTAAAAACATTTAATTTATTTAACAACCCACTAAATGTTAACAAAAGCAACATTTTTTAAATTAAAATTAAGTTGACTATCCAAATAAAAATTCAGTGGAGAGGGTGGAATTATTTTTGCAAATCATTTTAATACATGGTTTAAAAGAAGTGGAATCGCATATCTGCCTCTTCTTTCAATCTTTTGGAGTACACTGCTTTGGTTAAAATAAAGAAAACACAGCCTCACATTTATTGGTTGAAAGGGTAAAGGATATTTTAAAAGCCTTTTTAATTTTTAAAAATTATCCTTTGATATTCAACCCAACTTCAACAATTGGTAACTTTAAAAAAACGTTTCATTTCTATTTATTTGAAAGGCAGAGCAAGTCTCTCTCTCACACACACATACACACACACCTTCCATCTTAGGGTTCCCTTCTCCAAACCGGGCCAGTCTGAAGCCAGAAGCCTGGAACTCAATTCAGGTCTCCCTCATGGGAGGCAGGGAACCAAGTACTTGAGCCATTACCAGCTGCTTCCAAAGGTGCACATTAGAAGGAAGATAGATTGGTAGTGGGGACTTAAATCCAGGCATGCCAATATGATATGCAGGCATCCAAAATGGTATTTCTACCACTGCAACAAATACCTGCCTACAAGCAGTAGCTTTTTAAAGGTTAGCTGCCTGGGGCCGGCGCTGTGGTGTAGCAGGTAGAGCCAGCCACGACCTGCAGAGCCGGCATCCCATATAGGCACTGGTTTGAGTCCTGATCCAGCTCTCTGCTATAGCCTGGGAAAGCAGAAGATGGCCAAAATCCTTGGGCCCCAGCACCCACACGGGAGACCCATAAAAAACTGGCTCCTGGCTTCAGCTTAGCCTAGTTCTGGCCGATGCAGCCATCTGAAAGACTGCTCTCTATCTCTCTCTCTGCCTTTCTCTAACTCTTCCAAATAAATAAATAAATCTTTTTTTAAAAAAAAAAAAGTTAAGTTGCCATGTGAAATAAAAATTATATCAAAATCAACTGGTTTATCTTAAAATTTGGATCCCTTCATTACTCAGGCATGATTTCCTTACATCACGCACTTGTCACTTAGCAAACACTGGTTTATGGAGTTATGTATACCTTTTTTTTTTTTTTGACAGGCAGAGTTAGAAAGAGATAGACAGACAGAAAGGTCTTCCTTTTCCATTGGTTCACCTCCCAATGGCTGCCACAGCTGGCGCACAGCGCCAATCCAAAGCCAGGAGCCAGGTGCTTCCTCCTAGTCTCCCATGTGGGTGCAGGGTCCAAGCACTTGGGCCATCCTCCACTGCCTTCCCGGGCCACAGCAGAGAGCTGGACTGGAAGAGGAGCAACCGGGACAGAATCTGGCATCCCAACCGGGACTAGAATACAGGGTGCCAGCGCCGCAGGCAGAGGATTAGCCAAGTGAGCCGCGGCGCCAGCCATGTATACTTTTTAAATATTGAAATAGTTCATCGTACAGTATCATCATGTCATGCAGCATGTGGAAATTTCCACTGTATACTTGTGAGAGAACAATAGTGAAAAGGCAAACAACACTAGTATTCCCATTATGAAAACAGTGTTGACCTCACTGACTTTCTGAAAAGATCCCTAGATGATACTTTTGTATCTGGATTATGGTATCTCTAAGAAAAAAACATAACCATTGAAAGATGAAGATGTTCATACTAACTCCTACTGCTCCATCAAGATTGGTCTCATATTTTGCATCCTCCAAAACACATTCCCCAGTCTCGTCTGTATCCACTCCACAACTCAGCTGTTCTTATCCTGTGCCACCAAGATAACACAATATACTGACTGTATTCTATTTTGACCGATTACTCAATTATCTCACACTAGATTTTAAAGCTATCTGAAAATCAGGGCACATCTTTTATCTCTGTACCTTCAGAATCCAGCATGTACATTTAGGGTAAATAATAAAAGTTTTATGAATCAAGGAAAGAACTTATAAACTAGACATACCTCTCCCATCTGTTGTTCAATAATTTGATGTGCAATTTCTTCTATGGTTGCCATGATCCAATTGCTAGAACACCTGCCAAAAATAAAAAGATGCTTTTCTACAATTGTATTCATTTAAAAAAAAAAGCATTTACTGGATAACAAATTAAGCTATATAATATTTAAGATGTTACAAAATAATCCATTGGGGAAGGAAAGAACAAAGTAAGATTGGCTCTATGTTAACAATTTTTTAACACACTGTCAAATAGTGAAGCTTATGATTTACTGGGATTTGTGAAACTACTCCCCCAGCTTTACAATGATGTATTCTTGAAAATGTTGACTAAAAAACTACTCAAGACCCAACAATTTCACTTCTCAAGCACACTGAAGCCTGAACAGAACTGGGATCAATATAGAAGAGTTTATTAATTACAATAAGGGCAACACTATCAATGAACAAACTCAACTCCGTAGCCACTTCACACCTTTTTTAATCAATATTTTATAAAAACTGACAAAAAAGGTTATAATCATTAAAAATTTCTCTAGAATTTTTCTTACCTTCATTAGTGGCAATTTCTTACATAGAGGAATTTCAAGTGTTTACGGAAAAGGGAATTAAAAGATTGTGGGGAGCAACTCGGACTAGACTAAGTTACTGGAATTAAGACTTATTCTATGCATCTGCTCTCCCACAATATGGTGCTGGGAGAGGAGTAAAAACAACTTTTACACAGCTGCCTCCAGTTCAACCAGTAACCTGCAGGAGCTGATCCCGCTCCTGATTGGAGAGCAGCGTACTCGGCGTGTGGGTAGCAGAGTTGGGATTGGTGGAAGAGGACTATAAAGGAAGAGAGAGACAACATGCACCGGGAACATCTAAGGGGAACATCTATCTGAAGGAACACCTGAGCAGCCCCCGAGAGAGCCGGCCAGAGCCGGCCGGCGGTGTGCCGCTCCCCCGCGGAAGTGGGGAAAGTGGCAGGGGGAACCGCCCTTCCACGGAGGTGGAAGGACGGTAGCCAACCCGGAAAGAACCAGCAGCAAACCCGGGAAGGGCCGAGCAGACAAAAGAACAGCGCAGGGTCCTGTGTCGTTCCTCCACGAAGAGCGGGAGCGACAAAAGATAAGTTTAGAGGCAGGTGAAGCCACTACTTGGGATGCCTACATCCCATGATGGGATGCCCATGAGTCTTGACTGTTGTGGCCTGGCTTAGCCTGGCCATTTAGGGGAATGAACAAAAGACCTGTCTCACCCTCTTTCTGTGTCACTCTTTCAAATAAACAGATCTTTTTTTTTTAAGAGTAAGTTTACTTTGGTAAAAAGAAATTTTGAAATCTATGCATACTTCCTTAACATTTGTTTTTTCTCTATATCATGTAGTGAAGAATACATAATTTCTTGCTTCACTTTGTTTATGTCATGTTCACTAACATTCCACAACTATAATTAATATTAGCTCCTCAGTTTTCTGAATTCTTTTAATTACTTTAAAATTTTTAAACACTTCAATTAGTTGTGCTATATGGCCTACTCAATATTCAAGTTGATCATTTAACTCTTTCTCACTAGATTTTAGGCAGCCACTCATCTCTGGAACCAAAAGAAAAAAAGACCGGCCTCTTGGGCTTGAAGTGACAACGACAGCTCTGCCAACTTCTGAGCCACTTTGGGAATCAGTCTTTCCTTTTTATGAAGAACAATGTTCACAACCAGGTAGCTCCATTGGCCTATCCTGCAAAATCCCAGAAGCCCACAGTGTCCCTTCATTTCAGTCCATGCTTGGTATCCATGAGAGAATAGAATACACCACAGATCTTTTGTGGATAATCCCACTTCTTTTTTTGTTTTAAACATTTACTTTATTTATTTGAAAGGCAGAGTTACAGAGAGAGAGGTCTTCCATGTGCTGGGCCACTCCCCAAATGGCCACAGAAGCCAGAGCAGGGCTGATCTGAAGCCAGGAGCCAGCCTCTATTCTATTTATTTTCTTAAGATTTACTTATTTGGAAAGTAGAGTAACAGAGACAAGGACACACAGAGAGCTATCTTGCCTGCAATATCTTCCATCCACTGATTCACTCTCCAAATAGCTGTAATAGCCAGGCTGGGCCAGGCTGAAGACAAGAGCCTAGAACTCCATCTGGCTCTCCGACATGGGTGCAGGCATCTAAGCACTTGGACCATCTTCTGCTGCTTTCCCAGGCACATTAGCAGGGCGCTGGATCAGAAGCAGAATAGCTGGGACCAGAACCAGTACTCCAATATGGGATACCACCATTGCAAGTGACAGCCTAACTTACAACTTTACAGCCACACTGTAAACCCCACAGAATACCAATTTTTTAATTCTTTCTGCACACTCTGTACTAATATAGTAGTCTAGAGCTATTTCATTTTACTATGTAGTTACATATAACTCAAAAGTTGTCAACAAAAGGATACTCAAATTCAAACATTCAACTAGAAAGCCAACTTAGAGAATTTTTTTTCCATTTTGGGCCTCCTCAACAAAACATGTGTCTTCAAACTATTTTTTTTTTTCATTTCCAATTTGTAAAGCCTATTGAGATCTGTCAAGCCAACTCAAATCTAGGAAGATCCAGACATTGTGATATGAAGCCAAATCTCTAATCCTATTTTCATTATTACCTATTTCTTTTCCTAAACTATCCAAGAATATACACTTATATGTAAACAGATACATGACAGAATACAAACATATCCTATAATTTTGTTCATTTGGAAAATTTTTCACTATTTACAAAAAAAGAGGTAACTTTTCTAAAAGTTTTTAAAAGCCTATGTCAATTCACTGTTTTATTAAAATTCAGATTTTTCCAGATTCTTAAGAATAAGAAATCTGGCTGTAACACATTAAAGTAGCAATTGGCTTAATTGGACTTTGAGAAACTTGGAGACCACACTGAATATAGTCTGGGCTGTCATTGTGGATATAAGTGAGGAAAATGATGGCATTCGGTATCAAAATCCTCAGTGAATGAGGGTATTGAAAGAGAAGGCTCTGTTTAACAATAATAAAGTCAGTTGAAACTATGATATGACTGATTTACATGAATCTCAAAGGAGTATTACTTTGATAAATTAAAAACCTGATGAGGGGAAATAAGGAAACTAATGACAAATAGTATTTGGCATAAAGGCAGGTATTTGTAAGTGTATTAGTCACTGTATTGTGATAAAAGCTCAAATACTAATTTAAGGGGAAAAAAGCCACAAATAACCAAGCAAACAAGCAAACAGCGGCAAAAACAGTGAAGTGGGGAAGAGAATACACACTAGTAGGACTGTGGTACAGCTGATCTGGTGAAAAACTGGAACTAGGAATTCAGATGATGTCAGGAACCTCCCCTCCTTGTGGTCAGCTTCTATATTTCCAATATTGTAACAGATTCTGATTGGCCCAGCTTAGGTTATCTTCTCAGGTCTTAGAATAATCACTGTCAGTGTGCCAGGAAGAGGGAAGGGAAAGTTTACGACAGCTTCATTTTTGGGAGGCCTATTTCCCACGACATGGCTACTGATGTAATTATAAGCCAGGCAACCACTTTAATTTATTTCTACTATTGATACACAGCATTCAACCAGAAGTCCACTGAATACCATCGGCACTATCACAAAAATAAATAAATAAATAAATAATTCTAATTTGCCACCGACTTTTTCTTCTTTTTTTTTTTTTTAATAAATAGAAGACACTTGTGGCCGGCGCCTCAGCTCACTAGGCTAATCCTCCGCCTTGCGGCACCAGCACACCGGGTTCTAGTCCCGGTCAGGGCGCCGGATTCTGTCCCTGTTGCCCCTCTTCCAGGCCAGCTCTCTGCTGTGGCCCGGGAGTGCAGTGGAAGATGGCCTAAGTACTTGGCCCCTGCACCCCATGGGAGACCAGGATAAGTACCTGGCTCCTGCCATTGGATCAGTGCGGTGCGCCGGCCGCAGTGCACCGGCTGTGGCGGCGGCCATTGGAGGGTGAACCAATGGCAAAGGAAGACCTTTCTGTCTCTTTCTCTCACTGTCCACTCTGCCTGTCAAAAAAAAAATAGAAGACACTTTTGAACAAAAGATTTGTGGGATGGGCGCAGTAGCGGGTAAAGCCACTGCCTGCAGTGCTGGCATCCCAAATGGTCACCAGTTTGAGTCCTGGTGCTCCACTTCCAATCCAGCTCTCTGCTATGGCCTGGGAAAACAGTAGAAGATGTACCAAGTCCCTGGGCCCCTGCACCTATGGGGGAGACCTGGAAGAAGCTCCTGGCTCCTGATCTGCCTAGCTCAGGCCGTTGCAGTCATTTGGGGAGTGACCTAGTGGGTGCTCTCTGTCGCTCCACCTTTCAAGTAAATAACTAAAATCTTTATTAAAAAAAGATTTATTTATTGGAAAAGTGGGAGGAGAGAGAGAGAAATATCCTCCATCCACTGGTTCACTCCCCAAAAGGCCACAATATCTGGAGCTGGGCTAGGACGAAACCAGAAGCCTGGAGCTCCGTCTGGGTCGCCCACTTGCTTTCCCAGGTGTATTAGCAGAAAGCTGGATTGGAAGCAGAGCAACTGGAACTCAACTGTGCCACAACACTGGCCCTGCTGACTCCAATTTTCTTTAGTTGTAAAAATCTCCAAAAGAGGGGAATAGAGAAACCCCTATAAAATACTTCATCAGGAGGTCCTTCTGAGGATCAAGTTCCTTCTAATTTCTTAGCTCTTTAGTAAATAATAAACTTAGTTTAGCAATAACATTGTTTTAAATAATCTCCTTAAAATTATTTTTTCCAAAAATAAATGTTCCATAATTAAAAGAAAAAATATTTTTAAAAGGTTAGTAAAAGGGCAAAAAGGGACCCTTGCAATTCTCAATATTAAAGTCTTTCTTTTTCCTTCGCCACCCCTTCACTCCAGTCTGTAGGGTGTTCCCCAATAAACCCTTTCCCTTACTCCAGTGTCCGGTGTGCTTTGTGACGGCTAACATTAAGATATAACATTGGTGCTGTGACTCATATTGGTAATCCAGTGTCCCCCAGTGCTCTGGGGTCCTTGATTCCTGCCAGTCGCAAAGCACACCTCCATAAAAAAGAAAAAAAGAAAAAAAAAAAAAAAAAAGAAGAGGAGGGTTCCATTTACTTCGCAGTACAGGACACAGGGAGACTCAAGATAAGGCACACTCATCTGGCAAAGGTCTCATGCCATGACACAGCACGGCAGATGGTAGTATATGGTGTGAATCGTGTACAGAGACAAAATATGAAGGGTATGCTTGCTTTCCTCACATCCTGTTCTTATGGGGACTAAGTTAGCCCGAGGACAGGGAGAGTAACTCACTCCTAAGACAGCAATAACCTATTCACGAGGGCCATGCCCCCACAACCCAAACACCTTCCCAGCAGGCTCTACCTTCTAACACTGCTACATTAAGAAGTTAAACTTCTGCATGAGTTGTGGTGAGGACAGATAATCGTAATCAACAGTGGAATGAAGAAAAAGCAGGAACAAGGTAAGGCTGGGTGGGAGGGGATGATTCGCAGTTTTTACTAAGTCAGAGATGGCTCTCCAAGAAAATAACGTTTCATCAGAGATATGAAGGAAGTAAGGAAGCAAGCTACCGGCTATTTAGAGGAAAAACTTCATAGCCAGATGTTTTTTCTCAGGACAAAAGTTTGTGCCCTCAATGACAAACTACATGTTCAAAAGAAACAAAACTTTATTCACAGTATGATTTAAAACTATACAAAGACACACAAGGACATCCTTAAATGTTAACTGTAGGGCCAGCATTGTGGAGCAGTGGGTTAAGCCACTGCTTGTGACCCCAGTGGAGTGCTGGTTGATTCTTAGCTATTCTGCTTCTGATCCAGCTTCCTGGCAGCAGTAGATGGGGTAAGTATGTGGGCCCCTGCTACCCATGTAGGAGACTAGGATGGAGTTCCTGGCTCCTCGCTCTAGCTTGGCACAGCCCTGGCTGCGTTGGTCATTTGGGGAATAAACCAGCGGATGGCAGATCTCTTACTCCCTCTCTGTCACTTTGCCTTTCAAATAAAGCTTCCAAAAAAAAAAAAAAAAAAAGTTAACTCATTTTTCTAGGTAATTACAAGCCACTTAAAGAGTTTCAAAGGAGTCCTTTGATTGTAATCAGAAAATCAATCATTCTTATACGTCATAAATTTGTATAATTACTGGGGCCAGCACTGAGGCACAGGTTAATCCTCTACCTGTGGCACCAGCATCCCTTATGGGCGCTGGTTCTAGTCCTGGTTGCTCCTCTTCCAATCCAGCTCTCTGCTGTGGCCTGGGAAAGTAGTGGAAGATGGCCTAAGTCCTTGGGCCCCAGCACCTGCGTGGGGGACCAGGAAGAGGCTCCTGGCTTCGGATGGGCAAGCTCCAAACGCTGCGGCCATTGGGGAGTGAACCAGAGGACGGTAAACCTTTCTGTTTCTCCCTCTCACTGTCTGTAACTCTACCTCTCAAAAAATAAATAAAATCTTAAAAAAAAAAAAAAAAAAAACTAAAAATTCAGCATTCCCTCATCTATAACTCACTGTATTGTACTCCCATCTCATCATCTAAAACACTTTGCAATTTCCCTGCACTTGATCACCAAGATGCCCATCTCCTGTAAGACTTCGAAGAAAAAACTGTGCAATAGCCAATGAACTTTTTTCTATGACCCACTAGTGTTCAACATAGTACCTAGTGTTCTTTCCTTAACAATTATTGACTGAAACTTATCAGCCACTGTGAGTTTGGGGACCCCAGTAAACAACACAGAAAAGATTTCTGTCAAGAAAGTTTTACTTGCATTTTAGTGAAAAAAAAAATAAACATTTTAAAAATTACCAATTGTGCTAAAATTCATCAGGCTAGTAAGGAAGAAGTCAAAGGCAATTGGAGGGAGCCTATGCAAGACCCATGGTTTGTCCCCTCCAAAGCTTAAGTTGAAATTTGGTCCCTAGTGTTAAGTGTTGAGAGATCAGGGACTTTAAAGAGGTGTTTGGATCATGACAGTTCTGCCTTCAAAAGCGATTAATGCCAGCTCTCAGGACTGGGCTAATTCTCATGGGAGTGAGTCCTTGTTCTCCACCTCCTGGCTAACGTGCCTGGGAAAGCATCAGAAGGTGGCTGGAAAACACAGACCCTGGCACCCACATGGAAGACCCAGATGGAGTTCCAGGCTCTTGGGTCAGCCTGGCCCAGCCCCAGACACTGAAGCCATGTAGGGAACGAAGCAGTGATGGAAGATCTCTTGTTCTGTGTTGTCTTCTCTAATTCTGCCTTTCCAATAAAATAAATTCTTAAAAAAAAAAAAAAAACTAAAACAACAACAAAAAAACCAGGATTGGCACTCTGGGAAATGTGTCCCAAGTGGTAGCTTCACTCGCTGCGCAGCACTATCCTTCCCAGTGTGTCATTTAAACTTCTGTGATGGGTCACCCAAGTCCTAGCAGCTTCACTTCTTGTCCAGCTCTTTGCTAGTGGCCTGCAGTAGATGGCCCTGATGAAGCTCCTGGCTCCTGGCTTTGGTCTGGCCCAGCTCCAGCCCTTGTGGCCATCTGAGGAGTGAACCAGCAGATGGAAGATCTCATTGTGTGAATGTTAACTCTTGACTTTCAAATAAATGAACAAATCTTTAAATATATATATGTATCTGTGATGCTGGCATCCCATAAGCTCCAGTTCTAGTTCCAGCTACTCCACTTCAGATCTGGCTCCCTGATAACAGACCTGAAAAGGAAGGGGAGGATGGCTGAAGGCTTGGGCCCCTGCCACCAACGCGGGAGATTATGGAGTTCCAGGCTCCCGGCTTCGGTCTTGCCCAGCCCTGAGGGCCGCAGCCATTTGGGGAGTGAACCAGCAGTTGGAAGATCTGACTCTCCCCCTCTGTAATTCTTTCAAAATAAATCTTAAACAAAAAAAACCTTATGAACTCTTTACTTCTGGAATTCTTCATTTAGTAATTTTGGACTGCAGTCAACCAGCAGTGGGGGTAACTGAAATTTTGGAAAGCAAATCACTACATGAATTCCCCAATACACTATTTCAGCTCCCTCCCCCCCTTAAACCCCATCTGACCCGAGACTCCACCCAGAGCCAGCATTTATCCTATAGTCTAAGGCTGTTAACCACAAGTCAGGAACAGACTTTTGTAAACTCCTAATATTGACGCAAAATTTTATGCAGAACTGCGTTTTTCTAAAGATGATTCATGAGATTTTTAAGAGGTTGTAAAAGGCCAATTGATCTTAAAAAGACAAAGATTATATTCCAACTCTTCACCGTTCGTCATATCCTGTTTGTTTTTTCTCTTCCTCAAGAGTACCACACACAAGATATTTTGGGAATGCTTGCTGCCACTGACTTGTGCCTCCCTCAAAACACTTCCTAAATCCAGATACTGAAATGTTCCTACAAAGAATGATGCAATGAGTTGCCCTTGATGCGACCACTCTTAAAAATCATAAACACAAGTATCTTTCAGACATATAAGCTAAAGGTTAAAAAACAATCAACGCCTATCAACCCACCACACAGCACGCACCATTCAAAAATCGCACAGTGGAAGGCCTATTTGCAACTTCCAGAAGCACAAAAACCCCGAAGGCCTTAATTTCAAGTCTTTTTGCTGTAACTCTTTCCGGCCGACCAATCTGCCAAAGGTTATGGGGCGACATGGCAATGCCGGTAGCTCACAAAGTTCTGTCTGTATAAGCTGGAGGCCGGCTTCCCAGCAAAAGAACTACCGGAAGCGGGGAGCTGCCCAGGAGAGTGGGGACCCCGGGCCAGTTCACGCGTTTTCTCAAAAGACCCAGGTCCAAAGGCGACCGCTCAGAGGGAGTCGTTCCGCCCCTCCCGCGACCCTGAAGGCGCAAGCTCCCGCAGAGCCGCCGCCGCCGCCGCCCCGGGCCGGAGGGTCGCCCCCCGGCGCGCCCACCGCGAATCGCCCGCCCCGAGCCCGCGGGCTCCCTGGGACGGGGGAAGCCGCCGCGGCGCGGAGACGGAAGCTGTTCCTACAGGTGAAAGGTCAGAGGCGCCGCGGGAGGCGCCACCGGAGAGAGGCTGCGCGCGCCGCGCCGCTCGCCGGCAGCACCCGCGCCCCGCCGCCCCGGCCCGGCGCCGCGCCCCGCCTCGGGTACGGCCACGGCCTCTTGCAGGCCGATGTGCATTCGGCCCCCGCCACGCTGGCCCCTCTCTGCGCTCCCAGCCCGCGCCGAGCAACCCGCCGAGGCACTACCAGAGCGGCCCTGCCGGCCGGAGTCCACAGGCTGTGGGCGGACTGAGGCTGCGTCCGTTGGCGTCGGGATGAGGGGCGCCCCGGCCCCGGCCCCGGCCGCTGGGGTCCTCACCCGGCACTTACCGGCGCCTCTTCGCCGCGCTGTCCTGCGTCGGGCACAGACCCGACACTCCCGCGGCGGTGGCTGCTGGGTGTTGAGTGGGGTGCGCTTCGGGATCAGAAGTTGGAGAAAGCGGAAAGGAAAGGGGATCGAGGATGAGGGGAGGCGGCCTCTGGGTTTGTGTATTTTTTGGGGGGTCAGAGTTCGTGACCCTTCCCTCGGCTCGGCGGCGCTCTCTGCCCTGCGCGCCTGCGCAATAGCGACGTGAGGGGCGAGAGGGGGTCGTGACGTTCCCTGGGTGGGGCGGAGGGACCGGAGGAGTCGAGTCGCGGTCTGAAAGTCGACTGCCCCCTGTCGGCCTGGAGGGAGACTTCCCTGCCAGGGCCGCGCATACCCACCGGGTTCTTCTAGGGACCGCGTCCGGTGTTCAGCATCGTGTGTACCGAAGGTGGTCGTTAAAGGAAGTTTTGAGTCAGTGTTTTCAGACTGAAGCGACGATAACCTAATCGGCTTTAAGCAGTTCTGTGTCTAGTCTCTGGAAAACTGGGCTCCTCTATAGGCGCTGTCCTACCTGGACTCTAAATACTACTAGAGAACTAACAAGTCCGGGTAGATTCCAGTCAGATATTTAAACTACCCTTTAATATAACAAGCTGAGACAGAATCGTGTACAGTAAGAGACTGGCTACATGGTGCCAGAATATAATCATCGGGATGTCGGTTCCCAAGAATTAGTTTTTGTCTGTTTTGTTCAGCAGTGTGTTCCAAAGAACATGTGACAGTGCCTGCTGGGCAATATAGATTTGTTCAATGAAAGGGCAGCGATGCAACATCACATTCTGGCAGTGGCGACATGTGGCAGGCAGTGCGCTGTGGCACAAAGCGAGCCGTGTGCAAAGTACTAATTAATATGCCTGTGACCTTTGAGACAAGCGTCTTCAAAATTTTCTTTTATATCTGGCATAGGTGAGCACGGTAGGAAAGCAGCCACAGAGTTAGGGCAGAAACCCAAGTTTGGAAAAACAAATGTGTGCTGGGAACGAAAACATCTCTGTGTTTGCCCCTGGAAGAAGGCAAGGGGGCAGGGAAACGTGGCAGGCAATGTTCCCTAGCAGGTGGAAATATGCCTCAGGCCTCATTGTCTGAAAGCTGACCTCTACTCGTTAGCATCACTTGCTGGGTTTCATTCCCTTCGTCTGAAGGCAGTCCCTCCTGCATGCTACCTCCCAGTATCCTCAAGCTGATCCCAGAGGTGAAAGCTTCCCTGGAAATGGCAGTCAGGTCCTCTATTCTCAGTGCATGGTATGCATCCCTGCAGTGACGCCTGGAGTTACTCCTAGTCTAGTTTACTTGGGTCGCAGTGCGCTGGCAGAAGCTACTCTGGAACTAACATTGCAGGTGAAGGGAAGAGCTTCTTGTACCTGTGCTTCAGGAGGTTCGTGAGCTACCTCTTTAAATGTGTGACTAAACAAAGGTACGGCTTAAAAGACCACACCAGCAGTAGATATTTTAGTACATTTATTTTGCATAAATATAACACATATTAACATTATTTACAATGCTAACTTTATTTATAAAGGATCTATAGCTATATGGACAAAAAGATATAAACAATTATCCCTTTAGATAAAAAAGTTGTTCTAGAAATGCATTATAAATCATTTAAAAAATATTTTAAGGTTGGGTCTTATATGCTATGAACAACTCATGTGAAGGAGAAGGTTACCCCTCTTTCAGCCTTCTGTCGTCCCACAAGGAGTTTGATATTGAGGCTGTTAAAATTTTTCCTACTGGTTTTATATTTAAAAAACATCCTACTAGAAACTATCTCTTTTCTTATAGAGGGAAAACTCCTAAGATTTTTCTTTTAGAAAATGTCATTAAAAGTGTCATAGGCTTCCGAATCATAAATATATAGGAGGCACTTTGAAAAAATCAGAAGGGATCCATAGGAAGGAATTCATTCAGCAAACACACACTACATGGCCACTGCAAGCAAGGCATTCTGCTAGCTGCTGTGGGGGAATCTCAAATGAACAAGCTAAGTTGTTATCACGAATGTGATAAGCATCATATTAAAGTTTATGAAACTAAAGACGAGGGGCCACAGGGGAATGATGACTAGCAGAGGAACTGGGGAGAGAAGGACTAGGATCCGCTATCACAGAGAAGTCTTGGATAAGATGCAGAGACGGGTAGACGGCTGGAAAAAGGAAGTCATGTGAACAGAGAAAGGCGAGGGTTACCTGGAGTGTACAGTAACCTGAGCTAGTGGTCCATGCCTGAGCCGCTGATGGCTGCAAGAGCAAGGATGAACCTAGAATAGAATTATGCTTTAGGAAGATCACTCCGGTGGTGCTTAAAAAATGGGACCACACAAATTAGAAGTTAACTGCAGTCTTTGGGAAGAGGTAACAAGAACTTGAGTCATGGCAATGAAGATGGGAAGAAAAAAAGAGGAATGGCAAGAAGTCTTGTTCAGACCTGGATGCAGATTCTGTGGCCACAGACGATGTCTATATTACAGAGGAAAATAGACAGACTTGAAGAGGAAGAAAGTTGATTTTGTCGTGTGAATTTTAAAACGCTTGAGGACTTATGTAGGTGTCCAACAGGTGGTTGTAAATGTGGCAAGGGTAAGTCTAATGAAGGTGTTTGAATTACAAGTGCCAAGAATCCCATCCTCACTTTCTTCTATCCAATTGAACAAGTATTTTCTCCAAACAGACACAGGGTAATACTACCGGAGAAAGAGATATATTACAGTGTATCTGCCTTTAAGAAATATAGACTGTACTATACAAAGAAATGGGAATTACCTCTCTGGAAATCCCAGTGACTACATTTGACTGCAGTGGATCTCACATGGAAGCATACTTCAACACACACCCGCATAGGCTATGATAACATTTACAATTTCACTAAATTATGAAAGTGGAGGCTTTCCACACTTCTAGGTATATTCTACCAGTCGAACATAAAATACATTTGGCTAACAAAACTGCACTCTCAAGAATTGGTCTAGTGACCTCATTTAAAGAAAACACTACCAAATGAAATCAAGCTTTTGGTGGAAGAAGAGAGAAATAGCTTGGGCAGCCAGAGGACAATGGGAAGATACTGGGTCCATCAGAGAACAAGAGGAAAGAGGTTGGATAAAAAGGTTCAAAATAGGTGAGGAGGACAGGTCATCACATTTTCTCAGGACTTGAGTCATGCTGGTCAGCTGCCCAGGTAGAGAAGGAGCACGCTCATTAGCAAAACTAGCCTCCCCTCGTTCAGCCTGGCTTCCTACGTGGGTTATTCTCAGCATCCTTTTCAGCTTAGTGTTATGACTGCTTTTCTCTGCCGTCCTTACAAATACAAGGAGACACCGGAGAGAGTTTGATGGAAGCACATGGACCCACGTAACACACAGTACTCCTGGGGTCCAAAGCTGTTTATACTTCTTTCTCATGTACAGACTGCACTTCATTTTTCCCCTCAAAAATATCACCCATCTGAGATAACTTTCAAGGTAGTTTTGCAATAAATTGCATATAATTAGGCTCCCACTTAATACTGAATGAGCGAGGTTAAAAACTGATCAGCTTTGGTAAGTCATGAAGGCTTGAAAAGGAAGGAAAGGGAATGTAATACTATTACACAGGCAAAACAAATTATGGGAGGACAATCTGATAAAAAGGCTTGTATTTTATATATTTCAAAACCCTCCAAGGGACTAAGCCAATAGCTAATGCACTCACACATGAGTTTCACATGTAATCAAGAAGAATTACTGAAAGTTTGTGCCAGATATCTCTGTTCCTCTAAAATAGCCAGGCTGATATTTCTTAGGTTCTGATAAAATCTAACCATGGCCTCCAAATATGATACATTAAAAACGGCAGAGACTTTAATGGGAAAGCCTTATTTACTGATTTTGACTAACGTAAGTGGGTTACAAAAATATTTTATCTGCTATGGCAGAAAGACTTGGAGAGACAGCAAGTCAAGACTATCAATAAGGCCACAAGAGGGTTTCAAATTATTGCGGAACAGGAGACAGCCAGAAAACCCTAGATCTAGCAGGGACTCGGGTGCTGCAGCAAACGGCGTCCAAGAGACTTCAGAAAGGCACTTGGTAATTCTCTTGGCTACCATGAAGTATCACGCTGAGGTGGGAAATCCTTTACAAGGAAGTAGAAAGGAAAATTCTTGTACCCTTTAATGAAATCTTCTATGGAAAACCTTGTAAGACATCATAATTTAAATTCTGTCAATACAATGTATATTACACACATCAGGAATGTCTTCAAGGATAGTGTTAATTTTCCCTCTGCTAATCAATTTTATGTACAAGGTAGTTCACATGTTAAATAAGTGCACCAGAATGACTAATAAGTAATAATGAGGTGCACTGATAGCTACAGAAAGGATTTTGTTTTAAATTACCAGGGAGGATATAACACAAGTGGTAGAAAAAGACCTTTCAAAAATGATACTATACAATTTCAGTTAATACTGGCTTAGACGTTGTGCTTTTCTAATATGGCAATTCCAGTTTTTAAAATTGAAACCATAATATTATAGGAAATGAAGCATTTTTTTAGATACAAACATCACCATTGATTTGGACTTAGAGCTCTTAAAAGCTATGGAGTCTATGTACTATAATCCTTTCCATATTTTGGTATTTAGAAAAATAATATATTGATGTGTGTTGAATTGGTAGCTGTGAAAAAAATTCAAATTCTATCCCCTTGCTATAATTCTTTGATGGCATAATATTCATGCCCAAAGAGGTACATAACAGTAGAAATATTTTAGATATTTTACTGGAATTTCATTTCACAGTTACTGAGGTAGAAGCTGGCCATGCATTTTTCTATTAAAAGATACAAAAAATTTCTAAGTTGACATTCAAAGACATGTACTTTCTTTTTAATCAGCAGGCTGAATAGAATCATAATTACTAAACCAAGTACTTTATGGAAATTTTCTCCTTAGTATATGGTATTTATTTACCAAGACTTAGCGCTAGCGAGCATGTTACAATGTAAGGCAGGAAAAACAGTGTGGACTGAGTCACAGATAGTTAAAACTATACAGTATCAAGATAAATTTTCTGGTCTCTAAAGAAATGGTACTTTAGAATTCAGTGTGAATCTTAGAAATAATTCTGACCACTAAGTACACATCAAAATTTTAATAAATAACATACATGAAAAACAAACATTAAAAAAACACTATAACAAAATTTTTTATATCTCAAGAAGAGTTTGGTTGGCTGTATCTTGGCAGTGTTCATTTCTGCACAGTTTTTGAATAACATTTATTCCATGCTGATCAAATTCCTCCTTTTTGGACTCAAAGAAGAGATGAAACCAAAACTGCTACAATACTGTGCCTTCCTGAAATGCTTCTATCCACCTATTGATAAGAGAAATCCATTAGATTTATAGAATCCAATCATCTGTTATATGCAAACATAATATAGATAACTGCCGGGCCTGTGCATCTAATCACTCTAACAGCACATTTAAGATCTTCCCTATGGCAAAGTGGAATTTTGTGTAAGTGAAACTACCTTTATTGGGTCATTTGATCCAAATTGTGGCAACAGAAAGTGTGCATATTTCAGAGAGCTACGAAGAAGGAATCAGTTCATGTGTAAAGTTTTAGGAAATCCTGATGTTCTCCCATTTAACTGTTTTGGAAGTGCCCGTGGCAGCAAAGGCCTTCTTTACAACACTCTCCCTTTCTCTCTTGTCTCAGTGCTATTAGAACACTAGTGTCACCTCCTCTCCTAACTCTACCAAGCAGAGTTCCTTTGTGTATCCCTTAGTTCAGAACTGTTCCAATATTTCCAATTAAAGAGAATCTGGCATTTGGTCTACTCCCAATTGACAAAAAATTTGCATGCAACATAATAGCTTCTCAAGGTTTTTAGAAGTGTTTCCAAAATTCTTCAAAGTTTTAGCTGACATTACACACAGCTGCAACTACTCAGAAAACACTTGGGGGTAGTCTCTTCCCCCCTCCTCCCTCTGCTGTAGTGTAACTGTTTCTGAACCTCATAATTTTTCCCTTCTTACTGAAATACAATTTTTACAGTAATATTTCATGTAAAGAGATGACTCAAGGGAATTATAAACTTCTGAAATCAATTTAATTTTTAAGAGCAACCTAAAACACATTTAGCTGAAATTTTAGGGACAGAATTTTCAAAAATTTAAATTTTGAAAATAAATAGGATGTAAGTTATACCATGATAGCAAGACTTTTTAAAAAGCCCCCAAATCTCCCACTAATACTAGTATTTTAATATTCTTTTGTATCCAAAAAAAAAAAATAAACCTGCAAGACATTACTTTAGAAATTTTTCTATTTATTTGAGAGACAGCAAGAGAATGAGATAAAGAGCACTCCCAGGGCTGGCACTGTGGCACAGCGGGTTAAAGCTGAGCCTGCAGCACCAGCATCCCATACAGGTGCCAGTTCGAGTCCTGGCTGCTCCAATTCCAATCCAGCTCTCTGCTATGGCCTGGGAAAGCAGTAGAAGATGGTCCAAGTCCTTGGGCCCCTGAACCTGCATGGGAGACCCGGAAGAAGCTCCTGGCTTAGGATCAGCTCAGCTCTAGCCTTTATGGTCATTTGGGGAGTGAACCAGTGGATGGAAGACTTTCTCTTTCTCTCTCTCTTTCTCTGGCTCTACCTCTCTCTGTAACTCTTTCAAATAAATGAAAACAAATCTTAAAAAATAAAATAAAAAGAGCATTCCCATTTACTGCTTATTCCTCAAATGCCAGCAATGGACCAGCAGAGCTAGAAGCTGGAAGCAGGCAACTCAATCTCAGTCTCCTCCATGAATGGTGGGAGCCCAATGAATGAGCCACCATGGCTGCCACAAAAGGTCTGCATTAGGAGGAAAGTGGAGTCAGCGCCCAGAGCCCAGTACTGAACCCAGACACTCCAATGTGGGGACACAGGCATCCTACCTGGCATAGATATTAATAACTTAAAGAGATACTTATAATTTAGCCTATATCAATTCTAAATTAGAAGTAAGTTTTCTCCATCTAACTACATTTAATTCTGCCTAGATGGAATTTTTATCTTCTCAACATAATAATATAAGCAAAAGATGATGTATATTGAGAGGCAATCATTTATCAATTTGATGACAAACACAGATGAAATTTATAAGAAAGATAATATGTACAGAATCATAGGGGAATTACTGTTTTGTCCAAGTAATTTTATGGGGCAAATAATAAAGTGACATGACTTTAAAATATTATTCTGCGCCGGCGCCGTGGCTCACCAGGCTAATCCTCCACCTTGCGGCGCTGGCACACCGGGTTCTAGTCCCGGTCGGGGCACCGGATTCTGTCCCGGTTGCCCCTCTTCCAGGCCAGCTCTCTGCTGTGGCCAGGGAGTGCAGTGGAGGATGGCCCAAGTGCTTGGGCCCTGCACCCCATGGGAGACCAGGAGAAGCACCTGGCTCCTGCCTTCGGATCAGCGTGGTGCGCCGGCCGCACTGCGCCGGCATCGGCAGCCATTGGAGAGTGAACCAACGACAAAGGAAGACCTTTCTCTCTGTCTCTCTCTCTCTCACTGTCCACTCTGCCTGTCAAAAAAATAAAAATAAAAAATAAAATATTATTCTGCATCAAAAGGAATTATTTGGAAGAACAGCTATACACAGATAAATATCCTAAAATATACGAGGCAAAAAATGCCTTCTAGAATGTCTGTAATATTGTACCTGGTCAGTATTCAGAAACATGATGGTTCCTCAAAGCTTCATGGAAGAGGCAGGTGTTTAGCCTATTAGTTAAGACATCCATGTCCCAAGTGGGAGTATCTGAGTTCAATTCCTGGCTCTGGCTCCTGACGCCAACTTCCTGCAATGCAGACCCTGAGAGGCAGCAAGTAATGGCTCCAGAAGTTGGTTCCTGCCACCAAACTTGTGAGAGACCTGGACTGAGATCCCAGCTCCTGGATTTGGCCCTAGTGGGCATTTGGGGAGTGAACCTGCAAATGGAAGGGAGCTAATCCTCTCTTTCTGTCTCTGTCTCTGTCTGTCTCTCTCAAAACACTAAATAACAATCAAAAACCTTGTGGAAAAACAGAATTAAAAGATAAGTTTATTCAGATGCAAAAAATTTGGAATTCATGCATAATTTTTTATATTACAAACTTTCTATGAACTTTGTAAAGACCTCCATCTGCAATTCCGGTACATTAATTCTAACTGTCTTAAGAAGCTGATGCCCCGCTTACTCAAATCACGTAAAAAATGTTAACCTCACTGAGAAAACATGAGTACCTCTTACATAAAACAAAAATGTGTACTTTGTGAGGCCAAAGTAAAATTCAAATGGAAGAGGTGAAGTGAACTAGTTTATTCAGAAGGGACCTCAATTTCACAGAGACATGCGTTTCTATGTTAAGCAACCTCATAACATCTAAGAATTCTTATGTGAATTCTGAAGAGACTGTTTCAGCCTTCATCATCTAAAATGATATCCATTTCCATCCACTCAGTCACTGAGAACAGCATGGGAGCCTCTTAATGTGTTTGACCTTTTCCCCAGAGAAGTATGTTAGCAAGCAGCTGTTTAAACTCACGCTGTTCCCTGGCATAACTGAATCACTGGACTGCCAAGGTCCCGCGATGTTTCAAGGGAAGACTCTTCCCCTCACGGAGGGAGGGGTCAGACGCCTCCGCCTCCCTTCTTCCTGCAGAGCAGCATCACGCTGCCTCCTCTGAGGTCATCTGCAGACGGGACACTTGGCCGGGCCTACCTATTTTCTTTTCCCCTCTGCCTCCTAAAAATGTTCCGGATACCCCTGCCTTATTTCAAAACAACTGTAAAGAGTTTGATTAATATGTTAAATTTAATTTGGATCTCTAGTTTAAATTCTGAGTTGTCCCCATGCCTTAAAGTAGGTTGTTTTAAAAGTCAGACATTTAAAGTAACAACTTGAAATCAAATCTTATGTATAAAAGAAAAATGCCTTTCAGTTACTTACTTCTGAGCTGAGTGAGCATCATCTGCCTTGAACACATAAAACAACATGTTTTTATGCAGTAACTGAAATACTTTAGACTCCGAATGCTCGTCTTTCACTTGAGTTACAGTGAATCCTAACAAAGGCTGACTCTCCAAAGCTGCCACGTCCTAATTTACAAATACACAAATGAAGACAGGATTGTAATGAAAACTCTTGATTTCTACAGGTCTAATTTCATACACACATATAAAACAATGATAATCCTAACAACTTACTCATTTCTATGACCCTCTTCCACCTCCCTATGTGCCAGATACTGTTAGACAATTTTCAATATGTTTGCATCCACTGAATTTCACTGTCTTTCCCGCATTATATTCATTATAATGTTCATTACATTGCTTCCATTTTATGGATGCTAAAAACACAGCTCAGAAAGGCAACTGATTTTTCTAGATCTTAGCACTATGGAAAAGCCTGGACCCTACAGCAATGGTTGTCATAGGATGTTGGAACACAGGGTGATCAGATGGGAGAAAAGAACAGAATTAGAGCAAACAGCTAAGAAACTGTTTCTATCACAAACAAAGCCTATCTTATCTATGCAGGTTGTTTGATCAACACATTCTGGGGTGTGGTCACAGAAAGCCTGTGTGCAGCACAGAGAGCCTGGCAGAGAGAAGCAGCAGGTTGGGGCTGGTGCTGTGGCGTAGCAGGTAAAGCCACCGCCTACAGTGCCAGCATCCCATATGGACACCAGTTTGAGTCCCAGCTGCTCCACTCCCAATCCAGCTCTCTGCTCTGGCCTGGGAAAGCAGTAGAAGATGGCCCAAGTCCCTGGGTCCCTGCACCCACGTGGGAGACCCAGAAGAAGCTCCTGGCTCCTGGCTTCGGATTGGCACAGATCCGGCCACTGAGGCCAATTGGGGAGTAAACCATCAGATGGAAGATGTCTCTCTCTCTGCCTCTCCTTCTCTCTCTGTGTAACTCTGACTTTCACATTAATAAATAAATCTTTAAAAAAAGAAAAGCGGCCAGCGCCGCGGCTCACTAGGCTAATCCTCTGCCTTGCAGCGCCGGGACACTGGGTTCTAGTCCCGGTCGGGGTGCCGGATTCTGTCCTGGTTGCCCCTCTTCCAGGCCAGCTCTCTGCTGTGGCCCGGGAGTGCAGTGGAGGATGGCCCTGTACCCCATGGGAGACCAGGAGAAGTACCTGGCTCCTGCCTTCGGATCAGCCCGGTGCGCCAGCCGCAGCGGCCATTAGGAGGTGAACCAACGGCAAAGGAAGACCTTTCTCTCTGTCTCTCTCTCTCACTGTCCACTCTGCCTATCAAAAAATAATAATAATAAAATAAAAAAATAAAAAAAAAGTTAAAAAAAGCAGCAGCTTCCCCTCTAATGTAGTCAGTAGTCACATAATACCAAAAATACTTGTGTTTTATACTATGAAAACTTCCTAATACATTTGAGTAAGAGCTCTCCAGATACAAAGCGAGAAAGATCACTGTTCACATTAAAAATACCATCAACAGCATTTCCCCTCTCCAGGAGCAAATCAAAATAACATAAAAACATGGATTCTGAAAATATTTCCAGTTGCATTACAAGACTCCCAAACTACTTGTCATTAGATTACATATCTTACCTCACTTGCAGCGTATGTATATAGAACTTTATTTTTTATGACAAACCACAAGTGTTTCCAAGGTTTCTTATTGCCCTTTGATCTGTACAAGTAGCCACTCATAGAAGAATCTTCTGTGTTTGCTGATACCTGGATAAGCAAGCCCCACAGACAGTTTAATGGTTTTGAGATATATTTTAGACAACAAAATTGCTTGTGGTCATTACATGCTGTAAGTAATAAATATAATAACACAAGGTTTAGAATGAAATAAGGTATTTTCAAAGTCTGCCACTGTACTGACTGAATACATTGAAATGGACATAAAAACCTTCGCTTTCACAAGTAAGTCTAGAATTTTACCTAGTTTAACTGTGCTTGTATGTGTCTGTGCATGTCTTCTTTGTAGACTCATCTGTTTTTTGGATTAGCAAGAGAAAAAAAAATCTAAAGTCGACAATGCTTTTCTAAAGCTGTACTTTGAGGACTGTGTATTGTGTCCATTTTTGTCTTTTCAAAGATTTTATTTATTTGAAAGGCAGAATTACAGAGACAAAAAGAGAGGGAGATACAGAAAAACAGACAGATCTTCTATCCGCCTGTTTACTCCCCAAACACTCACCAGGATCAGGCCAGACCAAAGCCAGGAGCCAGGAACTTCTTCCAGGTCTCCCACCTAGGAGCAGGGGCCCAAGGACTTGGACGATCTGCTACTGCTTTCCCAGGCAGCTGGACTGGAAGTGGAGCAGCCAGGACTTGCCAGCACTTGACCTGGTGTCCATATGGGATGCTGAAATCACAGGTGGCGGCTTTACCCACTATGCCACAACACTAGGGCCCCTGCACCCATGGGGGAGATCCAGAAGAAGCTCCTGGCTCCTGGCTTTGGCCTGGCCCTGCCTTGGCCATTGTGGCCGTTTGGGGAGTATACCAGCAGATGGAAGATCTCTCTCTGTCTCTCTTTGTAAATCTGCCTTTGAAATAAATAAATAAATCTTAAAAAAAAGAATATCTTAGAATTAGTTGACTGGCTACATAACATGACCAGTCATAATGCTGAATAGCCATGAATAGTCTTGTAATTGTTTAAAAATAAAATTGGTAGGGCCGGTGCCGTGGAGCAGTAGGTTGGTTAGTCCTCTGCCTGCGGTACCAGCATCCCATATGGGTGCCGGTTCTAGTCCCGGCTGCCCCTCTTCCAATCCAGCTCTCTGCTGTGGCCCGGGAAGGCAGTGGAGGATGGCCCAAGTGCTTGGGCCCCTGCACCTGCATGGGAGACTAGGAAGAAGCACCTGGCTCCTGGCTTTGGAATGGCGCAGCGCCGGCCATGGCAGCCATGTGGGGAGTGAACCAATGGAAGGAAGACCTTTCTGTCTCTCCCTCTCACTGTCTGTAACTCTACCTCTCAAATAAATAAATAAAATCTTAAAAAAATAAAATAAAATTGATATTAACGAACTTAATTGCTAAACTGAAAATATTTCTTCAATGATATGGGTTAATAATAATAATCATAATAATCCAAATCAAGGGAAATACTCTCCATTACTGAGGATCTCAATGTAATTCTAAAATAGAAGAGTTTCTAAAAAATTTTTTTTTTTTTTTGACAGGCAGAGTGGACAGTGAGAGAGAGAGACAGAGAGAGAGGTCTTCCTTTGCTGTTGGTTCACCCTCCAATGGCTGCCATGGCTGGCGCACCGCGCTGATCCGAAGGCAGGAGCCAGGTGCTTCCTCCTGGTCTCCCATGGGGTGCAGGGCCCAAGCACTTGGGCCATCCTCCACTGCCTTCCTGGGCCACAGCAGAGAGGTGTCCTGGAAGAGGGGCAATCGGGACAGAATCCGGCACCCCAACCGGGACTAGAACAAGGTGTGCTGGCGCTGCGAGGTGGAGGATTAGCCTACTGAGCCGCGGCGCCGGCCTAAAAATGTTTTCAACATTACTGGAATAAGAACACAACTTCCCAGATCCTCAAAAAGTTAAACATAGAATCACCGCATGACTAAGAAATTTTAATTCTTGGTATATAGGTAAATGAAAACATATGTCCACAGAGAAATTTGTACATGACTGTTTACAGTAGCATTATTCATAACCCAATAACCCAAATGTTCAAAGATGAATGGATAAATTATTATACTTATGTGCACATATTAGACCTAAAATGAAACAAAGTGCTGATACATGCTCTAGTACTGAAGCATGTTACATTTTCAGTGATCCTCAAACACTGTGCTAGGGTCAGCGCTATGGCGCAGCAGATTAAGGTGACACAGGCGTCCCATGTGGAAGAGCCAGTTCCAGTCCTGGCTGCTCCACTTCCGATTCAGCTCCTTGTTACTGCACCTGGGAAAGTAGCAGAGGGTGGGTCAAGTGCTTGGACCCCTGTCACCCGTGTGAGAGACCTAGATGTAGCTCCAGGCTCAGTTCAGCCTGACCCAGTCCTAGCCATTGCAACCACTTAGGAAGTGAAGCAGCTAATGCAAGAGCACTCTCACCTTCTCTTTCTGTTGCTCTGCATTTCAAATAAATAAAAATCTTACACACACACACACACACACACACCATTGTGCTAAGTGAAGGAAGCCAGATACAAAGGTCACGCACTGTATTCCTTTTATATGGCATACTTAGAATAGCCAACTCCAGAGAGATGGAAAGCAGACCAGAGGTTACCAGGGAGTGGAGAAGGGAGGAAGGGAGACTGATTATCTAATGGGTACAGACGTTTTGTGGACGATAAAAGAGTTCTCAAACAGATGGTGGTCGTACAACATTCTGAGCACATGAAATGCCACCAAACTGTATACTTTAAAAATGGTTAACATATGCTACCTGAATTTCAGCTCATCATCTCAACTAAATAAACTTTTACGGCACTTAATTAGATACATTAATTTTTCCAGTCTAACTGCAGAGGAGCAAAGAAGTAGTTCTCAAACTTCAGCACAGGTGTGAATCACAAGAGCCTAGCAGAGTTTCTGATTCTGCAGACTGGATGGGGCCCGATAGGTCTAACACTCACAAGTGTTTACAGAACACTGATGCTACTGGTCTGGAGGACACTTTGAGAACCAGTAGCGTAGAGGAGGCAATGGCTGCAATCAGGAAGCAGAGGTTTGTAGTGGGAGGCCTGCTTGTGTGGTTGGGTAGAAGGACATATACATTGGGACTGGAGTTAGACTGAGGTTAGTCCAGACTGTAAAGAGTTTTACAACAAATGCTGTGGAATTTAACTCAAGAGGGGAGTAAATGGACAAGAATTATACTCAGAAACTGTGGCATCACTGGGAGGGGTGAAAAATTATATGGTACTGAGAACCATTTCTGTTTATTAAGAACCTCAAAGTTATGAATTTAGATTTAGATGCAGGAACTCAGGGACAGAACAGATTGACTTCACCAGTTTCATAGAAACTTGGAGATTAGAACTTGAAGTCTTGTACTTACTACTTAATGAATTTGGCTCTATATCACTTTATATCAAGGCCAATGTTTTGGCACAGTGGGGCAGGTTAAGCTACTTTGATGTCACCATCCTATATCAGAGTGCTGGTTCAAGTCCTAGCTACTCTGCTATTGACCCAGCTTCTTGTTGATATGCCTGGGAAAGCCACAGAAGATGGCCCCAATAATTGGGACCTGCCACCCTGTGGGAGACCAGGAGAGTTCCTGCCTGCTATCATGTGTTAGGCTCAGACCTGGTTGTTGTGGCCATTTGGGGAGTGAACCAGCAGATGGAAGATCTCTCTGTCTCCCCCTCTGTGTCACTCTTCCTTTCAAATAAATAAGCAAATCTTTTTTTAAAAATCACTTCATGGGGCCAGTGCTGTGGCTTAGCAGGTAAAGCTGCCACCTGCAGTGGCAGCATCTGATATGGGTGCTGGTTTGAGTCCTGGCTGCTCCATTCCCGATCCAGCTCTCTTCTATGGCCTGAGAAAGCAGTAGAAGATGGCCCAAGTGCTTGGGGCCCTGCCACCCATGTGGGAGACCCGGAAGAAGCTCCTGGCTCCTGGCTTCAGATCATCCCAGCTCTGGCTGTTGCAGCCATTTGGGGAGTGAACCAGCGGATGGAAGACCTCTGTCTGTCTGTCTCTTTCCTCTGCCTCTCTGTAACTCTCATTTCAAATAAATAAATACATCTTTCTTTTTTTTTTTCTTTTTTTTTGACAGGCAGAGTGGACAGTGAGAGAGAGAGACAGAGAGAAAGGTCTTCCTTTTGCTGTTGGTTCACCCTCCAATGGCTGCCACGGCTGGCGCGCTGCGGCCAGCACACCGTGCTGATCTGATGGCAGGAGCCAGGTGCTTCTCCTGGTCTCCCATGGGGTGCAGGGCCCAAGCACCTGGGCCATCCTCCACTGCACTCCTGGGCCACAGCAGAGAGCTGGCCTGAAAGAGGGGCAACAGGGACAGAATCCGGCGCCCCGACCGGGACTAGAACCCGGTGTGCCGGCGCGGCAAGGCGGAGGATTAGCCTAGTGAGCCGCAGCGCCGGCTATAAATACATCTTAAAAAAAAGAGATAGGCCAGCGCCACGGCTCACTAGGCTAATCCTCTGCCTTGCCGCGCCGGCACACCGGGTTCTAGTCCCGGTCGGGGCGCCGGATTCTGTCCCGGTTGCCCCTCTTTCAGGCCAGCTCTCTGCTGTGGCCAGGGAGTGCAGTGGAGGATGGCCCAGGTGCTTGGGCCCTGCACCCCATGGGAGACCAGGAGAAGCACCTGGCTCCTGCCATCAGATCAGCGTGGTGCGCTGGCCGCAGCGCACCGGCCACGGCAGCCATTGGAGGGTGAACCAACAGCAAAGGAAGACCTTTCTGTCTCTCTCTCTCAATGTCCACTCTGCCTGTCAAAAAAAAAAAAAAAAAAAAAAAAAAAAAAAAAAAGAGATAGAACACTGAGAAATGACACCAAAAGATGGTACTTTATTTGTGCCTCTCTCCCTCTCTTTAAAAAAAAATCACTTGATACTACTTCAACTGGGAATACACTCTTAACTTCCCATAAGAAATATGATCTTGGTCAAATTTTTAGAGTTGTTTGCTTCTGGTACTTTCATAGAACACCTCCATAGTAATGAAGCAAGAGAACCCAATTAGAAACCCTGCTTACCTGGCCATAAAATTAGCCCAGGTGGAACTGTTAACTAGTCAGAATGGGAGTAGGCAGAAAGGAAATGCTGTTTTTGTTCTCTTGCTACTTGCTGACTGACATTTAACTGATGAGGGTAAGATATCAATGATTCCCATGTATTATGCCATTGGCAGGTTTAAGCATGTTTCAAATTTTCCTTTCATTTTAAAGAAAAGACAGCCTACTGTCAGTGACCTCAGTAGTACATAACTAACCAATACCAACAAAAATCAGTTAGTAAATGCTAACAAAATGCCCAGAATATTTTATGAACTTCTTTCCTCTGGTATGGGAGGCCTCCTCAAAGTGACTTTTGAAAATTCATGGGGCCAGCACTGTGGTGTAGCAGCTGAAGTTGCTGCCTAAGGTGCTGGCATCCCATATGGATGCCAGTTTGAGTTCCGGCTGCTACACTTCTGGTCTAACTCCCTGTTAACGTGCCTGGGAAAGCATCAGCACGTGGGAGACCAGAAGAAGCCCCTGGCTCCTGGCTTCAGACCGGCCCAGCTCTGGCTGCTATGGACATTTGGGGAGTGAACCAGCAGACAGAAGATCCCTCTCTCTGTCTCTTCCTCTCTCTCTAACTCTGCCTATTAAATAAAATAAATAAATCTTGAAAAAAATTAATGTGTGTCCAACTTATTTTTACTTTCTATCATTGCTATAAAATGCTCTTCAAACCTTTCAACAGCAGTTTTCTAAATGACTTGGGTCTTAAGGGAGACTGGGCAAGACTGTAAGCCATCAGTCACACCCATCATCAGTATTAAAATTCATATTTTAATAGTTGCGGGAAATGACATCTTCCTTTATAAAAGAAAAACAGTGTATTACGATAAGCCTATGAATAATTCAGCCCCTATCACACTGCAAGTTTAATGGAAACACTTACTTCTTTGAGGGCAGCTGGGATTTTCTTCTGTTTCCTCCCTGATGGAATACTATGTAAGACTGATGATAAGGCGCTTGAAGGAGATTTGTGATTTCCAGGAAATCCAATCTTAGGGGCATGCTGATGATCTAAAATAAACCAGGTACACTTATGTAGCCAATGATAAGCATTCTGCAATTCAATTTAATTCAGGTCAGTAAACCGTGTTGCATATAATATCCTTGGAATGTCACACAAGAGACGTAAGGCCTATGGGGAAGGAAGATGATTAGCTGGGAGCTGAATGGGAGAGATTCTGTGCTATCTATGATTTTACACTTCTGAACTTAAAGTTCATAAAGGAATTATTCCTTCATGCCTTGTGAATTCTGAAAATAACAATGTACTACAACCTTAAAAATCCAAACAAAACCTTCCCTATTGACTTCTCTAAAACAAAACCCAATGTTGTTCAGTGTCTAGATACTAGACCAAATACTAATACTATAATGAACAAAGTACTAAATAATGAGGCCATAGGACACAGTTGAAGGAGCAGTGAATTCTGACTGTGGAGATTCCAGGAAAGCTGAGAAGAGAATGAGGAGTTTCAGTTGCTCTACATAGGAGTTTGCCAGGTATGAGAAGAACACTCCACCCAGAGATGTCAGTGTGAGCAAAGGGAAAGAGGTACAAAATGAGATCATCTATTTAGAGAGAAATCAGGCTGGAAAAAAAAGGGCTGGTTCTCAGGAATCTGCACTGTTTAGGCTTTTTAAGCTAGGGAGTGACATGAGCAGATGATTCACCATAAATCCAGCATTAGCAAGGAGGAGGGATTTGCAATAGGGAAAATGGTTGGGGAATTATGATGTTAGTACAGACAAGAGACAACAAAGGCCTTATTAGGACTCAGATGAAGACTTAAAGTCAAAGATATTCAGAGATAAAATTGACAAGATTTACTGACCAAATGATTCAAAGATAAATGTTTAGTGTTTGTAGTTTTTGCCATATACCCAGAGAACAAAAGGACGACCAGAAAGGCTGGCAAAGAAATAGATGGATGTGGCTGCTTAGAAATAACATGTAATCTAATTTTATTCAATTAGATATTCCTGTTTGCTAACCAAAAGCTGTTCTTCATGGAAATGAAGGACAATCTTTTTAAAATTTAGATTCTGTAGGACTCAGAGATTTAACTAAGGATCCCTTCCCACAATATAGATCTAAGCAGTCCTGCTAGCTGCATTCACTTTAACTTCAGGATACCTGCAAACAGTGAACAGGCAGACGGGAAATATAATTTGGTATTTGGTCAAAAGGCTGCATGTTTGAATGTAAAATAGATCTCACTAAATCATCCCAAGGGATTAAATTAGGCTTAAAAAATGCCACTTAGTAAATTCCCATAGAGAAGTGCTTTATAGACAGGTAAAAAAAATGATTTGTAACAAGCATACTGCTGGTAAAGTTTGAAATGTCAAAATTACTTGAATGTTAAGACTCTTTTAATTGCTTTAAGCATTTCACCCTGTAATTACATCTCCTAGAAGGTCAGCTTTCTTTTTTCTTTTTTTTTTTTATAGAAAGCTTTTATTTAATGAATACAAATTTCATAGGTACAGCTTTAGGAATGTAGCGGCTCTTCTCCCCATACCCGCCCAGCAAGTCAGTTTTCTTAGCAAATGCTTTTTCTCAGAGTAAAAACAAATTTCAGTCCAATCTTTCTTTGAATTACCACAAAATATGAGCTAAGAAAGCATCATGCTAAGTTTGAGAGAAGAATCATATTGCTAATGTACCAAAGATGATTCTCTCAGAAGGCTGCTGCAAAGCACCCGGGGAATAAAGGAATTTTTTGATAAATGTTATATATTACCTAATTTCTGAAGTTCTTGGAAACAATGTTCACATACTCTTGCTGGTTGATTTTTCAAATAATCTAAGCCATACTTATTTGATGAACAAGCTTGGCACACAATCTGAAAACACAATGCAATTATTTCATTTAGAATAACTTTTGTTTCCAAGCCACAAAGTAGTGTATAATTTATAGTGCTGTCTACTTTTCAAAAATATTCTCATAGTCACGAATCTCAATCACAACTCTATGAGGTTCAAGCATAGAATGATAACACACAGCACAGTAATCCCTTCTGATATGCAAGGGGTATGGTCCAAGATATTCCAACAATGGCTGAAACTGCAGGTATAACCAAACCCTATACATACTATTATTTCCTACACATATATGCTTATAATAAAACTTAATTTGTAAATTAGGCACAGTAAGAGATGAACTGTCATAACTAATGATAAATTGGAAGAATTATATACCATAAAAAACTTATTTAAAATTTATGAATTCATCACTTCTGCAGCTGTGGCCACTTTTCAGCTTCCCTTTCAAGGGTCAAGTTCTGTACTAAGTGCTATCTAAAGTAGGACTCAATTTAACTTTTTGAAAAATTTCTAATGTCATTGTCCCTACGTTCATTTTACTAATGAGGTCATGAAGGCTTAGAAACATCACTAGGGATATCTTCAACACTGAAAGTTCCCCCTACTGAACACTGTGGATATTGAGAGAGGCAGTTTAAGCCATCATCTGTCCATGGGAGGGTCTGTTTAGTGGTGAGTTTCTTCGTCTTTGCTTCTCAACGACATTCTAAAGTAACCGACGGGTAGGAGGAGGGAAGTTCTCTATCAAGTCCGCCCCCCCCCCCCCCCCCCAGTCCCAGTCCCAGTCCCAGTCCCAGTCCCAGTCCCAGTTCCTGAAGAGGAAACAACTGCTGTGTTTTTTCCCCCTCACTCAAGCAGGGACACATCACAATGGAGAGGTACTGTCCTTGCTAACCTTTCCGCAGGCCCGGCAGTGGTGCCGTCTCCAGGTCAGAGTAAATTCACTCGTGCAGACCATACACATTGTGGCTCTGGTATCAGGAATCCAGATGGGAGCCTTTGATCCAAGGGGAGTAACTTCCTCCTTGTTTTCTGAGTCAGCCTGCAGAACAAGAATGACTTTTGATTACCTCCAGGAATGCTGCCTGCTACAGAACCAAGCTTTGTATTTGGCAGTGGCGTCTCACAGTGCTGATACTATCATGAAAGATGCGGGATGAAATAGGGGCTATTATATTCTTCATGTTCTCAGGATATTAAAATGAGCTACATTCCAGAAATCCTGCAGTGCAAAATAAAATGATGCCTGTGGTGGGACGACGGCTGATTACTTTCATCCTGAAACGACTTCACATTTTCTAAATTTTCTACAATGAAGTTGTGTAGTCAGGAAAAACCATGACTACACCATATGTCATCATACACTTGCTATCAGATGCAGACAGAAGGATGAACACTGAGCTGCAATTAGACACACATCTCCAATCCTCATCTAACACACGTTAGACCCTTTTCTAAACGCCTGCGAAACGTTTCTTTAAGGTAAAAATTGCTTGAAACACACTGAAAAAAGGGGGGAGGGGAGACAGAAGGCTACCTCCTCGAGACTCCTGCTGGGACAGAAGGTGGTTCTTTTCTTGGCGTACTCTTCTATTGACCTGGAAATCGCTTCCAGCCACTCATCCCTTTCTGTGGCAGAGCTGTTGGGGAGAAAAGGAGGGCCCATCAAGCAGATGTCAGCTTTTATTCTTGGCCTTCTTCTTGCTTCTTTTCCTTCTCCCATGGCAACAGATCCCACCACCCTCCGACAATCCCAGTCCACAGCAGGACCCTGAGGCTTATGTGAACAAATAATCAGAGCAGGCGACAGGGAGGCCCTGGCATTTTAGCAAGCATAGGGCGCTTTTTCCTTCTGAAAGTACTGCTTTATTGCTAAATTGCTTCTGAAGTCTCTAGAACTGGAAGTATTTTTGCTCGGCTTAAGAGATACTTGCACAATTAATCATTATGATTATTTATATGGTCAAGAGGTTTCTAAGATATAATCCTAAAATCTAAAAATATTCTAAGGAGTCAAGTTTCACATGTGAATTTATAAGATAGGATACAAAACATCTTTAGATTACTAAAGATAACTAAAATAACTTATCATCGGTGTTATAAAACAGGCGTTGAAAGAGTAGTTAATAAGGGGAACAGCCTGCAGTTGTCATTAGGGCTTGTCCACCTGGTCAGACCACCAAGCTTTCTGTCCCCACTCCAGCTTATCAGCAGATGTCTTTAATTCACTGCCTTTTTGAAAATACTTATGTTAATTATTTATTTAGAGAGAGATCCTAGGCACTGGTTCACTCCCCAAATGCCTGCAAAGGCCAGGTCTGGGCCGAGGCAGCCAGAAGCTGAGAACTCAACCCAGGTTTCCAACATGGTTGTTAGAGACTTAAACACTTAAGCAATTACCTCTGCCTCCCAGCCTCTACATTACCAGGAAGCTGGAATCAAGAGAAGAGCTAGGGGTCCAGCATTGTGGCATAGTGGGTAAAGCTGCACATGTGGGTGCTGCTTCCAGGCCTGGCTGCTCCACTTTGGTTCTTTTCTTCTCTCTCTCTCTTTTTTAAAAGATTTATTTATTTATTTGAAAGACAGAGTTATATAGAGAGAGGCTGAGAGAGAGAGAAAGAGAGAGAGGTCTTCTATCCACTCCCCACTTGGCCATAATGATCAGAGCTGTGCTGATCCTTCTCACAAGAAGCACTTGGGCCATCTTCTACTACTTTCTCAGGCCATAGCAGAGCCGCATCAGAAGTGGATCAGCCAGGACTTGAACCAGTACCCATATGGGATGCTGGCATTGCAGGTGGCACCTTTACCTATTACACCACAGCACTGGCCCCCTGCTCCACTTTTGATGCAGCTCCCTGCTAATGTGCCTGGGAAGGCAGTGGAAGATGGCCCAAGTCCTTGGGCCCCTGCCACCATGTGGGAGACCCAAGAGAGTCTCCTGGCTTTGGACAGGCCTAGCTCCTTGTGGCCATTTGGGGAACGAACTAGCAGATGGGGGAGGGGGGAGGGGGAGAGGAGGGGGATGGAAAAGGGGAGGGAGGGGGAGGAGAGGAAGGAGAAGAGAGGGAGAAGGAGAGAGGACAGAGAGGGAAGGGGGAAGGGAAAGGAGAGGGGGAAAGGGCGATGAGATAGGGAGGGGGAAGACTGGGAGAGGGAAGATGGGGAGGGGGAGCACAGGGAGGGGAAGATGGGGAGGGGTAGGGGGAGGAGGTAGGAATTGAACACAGGTACTCTGATATGGGATACGTTCATCTTTCTTTTCTTTTCTTTTCTTTTTGACAGGCAGAGTGGACAGTGAGAGAGAGAGAGGCAGAGAGAAAGGTCTTCCTTTTCCATTGGTTCACCCCACAATGGCCGCTTCGGCGGCACAGTGCAGCCGGCGCACCGCCCCGATCCAAAGCCAGGAGCCAGGTGCTTCTCCTGGTCTCCCATGCAGGTGCAGGGCCCAAGCACTTGGGCCATCCTCCACTGCACTCCCGGGCCACAGCAGAGAGCTGGACTGGAAGAGGGGCAATTGGGACAGAATCTGGTGCCCCGACCGGGACTAGAACCTGGGGTGCCGGCGCTGCAGGCGGAGAATTAACCTAGTGAGCCGCGGCACCGGCCTAACTTACCTCTTGATGGGACTGCACCAAACAGGGGAAAGCCAGTTCAGCAAAGAGTAGCTCTGTTCTGTATTTCTGCAACTGTGTTTCTCCCCAAAAACTATGTGGTAACTCCAAATTATCACTTACACCAACACATTTATGAAGCCATTGTTTAAATTTTGTTTTGCATACTCAAAACTGAAAGGTATATTGTACGTATTATAAACAAGTACACAAATCTATACATACACTTGGAGAGACAGAAAGCCTTTAATAATTTAAAATTCTTGGGGCTAGCATTGTGACACAGTGGGTTAGGCTGCTGCCTGCAATACCAGCATCCTAGATAAGCACACGTTTGAGTACTGGCTTCTCCACTTCCGATCCAGCTCCTGCATGGTGTGCCTGGGAAAGCAGCAGAAGATGGCCCAAGTACTTGAGCCCCTGCCACCCATGTGGGAGACCTGGATGAAGCTCCTGGCTCCGGCCTGGCCCTGCCTGGCAGTTGTGGAAAGTGAACCAGTGGATGGAAATCTCTCCCTCTTTTTTTTGACAGGCAGAGTGGACAGTGAGAGAGAGACAGAGAGAAAGGTCTTCCTTTGCCGTTGGTTCACCCGCCAATGGCCGCCACGCTGTGGCCGGCGCACTGTGCTGATCCGAAGGCAGGAGCCAGGTACTTTATCCTGGTCTCCCATGGGGTGCAGGGCCCAAGCACTTGGGCCATCCTCCACTGCACTCCCTGGCCACAGCAGAGAGCTGGCCTGGAAGAGGGGCAACCGGGACAGAATCCGGCGCCCCGACCGGGACTAGAACCCGGTGTGCCGGCGCTGCAAGGCGGAGGATTAGCCTAGTGAGCCACGGCGCCGGCCCCTCTTTTCTTTTTTATAACTCTGCTTTTCAAATAAAGAAATAAATGTCAGAAAGCTTAAAACATTAAATCTCCATCAAAATTAAAAAATCCATCAAAATGGGACTGTGACCATCTAAGAAAATGCCTGTATTTTTCTTAAAGATTTATTTATTTGAAAGCCAGTGCTACAGAGAGAGAGGGAAAAACAGGGAGTGAGAGAGGGAGAGAAAGAGAGAGATTTCTTCCACCTGATGGCTCATCCCCCAGAGGGCCACAACAATCAAGGCTGAGTCAGGCTGAAGTCAAAAGTCAGAAGCTTCTTCCAGGTCTTCCACGTGAGTGGCAGGGGCCCAAACATTTGGGCCATCCTCCACTTCCTTTCGCGACATTAGCAAGGAGCTGGATTGCCTAAGTGGAGCAGCTGGGACACAAACCAGCACCCATGTGGAATGCTGGCCATACAGAAGGTGGCTTTACCCACTGTATCATAATGCTGGCCCTAAATGTCTGTAATTTTAAAAGAAGTTCACTGAAGGAGTAAAATGCCTTGATAACTGAAGTTTGTTTTAAAATGCTTTAGAAAATTGTAAAACAAAAAGATGGGTGGCAAAAGATTGAGTCCAGGTTATTAAAAATGTGGCTCATTGCATTATTCAATCTAATTTCAAGTATGTTTCAATTTCAGACAATATTTTTAAAATAAAAATTTCCACCATAAATAATGGTACACATTAGGCAAGTGTTGTTCTATTAAGAATCCTGGTCAATGTGGCTGGCACTGTGGCACAGAGGACCAAGCTGCCGCCTGCAGTGCTGGCATCCCATATGGGTGCCAGTTCAAGTCCTGGCTGCTCCACTGCCTTCCTGGGCCACAGCAGAGAGCTGGACTGGAAGAGGAGCAACTGGGACAGAATCCAGCGCCCCAACCGGGACTAGAACCCGCGGTGCTGGCGCCGCAGGCAGAGGATTAGCCTAGTGAGCCGCAGCACTGGCCGGCTGTTCCACTTACAATCCAGCTCTCTGCTATGGCTTGGGAAAGCAGTAGAAGATGGCCCAAGTCCTTGGGCCCCTGCACCAGCATGGGAAGACTCAGAGGAAGCTCCTGGCTCCTAGCTCCTGATCCTGGCACAGCTCCAGCCGTTGTGGCCATCTGGGGAGTGAACCAGCAGATGGAAGACCTCTCTCTGCCTCTCCTTCCCTCTCTGTGTAACTCTAACTTTCAAATAAATAAATAAATTTTTAATAAAAAGATCAATAAAAAATAGAAACCACTGATCTTTCCCACAATAATCATTCTCATAAATGCACTTTCCCACTCAATGTCTTTAAGTGCCATTTCAAACATTCATTCATACTGATTAAAAGGTAGAAACAGAGTTTACGAATACAACTTAAAAACTAATATTTCTCAAATTTCCATTACTGATTAAAGAACAAAATAAAAAAGAAACAACCCCGTTTCCTGAAATCCAAGCAAAACCTGCCTTAGTTATCTTCCCTATTGTTGCATTACTGCCAAAACTAGCTATGGTTTAACAGTAACTACATGTCAGCCCACTGCACTAAACGCCTCCCTAATGTCATCATGCCTCATCCTGAGAGCTATGTCATGGAATCCACATGACTCTCACACATACACATTCCCACGTTCGGTACAACATCACTACACACCGTCAAGGTTAGACAATGTAGACTACAAGTCACAAGCTTGTTTCAGACCCATGTGCAGTTAAGGATTGAACCCTTGATCACCAAGTCATTGCCAGCCTCTGTTCACATTCTTTGAACAACCCCTCAATAACACATGCTCAGGCTTCAAATCAAACATTCACAAAGTAGTGCCATCACTCCCACTTCTTCCTGGAAGAAGTAGGAGAAAAGAGGGGCAGATGGCTAATTTGAGAATTGCTGTTGGATTTTTGTGGAGCCCTGGGACCATGTGGAATGTGATTTGACTGTGCAAATCATGTCACATATGCTCTTCTTTCATTTAGCCACTCCTGGCTCTCTCTTGTGTGGGGTTCTGCCAAGACAATGTTTACCAGCTCTTGATAACACATTTCTCATAGACCACACACATTTGCCCACAGCATCCAGCAGAGACATTCCAGGTCAATTTTGGTAACATATTGGGCAGAAGAATCAGCATCTTCCTCAGACAGAAGGTCAGATATTTTTGTATTTATAGAATTTATAGAATGTAAATTTACATGATTTGCGAATTTGCAAACTTATTTAAGTTCCAGTTTCTCAATGATTTGGATGCATTATCAAGGGGGAAAACCCTCCAATAGAAGGGATTTCTGATGTGTTGGCCCCTGCCATACCACTTACTACTAATGTTAACTGTGAGATGCTATTCTGAGGTTCAAAGGCCACATCATTTGGGTCACTTGAGTAATATTTACTAGAAGCCTACTAAGGGCCAAGAACTAAGCCATGAACTGGGTACACAAAATACACATTCATAAGGGTTCATGCCTAAATGAGGTTAAAAAACAATTAATATGCAATATAACAGATGTAAGGTAGACAAATTACATAGAAATAGTAAATTATCTTACTTCAGTAGCAAGGAAGTCTTTGCAGAGGTGATGAAAAAGTTAAGCCTCCAAGAATTAAAGGAATTTGATGAGGAATCCAGGTCTCTCACTCACCCTCATTCAGTCTCTCAGCTTTGGTTATCACTGCTGAACTGAGGACCTCCAAATATATGCCTATGGCCTAGGCTTCCCTCAAAATCCAGAACCTAAAATAAACTTTTCTGATGCTTCATACATATTTTTTTAATTTTCAAAATTTTTCCTTGGTGGGCAGAGAGGGAGGGAGAGGGAAGGGGGAAGAGAAGGACAGGAAGAGGAGAGAATGGAGGGAGAAAGGGAGATGGACAGAGAGAGGAAGGAGAGACAGAGAGAGAGAGAGCGAGAGAGCACACCCATCAGCTGATTTGATCAAATGCCCACCATGGCTAGGGCTGTGCCAGGGATGGAGCCAGGAGCTGGGAACTCAATCCAGGTCTCCCACGTGGGCAGCAGGGACACAATCACTGGAGCCATCACTGCAGCCCCCAGGGTCTGCACTGGGAGGAAGCTGGAGTCAGGAGCCACTGCTGGGAATGGAGCCCAAGCACTCCGGTGGGGTACTAGGCTAGGCTAGATGCCCACTCACCGAGAGCTCACTTTTACGTTCACAGGCATTTCACATTCAATCTGCACCTCTGAAACTCTACTCCTGATTTCTTACCAAAACTGCTCCTCTCCCAGGTCTACCTTCCACACTGAATTGCCAACAACACCCTATACATTACACAAGCTGGCAGACTCTCTCACCCCTAAATCCAATTAATCATTTCTTCTAGTCGACCTCCCAAGCTGTATTCCACATAGCAGCAAGACACTCTTTTAAAAATGTGAATCTGACCCATTATTCCCTGGCATAAACCACTCAGTGGTTTCCTGTGACTCTCAGATTAAATGCCAAAACCCCAAGGATGGTTCTGCATCAGCTCATCTGTCCCTCCAGGCTTACCTTGGGTAACTTTTTCTCACACTCTAGCTCACACCTGGCCTTGCAGTCCAATATCTTTATAGTATCCATAGTTTTCCTGTATGCTACTTAACCACAAAAATACTGAGCAATGCTAATATCTGTTAAGTATGTATTTTTTTTCCTTCAAAAACGATTTATTTCTTTACATGAAAGGCAGAGATAACAGAGTGAGAATGAGAGAGAGGGGGAGAGAGATCTCCATCCATTGGTTCATTCCCCAAATGGCAGCAACAACCAGGGCTGGGTCAGGCCAAAGCCAGCAACAGAAGCTTCTTCCAGGTCTCCCACATGGGTGGCAAGGGGCCCAAGCACTTATGCCATCTTCCGCTGCTGTCCCAGGTGTATCAGCAGGGAGTTCAATTGAAAGTGGAGCAGCCAGAGCTCAAACATCCCATATGGGATGCTGGTGCTGCAGGCAGAGGCTTAACCTTCTATGCCACAGTGCTGGCCCCCAGTATATATCTCTTGTAATGGAATGTAAGCTCAGAGAAGGAAGGGCTATTTTAATTATCCACTGTATCCTGATGCCTGACCCAAGCTCCATATGACTTCACAAATCAAATGATGAATTCCAGGTGGAAGAAGCTGTTGTGCAAGGCAGAAGAATGTGGAATAGGGTGGCATGCATGGAGAGTTATAAGCAGATCCATGCATTGCATTTGGAGTAAGAGTAGACAGAGCAAGGGAGTGGAGATCAGCCGGTGAAGCAGACAAGAATCCAATCACAAGTTAGTACCTTCCTGACTGCAGTTAGGGGAATCCCGAAGGCGACCATAACACAATGGTGGTATTTCATATATTTTAGCTCCTCTTCCACCACACCAGCTCCTCCCTTGGAAATCTATTTCCTTCCATTGAGAATTTTCCAATTTTTATATTTCTCCTGCACACTCTACATTCAACCCATCAGTAATTCTACTGGCTCTCTACCTGATTCTAATCACCTCTTTTTTTTAATGATTTTATTTAATTTAAGAGGTAGAGTTACAGATAGTGAGAGGGAGAGACAGAGAGAAGAAAAGGCAGAGAAAGAGAGAGGTCTTCCATCCACTGGTTCACTTCCGAAATGGCTGCAATACTCGGATCTGGGCTGATCTAAAGCCAGGAGCCAGGAACTCCTTCCAGGTCACCCATGCTGATACAGGGGCCTAAACGCTTGTGCCATCTTCCACTGCTTTCCCAGGTCATAGCAGAGAGCTGGATTGGGAGAGGAGCAGCCGGACTATAACTGGCACCCATATGGGATGCCGGCACTGCAGGAGGATTAACCTACTGCGCCACAGCGGCAGCTCCTCTAATCACCTCTTAACACCCATCCAAGACAGCATTAACTACAGCCTATTACAGGTCTCTTAACTTCTGTGCTAGTCCCCTTAGGATCTTCTATAAAGCAGCCAGTGTGATTCTGGGGTAGATGCCCAGTAGGCAGTCCCTTTCCCTAAGAGCTGCCCTGTGTGTGTTCTCCAAGCACTGACTCTCCTATAACTGAAGTTACTTTGAATCCCCGATGAATGCTGTCACTAACCAGCACTTAAGCACCATCTACCAAGAAAAAGACAAACAGAAGAAGGTACTCATGTATCATATTCAAAGAATAATATATAAAATGTTCTGTGGAAGACGTTCCTGCCTACGCCTGCAATAAGGCACAACCATTCTCTGCACAGTGATGTTTGTGGAAACCAATGTGTTATGAAGGCCAGTGGTGCACCCCTATTATTGCATGAACATCATTCATATAAGATATACTTTCAGGGCCAGCACTGTAGTGGGTAAAGCCTCCACCTGTAGTGCTGGCATCCCAATATGGGTGCCGAGTAGAGTCCTTGCTGTTCCACTTCCAATTCAGCTCCCTGCTAATGTGCCTGGGAAAGCAGTGGAAGATGGCACAAGTCTTTGGGCCCCTGCACCTACATGGAGACCTGGATGAAGCTCTAAACACTTGGCTTCGGATTGGCCTAGCTCCAGGTGTTGCAGCCGTTTGGGGAGTGAACCAGCAGATAGAAGACCTCTCTCTCTCTCTCTCTCTGCCTCTGCCTCTCTGTAACTCTGCCTTTCAAATAAATAAATATATCTTTTTAAAAAATAATCACTTTCAAATAATGATCAACAGGGCCGCCGGTGCTATGGCACAGTGAGTTAACGCCCTGGCCTGGAGCGCCGGCATCCCATATGGGCACCAGTTAGAGACCTGGCTGCTCCACTTCTGGTCCAGCTCTCTGCTATGGCCTGGGAAAGCAGTGGAAGATGGCCCAAGTGCTTGGGCCCCTGCACCAGTGTGGGAGACCCAGAGGAAGTTCCTGGCTCCTGGCTTTGGATCAGTGCAGCTCCGGCCGTTGCAGCCATTTGGGGAGTGACCCATTGGATAGAAGACCTCTCTTTCTCGCTGCCTCTCCTCTCTCTGTGTAACTCTTTCAAATAAAAATATATATAAAAAAAATGACCAACAAAGCCTTTCTTAGTTTTATTATTCTATTCATAGTAAAATATTTATCTTTGTGTTCCTAGCACCCTATCGCATCAGCTCTTAGACATCTTCCTGCATGGTAAATGAAAAGCCAACTTTGGGAAAGAAGCCTGAGGAAAGCAAACAGGAGGAACTAAAATGTCTAAAATACCAGAGATATCTGATTCCATCTTATTGGCAAAAATTCATCTTTTGATGTACTTTTAAAGTTTACCTGGCAGAGAGGATGAAGGAACGTTCTACACTTTCAATCTTCAGTTCATTCTGATAGGCTTCTTGGGTGGGTTTTCTGACCTAGAAGAAAGCACAACAGTGTGAGTCAACACATCCTACTGAAAATCTCATCTCTGAACCATACGAGTTGCCGAAGGTCCCTGGCTGTTGATAGCCTGAACCAACCTCCCTAGCCATTGTCGACCTGTATTCTGGAGGAACTGAGCTCCACACAGGTCCGTTGCTCACCTATACTGGTATCCTTCCTGTGCAGGAACGCCCTTCCTTAGCATGCACACATGGCCACACGTGACTTACACTTTAAAGTCCACTGGCTCTTCCTCCAACCAAAAAGCCTTCTTCAATCTCCCTCATTCTTAGCTGTCTGTCGAAAACTACGGGACAACCCCTTCACCAGGCCCATCCAGAGCTGTGTATTTGGAACCTCCTAAAACTTTAACTGTGCTTTATATTCTATAGGTATTCATTGTAGTGAATTACTTTCCCAACTAGTTGCTAGTCCCTGGAGGGATTAAGGAAGAGGCAGAGGAAAGAAGAATCATGCTCTAACACATCTTCCTATTTCCCACCAAACCTGTTACTATGTTTTGTTCATGGTAGTTCTCAATAAGTATCCTGGGACTAAATTAATGCATGAGTGAACAAATGACCATATGAATGAATAAATACATAAACATATATAGAGAGAAATGGTAAGGATATGAGAAAGATAACTATCTTAGATATTTGTCTTCAAATATATAAATATACTTGAGTAAAAAACTTCTTGGCACAAATTCACAGACCTTCATTCCGGCCAATGAAAGCATGTTGTTCAGTTTATACATCCCGGACTGCACTGGTGTCGTATACAGCAGAGCGTCATTAAACTGAAAGCAGAAACATTTCACAGGAGAAAGAAATTTCAGCTGCAGTGATATTGATGAGACAGGAAGAAAAGGAAAACATTACTCCTTTACTAATAGCTCTCTGAATAAAACACAGCACTTAGGTTCTGCATATATACATCGGGATCACCTAGAATGGTTTATTATTATTATTAAAATGGCAATTTCTAGAAAATGTGCTTCTTTTCCAAATTCTGTAACAGATTTAATCTTTTCTGAATTTAAATTTCACAAAAGTATTACAATCTGCCTAAATAACTGATCAAAATAGAAAATGAAATAAAATGAACCACAAGAGGAAACAATTTTCTGGTCATGCATCATAACAGACTTTATTTCCTGTACCTGAGATACAAATTAGCAATACAGGCAGTCAAAGATGCCAATAAACTGACATTTGAACATGCCAAGCGTATGGGTTGTATACAAATCATCTGGGGCCGGCGTGGTGGAGCAGCAAGTTAGGGTGCCGTATCCCACAGCAGCATTCCCTGTCAGCAGAGGTTTGAGTCCCGGCTGCCCTGCTTCCAATCCAGCTCCTTCCTAACGTGTGCAGGTGCGTGGGCTTCTGCCACCCACAGGGAAGACCTGAATGGAGTTCTGGGCTCCTGGCTTCAGTCTGGACTAGCCCCAGCTGTTTGACCATTTGGGAGTAAACCAGCAGATAGCAGATATCTCTCTCTCTCTGTTTCTCCCTCTCTCTCTGTCACTACGCCTATTAAATAAATACATCTTAAACAAACAAAAATTCTTCCAATAGGCAATTATCTCTGCATTGGAGACATCAGTATTACCTAAGGCTACTTACCAGGAAAAACATTCGGGGCTGCATGACTTTCCGAGATAGCTTCATCAGAGTTCCTTCTTTGAGAAAAACCTGATTCATCCAAACAAACACCCAGTTATACCCACCATCAAAACACAACTGGAGTCTACATATAATTTCCTTTACAACTTTCTCTCCCCAAATTTTTTGAAACAGGGGGCTAGGGGAACAGTTTCCTCATGACTTTTTACAGTAATAATTGCTGTTTAACCCCTCTACGTCATTTAGGAATTGGATCGGCAAGCAGAGTCTCATAAATCCTACACTGGCCTCAGGGGTACTGTATGGATTGACATGAGCTTCACTGTGTGTGTGCTGTTGGTCCACAGGCACAGCCAACATCCTGACAATTGCATTTAATAATTTCCCTGAATTTATTCCCTAAGCCACTTGTGTGCTCTATGATGAGAATTCAAATACCAATCTTCCCCCTTCCTTCATAATCCTCTCTCACACTGAAGATTTTAAATGAAATTGTTTCCAAAGCTGTGTGAGGTTGGCTGATATTATGCAATGTAACCACTCAATTAAATCAGATACTCTGTGGGATCCATTGCCACTTTCCTAATTGAATTGGACTTCTTGTCACAGTGACTTACATCATAAATGTTTTGAATGCAAAGCAACCCAGACTGTGTCAATGAAGAGGAAAAAAACAAATAACCTATTTTCACCAGTAAATTGAAAAATACCTAGTCCAAAACACTTACCCGGCCTGGCTGCACTATTTCATGGTGTCCATTTAAGCTGTACTGAATTTGCATAAGTTTCTGAAAGTTGTCCTACAGAAAGACAATGCAGAGCATGTGAAGGCTGCTAACAACTAGATACTTACACCCAGCCTCTGATAGCAAGATACTTACTCCCTGCTTCATGGTGTCATTGGCGTGGTTGGCTACCTCTATCACAACAGCAAGGGCTTCTAAAATATGTAGGAACAGAAAGGTCATTTGGTCATTACTCTGCAAACAAACAGACTGCAACACTAAGCAGTTCCAGGTGATGATAGCTAATTCTTAGCTATCAACTTCTGGTGGAGCTTGGCTGACCATGAGTAGGAGGAGACACAGATGATGAGTGTCAATGAAGGTAAAACCAAGCAAACACAAGCAAAAACAATGTTAGGAAACAATGAGCCAAAGACAGACTCTACAGAGACATCACAGGCATGGTTATCAGCACATGAATGTCAGGGATGTTTCATGCCAAGATCTGATTAACCTACTCAAGCTCATAAGGGTAAGAAAAGGATATTATGTGGAAGCTGAGGACTATTCCAGTACAAACTGTCATAGGGGAAAGGATCGTGAGGGAAAAGGGTCTTGATAGAGGAAACAAGAACTGAGAAATAATTATTTCAGAGGGTCAGGGCTCACCTTCCTTTTCTTAGTCTGATCCCAAAAAGTGTGAATTAGAAATGAGAAATGCTACACAGAACCACAACAGACTGGAGGAAATTGGAAGCATCATTTTATAAGCTGGGTTACTTTGGGTAACTCCTTGCCTTTAAAAAAAGCATTTTGTATGTTCCAGCTTTGTCACCTCCTTAACTAGCTATAAAATCTGCCTTTTGTCTGCTTTTGGGATACCTCTGATGTCAATCCAAGGCAGTGATAAGCCTCCCTCTCCCAAGCACCAGAAACATGTGTAAACACAATTTTTGGTACTCAAAATGACCAGGCAGGCCCATTGGCCTTTTTTTTTTTTTTTGACAGGCAGACTTAGACAGTGAGAGAGAGAGAGACAGAGAGAGAGAGGTCTTCCTTTTCCATTGGTTCATCCCCCAAATGGCCACTATGGCCGCGCTGCGCCGATCCGAAGCCAGGAGCGAGGTCCTTCCTCCTGGTCTCCCATGTGGGTGCAGGGCCCAAGCACTTGGGTCATCCTCCACTGCACTCCCGGGCCACAGCAGAGAGCTGGACTGGAAGAGGAGCAACCGGGACAAAATCTGGTACCCCAACCGGGACTAGAACCCAGGGTGCTGGCACCGCAGGTGGAGGATTAGCCAAGTGAGCTGCGGCACCAGCCAGGCCCACTGGCCTTTACTGGATAGTAGGCAGGGATGCTAAACAGCCTGCAATACACAACAGAAACCTACACAAAGATTCTCCTGTATGATTTACCAGTAGCATTCCCACTGAGAAAAATAATCAGATTGTTAAAGAGGAAAGTGTGCTCCACTGGGGCTGTCTTAGCAGTGACAGCGGTCATCAACAATTAAAAAAAAAAGATCAACTTCTGAAAAGGGGTAAAGGTTTTCTTGGTCCAGCTACTGCAGTCTACCAAGAGATTCCTTTTGTTCCACTACCAACCTTGGAGGTGTCTGTATTCTTTAAGCATGTATTATTATCACTGCCATTAAAGGACAGCAGTATTTCCAGACCCCAACCACACATGAGAAATTATGCAACTGCCACTCTCATCACAGCACACATGTAAGAGGTTCCCCTTGACACACTCCCTGCTTTCTGGCCTACTGGAGTTCTCAGCAGGCAGGATGAAGAAGCCTAACGAGTTAGTGAGTGGATGAATAATGGAGCTGCTGTTTGTTACCTGGCCTCCAAGCACTGCCTTCTCCTGCAGCCCCCCAGCAGTCACTCTAACACGCCCTGACGACTCGGCCTCTAGTCCTTTCTGCTGCCTTTCAAAGGTGCATTTGTCTCACTTTCCCTCACTCTCAGGCAACCTAATCCATAGCTGCTCACAACTTCTTGGCCTTTCCTCTGGCAAACAGCATACCTCACTGTCCACTGCTTATTCTTTATTTATTTACTTGAAAGGCGGAGAGGGAGAGACAGAAAGAGGAAGAGAGAGATCTTCCATCTGTTGGTTCACTCCCCAAATGGCCATAACTGCTGATGCCAGGAGCCAGGAACTCCATCTTTGTCTTCCTTGTGGGTGGCAGGGGCCTAAGTACTTAGGCCATACTCTGCTGCTTTCCCAGGTGAATTAGCAGGAAACTGAATCAGAAATAGAGCAGTTGACCAGAGCTCCAATATGGGCTACTGGTGTTTCAGGCAGCAGCATAGCTCACTGGGCCACAATGCTGGTTGGTACCTGTTTTATTAATATCAGATGGGTAATACAGACTTTCTCATTGAGCAGATTATTCATTTATTAAAGATATGAAGCATACCATACTCCACATCTCAATTTTTCTTTTCTTTTTTTTTTTTTTTTTTTGGACAGGCAGAGTGGATAGTGAGAGAGAGACAGAGAGAAAGGTCTTCCATTACCATTGGTTCAACCCCCAAATCGGCGCTCTGGCCGGCGCTGCACCGATCCGAAGCCAGGAGCCAGGTGCTTCCTCCTGGTCTCCCATGGGGTGCAGGGCCCAAGCACTTGGGTTATCCTCCACTGCATTCCCGGGCCACAGCAGAGAGCTGGACTGGAAGAGGAGCAACCGGGACAGAATCCGGCGCCCCAAGTGGGACTAGAACCTGGTGTGCCGGAGCCGCAGGCGGAGGATTAGCCTAGTGAGCTGCGGCACCGGCCTCAATTTTTCTCTTTTAAAAGCACCTTTAAAAGCTTAACTTTGGGGCCAGTGTTGTAGTGTAGTGGGCCAAGCCACTGCCTGTGATGCTGCCATCCCATATGGCCACAGTTCAAGTCCTGGCTGCTTCACTTCAAAACCAGCTCCCTGCTAATGCACCTGAGAAAGCAGCAGAAGATGGCCCAAGTGCTTGGGCCCCTGCACCCATGTGGGAGACCAGGAAGAAGCTCTGGGCTCCTAGCTTTGGCCTGCCACAGCCCTGGCTATTGAGGCCACTGGGGAGTAAACCAGTGGATAGATGACCTCCCTGTCTCTCCCTCTTTTTGTACCTCTACCTTTCAAATAAATTTAAAAGGGAGGGGGGGAGCTTGACACTTGTAAAAAGATTTTAGAGAAGTAAAGTTACAAATAAAATTAAAACCACTACAAAATGGGTTAAAAACCTCAACTTTTAACTTTTTAAAAATTTGTGGGTTTTCTGGTTGTTTGTTTTTTATTTGAGGAACAGAGAAAAGGAGAGATCTTCCACCTGTGGCTCATGCCCCAGATGGCACAACAGCCAGGACTACATCAGGCTGAGGCAGGAGCCTGGGATGAGGAGTGGAAAGATAGTAAGGCTAATGCTTCATCATTAAAAAATAAAAATATGCTATCTTGCATTTTATTATACCATAAAAATATGATATTTTATACTTTATCCTTGATTTGTATAATTTTGTCACTTCACAGGCTCATGAGTTTGAAAGGACCTTGCAGAAAGATGAAATGGACATCCAGAGAAATGGAATATTCAGCTACTATGGGCCCAGAGCCATCAACATACAACAGCAAAGCTTCCTGACCCCAAGCTGTCCAGGGTCCACTCTCTTGGGATGTTGGCTCTCATGGAGGGCTGACCAGAGGCCTCCTTGGGTTCTTATAATCTCATCTGTATACAACTTTGTTCAGTCATTTTATTTTTATTTTTTAATTATTATTTTATTTGACAGAGTTAGACAGTGAGAAAAGTCTTCCTTTCATTGGTTCACCCCCCAAAATGGCCGCTATGGCTGAAGCTGTGCCGATCCGAAGCCAGGAGCCAGGTGCTTCCTCCTGGTCTCCCATGCGGGTGCAGGGGCCCAAGCACTTGGGTCATCCTCCACTGCACTCCCGGGCCACAGCAGAGAGCTGGACTGGAAAAGGAGCAGCCGGGACTAGAACCTGGCACCCATATGGGATGACAGCGCCTCAGGCAGAAGATTAACCAAGTGAGCCACAGCGCCAGCCCATGTTCAATTATTTTAATCTGACCAAAATAGAGCTTTTAAAAAAGGGTTCAAGTCGTATTATAAATAAAAAAGTTTTGTGTATGGCTTTTGTTATCAGTATATTTTCACTTTCTAGGTCTAAATACACATAAAACTCTGCAACATAGGAAACTGCAAAAGTTAGTCACCTTGAGTGTCTCTGTAATCTCCAGAGTCTTCTAAGAGATTCTTTAAATAATCTAGAAAAGAAAAAAAAAAAGTATAGTATTTAGCACAGGAAAACACTGAGCCCAAAACATTTATCTTTCTTACTCAGGATTTCGGTCAGTCTTGTAGCAAGTGTAACCTGTGGTCACTTCCTAAAAATGTGACAGAAAGCTCTTGATCCATTGCTAATCAGGCCACAGGATCAAAGCTGCAAAAAGCGTTAGAGGTCACCTTGGCCTTTTAAAGATGAGGAATTAGATGATTGAATAAAGCATCTCATTGAGTTACTCAAGCTCTTGGTGCCACAGTGAGGACTAGAATGCAGGTCTCCTGATGCCCGATTCAGATCTTTTACCCCCAAACGCATGAAATACCTTAATCTCTAGAGAACAGACATACATCTAGTACAAAATTTTAGGGCATTAATGGATTGAACATCTAAGAGACAGACTCGCCAATCTAAAAGCCTACCAAAGCCCAGGACATTAACTCAATACATGTGGCAAGACCAGTGGTTTTCAAATAGGGGCAAATTTGTCCCCCACGGGACATCTGACAATGTCTGGAGACATTTTTGGTTTTCACTGCTGGGGGTAAGGGTATGCTACTGGTATTTGGTTGTTAGAGGTTGGGGATGCTTCTAACCAGTCTACGAGACATAGTCCCACAACAAAGAATTATTTGGGTCAGTGTCAATATGGCTAAAGTTGAGAAACTTTGGACAAGATCATGGTCTGTAAACAAGCAGTGTATACACAGGGGTTCTTATAATATGAAAAATAAATGGAGGCAACAGGCTATATTTAATAAGTCTTTAACACCAAGAAATGCCACAGACATTCAAGGCAAAACTTCTTTATGTGTTGAGAAATGTTGGGTAGCTTGCTGTTAACTATCAAACTAACACAAATTTCTTTCCCTGGATTAACAGTTTCCCACCACATGGTCCCTTTTGACTTCTGGTTTTCTCTTTTGCTACTAACACAGGCCCTTTGTTCTTGCCAAAATTCATGCACAATTCCTTCCACACTCCCAACATGTTACCTAGCTCCACACTTTTGTCTCTAATGCTCCCTTCTGAATGACTTTCTCCATTGCTATGTATAAAAATTCCACTCATATTGTTCTAGGCTCATCCCAAATTCCTCCTCCTCTATAAAGTGTTCCACTCGAAAGAACTAGTTTCTGCCTCTGAATAATTCATGACATGGCAGTTACTCACTTTACTGTCTATTATTCTATCATTTTATTTTCATGCACTTGGCCAACAGCTTTGCACACAGGAGATGATAAATGCTTAATGAATTAAATTTTTTTTTTTTGTTTTTTAGACAGGACTGTGTCTTTGTTTAGTAAAAGGTTGAAACCAGTACTAATACCAGTAGGAACCAAGAAAACAGAAGGAGGAAAGGCATGTTCAAAGACTGAATGTATTTCTATCAGACTATCTTTATTTAGCAACATCGTAATTTCATCCCATGGATTTATGAAGTCATGTTCAAAGACACAAAGGGAAACTTGAATATCAGTGCCAACTTTTTGATGTAATAGAGGACACACACACACACACACACACACGCACAACTGCCGAAACTTCTTGCATCTCTGACACCATGATCCAGGAGCTTGTGTTGAGTCCAGACATGCACAGTGTAAATAGCCAGAACTGGCGATACACAGTGATGCTGTGTAGGGAGCTCCCCGCATGACAGCACAGCTTTTATCTTGCCAGAGACCATCGCTACCAATTTAGATCTTAAATTAATCTTAAGGCACAGGTTGGATAATATGATTCTAATCAAATCAGAAAACCACAAAAATGGTTGAATTCACTGATAATACATTACACTTAACCTTACTTGGAAATGAAAAAAACAAACTTTTTAAAAACTCTGACCATGCATTCCATATATAAGCCACATTTGGTAAGTCTAAATCTTTAGCAATTCTATGGCTGAGTGAAAGGGTTGGGGAGATATATCTATCCTTATTTGAGGGCCTTGGTGTCTAAGCTACCTCTTAAACAAAAGTTATTTTCCATAAGCCCTCAGTTAGCTGAAGAACGTAGAAAGGAAAGCAAATTTATTTAAATACAGGATTCATGGCAAGTTCTCATGTTGTCTTCAATTCTTGTTGTTTTATACTGCAGTATATCCATGTAGACCAACATACTTCTCTAAACCCAGAGAGCTCCCTTAAAGATATCCGTATTAGGAAGTCTTGACCTCAGAATCATGTGCTGAACTGGAGAAGCTTCTGAGTTGTATTTTCTTTGCTTGTACTCAAGCTCAACAACGCCCTGCCAGCCAGAACTCTTAAGAACATTAAAATACACAAACTGGCCAAGCAGAAAACCCACCACTAAGATGCTGTAACAACATGCTATTAATCAAGGGAGTAACGGAGTTAGGTTTGCCTTGTTAATTTTTTAAAAAATCTTAATGATCCCCAAAATTCAACTTTATAAGCCATCCATCCATTTATCTACCCATTTTTTGAGGGCATCTTGTTGTAATACTGTATATATTCTTTTGAGGGCTTTTATTTCTTGCAAAAAATATGGGACCATGATTGCCTTAAGTAGTTATGAATCATCCAGTGCCTTAACTGTACGTAGCATGAGAGGACTATGACTGATCACACCCTGAGTCAGACAGGAGGGGCACTGAAACCACTGGCTCACCCACAGACTGCTGTCAGCAAGGTGAAACCCCAAGAAAGGAGACCAGACAGACATGCCTGCATTGCTCATGGGGAATTTATTTGCTACCTACTATTTAGGACCTAGAATCCTACAGAAACTTTTTTTATAACTTTTATAATAGAATATGTCTAGTATTCTATGAATTCTCTCCTTCTGCCAAAACAAATTAAGCACTGTTAAGACATCACTAATAAAAGTGCTTTAAACACTTTTTATTTTTGCAAGAAAAAAACTGAAGATTGGTACAGTGTGTACAGGCACCACAAAACGTACTCTCTGGCCACCAGGTGGCATCATTGATTAATAAAATTTCATTAACTCTGGATCCTCAGCATCACCCATTAGTAGCACAAAATTAACTGAAACACAACACAAGTAACCCTCCAGGGATATGCAGGTTTACTTTTCTTTTCCTCATATATATAAGGGCCAGGATGAAAGGATGAGGTCTCAGCAAATACTGTATCTTGTTAGAGGTCTAAGTCTTCTATATAAGGGCTCCTAGATCCTTCCCACTTCTTGATTACCAAATCAACAAATCAACTTAAGCAAAAACCACTGAGAAGTACTATAGTTAACCCTACTAAAAATTAGTCACCTGTGGGCATCTGGGACTTGTTGCATTCAACCTCTGGCCAGATTCCTGCACTGTGTGCTAGAAAGTGCTGGGGCAGAGCCCAGAGGGACTGAGCATATAGGAGGGAGAGCATTCCCAAGTCAAGTGTTTTGAACTGGAAGACATGTCTTCCTTTGCATTGTTCAGGACCCGTCGTTGCTCCACAAGTACATAGTGAGATTCGCATCACGTCCAGAATTATGAAATCCTTAGAAAATACGTCAACAATATGCCTGTTTTACAGAGTTTCAGATTTTGAAAGAAACAACCTAAAATTAATCCTGACTTTGTCAAAGTCCAGATCATTTTAAATACCAAAATGGAGTTCTAAGTCACAACACTGACATCTTCAAGGTAGCTTGGTGAAATGGTCTTGAGCCCTTGCTTGAGAATCAGAAGATAGAAATCCTTACTCTCACTCCTCTATGCTTTGGTCAAGTTTTATAGCATTTGGGGAGGAGAAGGAGGAGGAGGTTTGTTTGTTTTTGTTTCTCTCAACATCTTTACACATAAAATAAGCAAGCTGGACCACAGTGATCTTTATTCTAAGAATCATGAAACACATTTTGTTTAATTCTAAAAAGGATTAAGGAAAATTTGGAAAGTTCAGTAATAATGGAGAAAATATAAATCATGAATAACCCTCCCCTGAAAAATGATTACAGGGGCATGTTTTAAAATAGTAGTTATCATGTCACTTGGGATGTCTGCACTCTACTTCAGAATAGCTGAGTTCTATTTAAAGCCCCATTCCTGACACCAGCTTCCTCCCAATGTGCACCATGAGAAATAGTAGGCAATGAGTTAAGTAGTTGGGTCCCTGCCATCAGTGTGGGAGACATGGATTAAGTTCTCAGCTCCTGGCTTTGGCCTGGCCCAGCCCCGGCTATTGCAGGCATTTGGGGAGTCAATCAGCAGATGGGAGATCTTTGTGTCTGTCTCTCCACTTTTTCAAAGTTAAAAAAAAAAAAAAAAAAAACAACTACAAATGCTTATCTGGGTTAATTTTAATAATATGTATGATTTTATAATCCATGTACAATATTATAACCCATGCAGTTTTTTTCTGTAGGAGTAGCTGAATAACACTTCATTGTAAGGATATATCATGTAGCACTTACAATAAATCATGTTATCGTTATTTAAAGATTTATTTATTTATTTGAAAGGCTGAGTTACAGAGAGACAGAGAAGCAGAGAGGTCATCTATCTGCTGGATTACTTCCCAAATGGCTGCAAAGGCAGGGGCTGGGCCAGGCTGAAGCCAAGAGCAAGGAGCTTCATTGGGGTCTCCCATGTGGGTGCAGGGGCCCAAGGACTTGGGCCATTTTCTGCAGCTTTCCCAGGCACATTATCAGGGAACTGGATCAGCAGTGAAGCCAGGACATGAGCCAGCACCCATATTATACGCCGGCACTGTAGGTTGTGGCTTTAACCTGCTACGCCACAGCACCAGCTTGTACTGTAATATTTTGTTTTTATTATGCAAAATATTTAAAAGGTGCCAATTTTTATGACTGCTTTATTTTTCTGAGCCTAGAAAACTACCTTTTCTCCTCCCCTGAGCCGTAGAATTTTAACAGTCAATTTAATTTTTCTCCTTTTTTTGATTCATTAAAAAACGTAATTCATTTGACAGACACAGAGACAATGCTCCAATCTGCTGGTTCGTTTGCCAAATGTTTGCAACACATGGGGCTGGCTTAGTGTTG